AGTTCTGGCTTAATGTTTAGGTACCAATGCAAAATCATCATTATAGTGATGTAGATTTGATGATAACATTGCATAATTCATAAATATCCTCAGAATCTCCACCACGTTTTGAGTGAGTTCTCAATGCGCTCGCAGTCATCAGATTCATCCACTGGGGGGAGGGGTCTGAACCACAACCTATGTCTCAAAATATAATGCTGCACAGAGTCAGACGCTCGCGGATAAAAGTATATGAGGCTTTACTGGAAAAAGTCTGATCTAAAATCATAATCAGAAAACACGCTGAGGTCAAAGCCAGAGAAAAGCGATAACAAACCATAAGGGACATCCAGAGAATGGTGAAGGTAAAAACACAGTGAAGGGCAAAGAACACAGCAACCAAATCCAAATAGGGCACAGGCACAAATGTAGTCAAAAACACAAACAGAAGGGTCAGGGTTCACAATGAGGAAGGACAGGAAAAAGGCTTGGTCCACTCTGTAAACAGTGGCAATGCTTCACAAAGAGTGGTGTGAGCAAACAGCCTATAGGAGTCTGAGGAATGAACAACAGGTAGGATTAATTAATATTCAGGCCAGGCTGATCTCTGAAGCAAATTGTGGTTGGTGGATGGAATCACATGATCTCCAGTTGGATTGTGGGAGTCAGAGTCCATAGGATTAGTCTGTAGTACTGTAGTAGTCTGGTGTTCTTCCCCACTTCGCATGCAATTGCACTTTTCCACCAGAGAGGTCTCCAAATCCCCAAAACTTACACAACAGTCTTGTAGTTAAAATACTGTAAAATATTTAACATTAATTGTCTCACATTTCTGCTTCGGGGTCTTGATGTCTTTTCAGGGCAGATTAAGGCTTTTTTTTACATGCCTCCCCCCCATTAAACCAGGTCTGGCTGACAGTTTATTTAACACTCACCAAAATGCTCACTATTAATGGAATCTCAAGAAAACTGACTCATGACATAAAATCAGGAACCACTCAGACTTCAGAAGGACTTTACAAGTCCCGTCATCGAGAAACTCATGTGTGAAAGAAAGGTTTTTTTTGCTTAAAAACCTTATCAGTCCAATATGCTCCCAACATCTACCCCAACGTCTCACTTCCTCCAAAGCTGTTCCAGGAAAAAGGGAATGTGAATCATCAGTAGACAAACACATTAGTCTCCATTGTGTTTCAACACCATCATTACTGAAATTTAATATTTGTTTCTGTAAATGCAAATTGTGGTGACAGTTCTCTGGAACTTCTGGTCCAACTAGTGTCTGACCTTGTAGCGCTGACAGACACTGACTAGACAGACAAAACTCAGACGCCAAAACATATTCTGATGTTTTCATTTTCCAGGATAGTACAGGGATGGGTAACAGCAAGGGCCTTGATGAAATAGCACATAATACCTTTATTACATAGGGCATAACATAAACTTATATACATGTAAGCTGTATCCTATCAATAAATGTGCTATAAATGGGTTTAGAGGTGTAGCCTGGTACTTCTCCATGATGTTTCCAGGTAGTTTTACATCAAATGTTATTCATCACAATGGTCTCCCTCTATTACTTTATAATGCCCTTGTGTTTTAATCGGAACGGCTATGCAGGAATCTGTTGAATGAATCACTGGTCACTGCTCAATAAACGGGGGTGGGGGGTGGTATGTTGTCTTCATGGTGTGATTGACAATGTATTGAACAGATGTATGATTGTATGAATGTATATATGATTAAATATATATACTCCCATATTAACAATGGCATTCAAATATAGATAGAAATAAAGACATATAAGTTATTGGAACAGTGTTAAACTGCTTCACACTGTTGTGCTAAGTACTGTATGTGCTGCGCTCACCACTCACATGAGCTGCTTTTCATACTGACCGTGATATGTGCTGCTGTGGGTGCAGATGCGAACAGTGATGTCTGTGGGATCTTCAGTGGACGACAGAACAACAGTAGATAAACCACACACATACACACACTATTCACACATACACACACTATTCACACATACACACACTATTCACACATGCACACACTATTCAACTATTCTCTTTGTGAATGATTCACCTGCAAGACACGACAGAAGCTGAGAATGACGAGAGACACACAGACCTTTAATTCAGTGTTTCTCTCTGCTGTTCACCCCTCATTCAGCTCAAGAAGGGATTAATTAGCTAATAATATCAGGTATTTTAACCAGGGAAACCACAGTTATGCAGTGCAGGGGTTTCAGGACTGGAGCTGAACTCTGAACTAACTGCACTAGCAAACTTACACAATCACGTCTGTCAAGACACGACGTTGTTTTCCGACCCTCGACATTCAGTCTGATATTTAACGTTCATGTTTCTCCATTCAAACCTCGTTTAAATTTCCAGAAACAGAGAGTAAAGTTATACCGGCTGTCTGCAGCTCCGTTAGGGGGACGACTGTTTATCTCTCGGCTGTTAGCATTAGCTAAAGTGATCTAAAGGCTATCATTGTTCACATCTGTGTTAATTAGCTGATGTCGTTCCTCCTATGATCACAGTTTTTCTTTATGCAACACCATGGGATCCTTTACCCACCCTGACGTGAAGAGCCGGTGGGCTTCTGTGCTTTTAAATGCTTTGAGAGACTCTCCAGAATAGGGAGAGGGGCTGAGTATGAGATAAATATGTAACTTTATGTCAGGAAAACACAAATTTGGTAGCTTTTCTGAAAGTTTAAGTGGGACCAGGAGTTCAGGGGAAACTGTATAAGGATCGCAGCCTGTTTTATTGACTTTGTCAAGGAAACGTTCTTTTCTCTTCCAAAGAGAAGCCAGAAATTCGGTCCCAAATATAGGACACAGCAGAAAAATCACATGACTGAAATCCTAGGACATGTCTGTGTGTCTGCCCTGTGATGAACTGATGACCTGTCCAGGGTGTATCCTGCCTTCCACCCAATGACTGCTGGGATTTGTCTGGCACTTCTGCTGCCCAACCTTTTTACCATTTTTTTTTACACTGTTTTTTTACCGTGTTCTGTACCATACCAGGCGTGCCAAAAAGCGATGGACAAAAAGGGTTCTTCTCCTGTTACGCTGTCAGGTTTGTTACAATAGAAGAACCCTTTGGTGCTATGTGGAACTCTTTTCAAAAAGGTTCTATATAGAATCATCTATAGCATTTTTCATCAATCTGAAGATGATACAAAACCCCTTTAGTCATGTAAGGTGTTCTTTAAGTCTTAATGCTTCCATTTTCTGGTTCCATTTAGAACCATTTTCTTTACTAAGGAACCCTTGAAGAACCTTCTTTTTTCAGAGAGTAGAGCACAGACACTGACCCCCAATCTTTTCCTCTCAGCTCACCACTGGTCCACTAGCCTGGACTCACCTGGCAGTGGCAGCAGGATGACTAGCAGGAAGAATTTCCATAACTAGTTCTCTCTCTACACTGGCTTCACAAACAGAACAGCACAGGTCATGAACCACTATAACCACCCAAAACACTGTCTACCCAGAAATGACTGCGGCAATATAATGTGAATAAACAGTCTGATCTGAATAAAATATTTTAAATGATCAGCACTTTTCTTATGTATCAAAGCTACAGCTTGGTAACCCAACCTGCATTAATGAATAGAGCCTGTGTGTCTCTTCATGATCAGTGTATTTGCATCCTCTCGCTGGATAAAGAGAGAAAGTGAGATCCTGAAATTCACACCAGTTCAGAGGAAGAAAGAGAGACACACAGGAAGAAGAACGAAACAACATCACCGGTAGGAGGAATTTTACCTGGATTTCTTTTGAGGCACAGAAACATTTTTTAAAGAATGATGAAGTTTTTTATTAATGCTGCACTAAATCTAATACTTAGTGCTAATGTTTACAGTCAGTACCTGAAAGAACATCAGCAGTAAACTTGTGAAATGATGTGAAATTTACAAAAATAAACCAACTGAAACAATTTGTTTCCTTTTTTTACAGAAATGGACAGAATAACAATCATCAGTCTGCTCTTCTCAGGTACTTTATATACAACAGTGTTTACATGAGTGAGTGAAGGTTCTACCATGGTATAATAGAACAGCTCTAGTGCAAAATGGTTCTGCTGAGACAGAACAGTTCCAATGTAAGATGGTGCAATACAACAGAGGGTTCTGCTGTGGTATAGTAGAACAGTTCCAGTGTAAGAGGGTTCTGCTGTGGTATAGTAGAACAGTTCCAGTGTAAGAGGGTTCTGCTGTGGTATAGTAGAACCGTTCCAGTGTAAGAGGGTTCTGCTGTGGTGTAATAGAACAGTTCCAGGGTAAGAGGGCTTTGCTGTGGTGTAATAGAACAGTTCCAGTGTAAGAGGGTTCTGTGAGTGTTGAGGGTTCTGTGTGTGTTCAGGGTTCTGTGTTGTTCTTCACAGCTCTCTGTCGTCTGTCTGCTTGTGCTCCTCATCACTATCACTTCATTAATAAAATGAAGAACTGGACCGAAGCTCAGCGTTACTGCAGAGAGACGTACACTGACCTGGCTACTGTCCACAGCATGGACGAGATGAAGGAGCTGAATGAGACCTTAAAGAATTCCTCCATTTCTGGACCTTCTGTTTGGATCGGACTGCAGAGAGGGGTCACTAAGAAGTGGATGTGGTCACTGGCCGACACAAAGTTTTATAAACAGGGAGAGACGGAGTTTAGACAGTGGGAGACAGGAGAACCCAGTGATTCAACTAGTACTCTGGACTGTGCTGTAAAACACAGTAATAAAGTTTGGCATGATGAGAAATGTGATCAGAAAAATAAATTTGTTTGTTATGATGGTATGAATGTATTTATAATATTAAAATACCATACAGTATTACTTCAGTATTTAAAAGTTTGTGATAGTTACAGTTACTGTTCACTCATATAAAGTATGAATTCTGAAATGTGTAAATCTGTTATTAATCTGTTTCAGGAGTTACAGACTCTTACCACAACTCTCATGGCATAAAGAAGAGCTGGCGTGAAGCTCAGAGGTTCTGCAGGGAACGATACACAGACCTGGCCAGTGTGAGGAACGAGAGTGAGGACAGTAAAGTTTCTGCAGATGGCGATACCTGGATCGGTCTGTTTAGAGACTCGTGGAACGTGGTCAGATCAGAGCAACTCTTCATTCAGATACTGGACATCAGGTCAACCTGACAATCGTAATAGACGTAAGAACTGTGCAGCTGTTCAGACACATAAAACAGATTTCGGTCAGTGGGAAAATCTGGACTGTGGGAAACAGATTCCATTTGTGTGCAGTGGTGGTGAGTTTCTTTCCGTTTTTTCATTTCTGTAATGGATCACTTAGAAAGTTTTTAAACACTAATGAGTTTTTTACATAAACAACTCTTTATGTAAAAAAATACTGTTTTAGTTTTGATCACGTTTCATATCTTATAGTTTATTCTTCTATAAACTTTACGTGATCAGATGAGGCTGGAAACGCACTGACATTTTGTACAAATACACTGACAGTCATAAAGAACTGCTCACAGGCACGTATGTCACACACTGATGTTTAGCAACTGTTTGATGAGTTTTTCTGTTTGTTCATGTAAAAGAGGGAAACCACAGTGACAGATATTCCAACAAGACAATGCAGGATGCCTCACAGTTCATAAATAAATAAATAATGTACCATTCATTCTCCGGTCCATACAGTCCACATCTGTAAATGAAGCTGAGCGTGTTTTTTTAAAATTCAACACATTTAATATATATACCCATTGAGCCTACAGCAGCTTAGCGCCTATGATTCACGCTGAAGATATTAGGAGTGTTTCAGCCAATCAAAACAGAGCTCAGTTACATATATCAGTCTTAAATCGTGGGGCAGTCGTGGGCTGGAGGTTAGGGAACCAGTTTTGTTAACGGAAGGTCTCCGGTTGGATCCCCTGAGCTGACAGTATGTGACTGAAGTGCCCTTGAGCAAGGCACTGTGCTTTGGATAGGGCTGCCCACCGCTCCGGCAAGTGTGATCACTGCCCCCTTGTGTGTGTGTGTGCATTCACTAGTGTGTGTTTGGGTGTTTCCCTGCACAGATGAGTTAAATGCAGAGGTGAATTTCCCCTGTTGTGGGATTAATAAGGATAACTTAACTTAAAGCCACATTAGCAAAAAAAGCCCATGTAATTCTAATGCAGTACATGACCCCCAGGGGTAGGGGAGCGTGGGGAACAACCTAAAGTGAGGCACAACTTAACACAGACTTTGCATGTTGTTATGCAAGGTTAAGCAGTGTGAGCTTCTGTCTGACAGAGAGATGAGATTTTGTTGTTATATATAGTGTGTTGTCCAGAGCTACAACTTGAAGGCAGCACCAACTTTAATGTCCTAATTATTGATATGAGTATCATATTTTATTGCCTCAGCAACGTCACCTGGTAAACCACAGCTTCCAGTGAGCACTACAGTGTTTCCTGCTGGACCGATGAGCACAACACGTGTCACACAAACGCCTCCTGGACCCCCTGGTAGGTTTTATCTTTTCACTATTTTATTATTTGACTATTTTATCATTTCACCTCTTATAGCTCCATGAAGTAAAACCTGCTATTGAGAGAACTGTACTGTGATGTAGTCGGACACTTATAGCAATAGAGCATCCCTGTGCTAACATAGCTAACATAACGCCAGACATACACTGTACAATCTTAGAAATCTCATTGTTTGGGAAAACTCACACTGTGCGTTTGAATAACCATTGTTTATGGCCAAAACACAATTCATCTGGACAGTTCGGTCTGTGGTCAGCTTCCCATAATGCAATTTCTTTCAAAACGATATGCAAATTTCACATCCAAATAATTGATGAGTGTTATATTTATGAACTCAGGTACTTCAACTAGTGAACAGTGGCTTTCAGTGAACGCTACAGTGTTTCCTTCTGAATTGACAAGCATAAAACATGTTACGACAACTGGACCTCCTGGTAAGTTTTATCTTTTAACCATTTTATCATTTAATCTATTGTGGCCCAATATACTAAAATCTGATATTTAGAAAATCGTAGCACAATGTGGAGCAGGAAACCTATAGAAATAGAACATTCCTGCGCTAACATAGCTAACCCAAAACATTGTGTACGGCCAAAACCTGTGATTTATAATCTCACACTGTATGAAAAAACTCAGTCTGATATGCTTCAACATGGGTGCTCACACTGTAGGGGAAACATGCTAAATATGCTGTGTGTTCGCTGCTGTGAGTCGCCCTGTAAGGCCTGAAATAATCCGTTAAAAGTTAAAGGCGTCAGGTCGGGAGTTTTTCACACTATATTGTACGTTTTTATGTATTAGCGTCACAAATGCAGACTCAAAAAGAAGGTCCAGCTCGATGTTTAGGTCCCAAATGCAAAATCAACATTAAATTGATGAAGACATGATGGAAGCTCTTTAACAGCCCACCAGAGACACATGCGTTGGCTTTTGTTTCAGTGCCAAAGCCCCAGTTGTAGCCTATTGGAAGGCCAGCCTAACAATCCTTAAGTGGAATTTCATCCACAGTGTTTACAAGATGATTCTAGTGCTTGGCTGTGTTCACTGTGGATACAGTTTACTGGTAGGTGTACACAGGAAGCAGGTCAGTGTGGACAGTAGACCTAAAAGCTCTTCTGAGCACCCCTCACACCCTTTCACTCTTCAGAACTGCGTCCTTTGCTAACCTTTTAATTTCACAGTCTGTGACGAAAACACTGGCCTGAGTCTGGTTATTAGGGGAACCTCAGTGTGTTCTGTATTGTCTCCAGGTGATCTGGTTCTGATCAGAGTGAATCTGACCTGGAGTGAAGCTCTGAAACACTGCAGAGAGAAGAACATGGATCTGGTCTCGGTGCACTCTGAGGAGATCCAGAGGTCGGTGGTGGAGGTGGCCAAAAACGCCTCCACTAGTCACGTATGGCTGGGTCTGCGTCACACCAGCGCTCTAGATCTGTGGTTCTGGGTGAGTGGAACATTCACCTGCTATGATAACTGGGCTCCAGGTAACGGGACAGGAGTGGAAGACTGCAGCACTGTAGAGAGAACCGGAGCAGTGCAGACTGGAGGAGAGCAGAAGTGGGTCAGTCTGCCGGAGAATCAGACTCTCAACTTCATCTGCAGCAGAAATAGAGGTTTGTGTCTGTGTTCTGTGGGTATGCATGTGTGTGTATACGTGCAGCTGAACGGCACTGTTTTCCTGTTTTGCAGGGTTTTAAAATGAGAAGTTCATATTTTGATGGATGAAGACTGAAGACTGAAGAGTTGGTCCAGATCTTTGCTCACTGAAGATGGTTGAGGTTCTCTGAAAAGTCAGCGCACACTTTTGTTTTCTTTTACTCTAAGTGTAGTCAAAAGGCCGAGACACGCTGGATGAATGGATGAGACACACTCGATGAATGATGTTTGTTTCTGTATTATTTACTGAAACGGCTAATGCTAATGTAGCTAACACATAATAGAACCTTATACTCTACCTGAACTCTAATAGGCTTGATTGTGTTTTCTGACACTGTATGAAAGACTGTTACCTATAAATGTGGGCAAAAGCTCATTAGCATCTTGAATGAATTATCTTATCTTAGTTATCTTGTCCAGGGTGTATCCTGCCTTCTGCCCAATGACAGCTGGGATAGGCTCCAGCACCCCACCGCGACCCAGAAGGATGATGTTTAGATGATGTATGTATGTATGAGGGGATATTTATCAGAGTTTCATTCCATATATTCAGATTTTTCAGTCATTTTATATATATATGTATATAATTTTCTAAACAGCATATATCTCACACTTTGTGCCATTGCTTATCAAACTAATATTTATTTCTGTTTTTTGATGGATAAAAACAAGAAAAAGTGGCAAAAAAAAGCCATTTTCCCCAAAATCTCATGTTTAGTATAACCACAGCTCATTTATTACTGTAATTTGTCTTGTTCTGAGTCAGGTGGTCGTATGTTTGTCTTTAATTTCCAACTCCTTTTACTGTTTAAAAGTACAATAATAAAATCTTATTATAGTGACATTGTTTGATTTTGTTGTTCGATTTTGTTCAACTTTGTGCTCAGCAGAGCTCCAAGCAGAGCTGTAGTAAAGCACTGTAATCCTATCAGTTAAGCTGATTTCTCATTTACCCTTTTATATAAATAGTTCTAAACAGGTGTGTTTGATACTGTTTTCCACACAGTTTGTTCTGAATCACTCAAAGCTGAGCTCTGAGTAGGCTGAAGATTCGCCTCCAGAGGTCACTGTGGAGCTGCATCTGTTACACAAGGCGCTCATTTCAGTCATTTCACAAGCTTTACTGAAACACTGCTGTTCAGTCTGTTGAGACTGTTTTTGCTGCAGTCCTCTGTTTTTTTTCTGTTTTCCTATTTATGCTCACTGTTGCAAACAATGTACAGACCGAGCAAGGATGTACAAACCTGCACTTGGATGCTTCCTCGGAATTTGAACGGTAAATTTTTGAAATTTGTTTTTAAATTGTGTCTCTTTCATTGAAAACATTGAATTTAGCCATTACATATTCTAGCCTTATTAGAAGAATTCCGGCATCTTTCCGGCCTGTACTCGTACAGGGACTCCATTTCCCATAACCTTGTGGGAGATCATGTGACTGAACCTCCTTCTTCAACCAATCATTGCTCCAGTTCTCCTGAATACTAACCCGTTAGTGCAGTTGCAAGGTATTGTTACTCTTGTAGGACTGAGCGTTTCCTGTGTGTTATCGGTTTCCATTTACGTGTATTCGACTCTTTTTCTGGATTTCTTGTCGTTGCCTTTTTGTCTTTGCCCTTCTGGTTATGTTTACATTCTTTTGCCTTTTTGCTGTTTTGGATTCGACCCACGCCTGTTCTACAACTACAATGTCAATCCCTTTCAATTAAAGCCTCATCTATAGTTTTTACTGCGAGCGTCTGACTGGGTCACGTTACACCTTATAACTATCCCAATTGTTGTTTAAAGAGTTTTTTAACTCTGGGACTACAGTTTGCACTTATTCAGTAGAACAGTCCATAAACAACTGAAGAAACAGTTCAGTGTACATTTACTGGCCTTTGTAAATCAGCGGTGGTCATTCTTTTCCTCTGTCCGCATTTTTCTTGAACTTTATTGAGGTCTGATGGTTCTTTAAGGGTTCTTTAGTAAAGGAAATAGATCTATATAAAACCATGAACAAGGAACGCTTTGCATGATTAAAGTTTTTTTTGCATCATGAAATGGTTCTTCAGATTGATAGAGGATGTGCTGTAGATGGTTCTATACAGAACATTTTGAAAAGGATTCTACATAGCACCAAAAAGGGTTCTTTTATTGTACAATGTTGAACTCTTTTTGGTGCTATACAGAACCAGAAAAAGGTTGTATGTAGAACCATCTACAGCACATTCTCCATCAGTCTGAAGGACCCTTTCATGATGCAAAGAACTGTAAAGGTTCTTTGAGTGTTCATGGTTCTATATAGACCCATTTCTTTTAACAAGGAACCCTTGAAGAACCGTCTTTTTTAAGTGTGTGGGTGTCAGAGTGTAGGCTACATTTCTCAGCTGTATTTGAAGATTCTTTAAAATGTTTTTAATCAAAATGTTTTCATTAAAATCTTTATTTCAGCTGTTTTTTCATATAAAAAATTGAAGTTAAAGGTTAAAAAATAGGTAACAGAGTTGTGAATTTAGCCTAAAGTAAGCCAGCATTTAGGAGTGGTCAGCTTGACAGGGTGCATATGTTGCACGCTAACTAGTAATTTCCATATAGTTTACATAAATTGAAAAAATATGTATAAAAATAAAAAAACAAGAACACGATACAAATTCCTGTATATATATCTCAATAAATGAAATATTTCATTTTTTATTAAGCATAACAGGTTTGAGTGCACAACAAAAAATGTGGGACCCAAGTTAAAATGACTTTTTTTGTTAAATAAATTAATAAAGAAAGTATTTTTTACCATTAAATTTAAACTGTGCCAAATGACATAATTATAGTGATATTGGAAGATTTTAATGAATATATATCATAAAGGAATTCAGTGTCAGTGAGGTGAGACAGCCCAAAACCACCTCATTAAAGGTGGATACAGACATTTGATGCCTTTTATGATCATTTTAAAGCTAATTTTAAATATTGTATTGTATGTTAAAATACAGATCACTTCACTTTTTACAGAAATAAACAACAACATCAGTCAGTTTATTGCTGTTAAACAGGTAATGGGACATAAACAACTCTGTTCAGGGGAACTTCATCCATGAATAGAGCCTTTGACTCTGCATGCGATGATGCAAAGCGTTTGCATCTGCTTTCTACACTATCATTGATCAGAAACGGGAGGAGGAGGAAGAGAGGAAAGAGAGAACTCACACAAGTTCAGGGAAAGAAGAGATACAGGAGACAAAGAATGAAAACCCAGAGCAACAACAACACCAGTAAGATAAAATTTAACATGGATTTCAGAAGCAAAGATAAAGGATTGTTCTATATATGTTTTTTTTTTTGTGATCAACTTTTTATTAGCTTTCAAAAGATAATAGTTTACATTCCTGTTCAGTGTAAACCAACATGAAACAGTCAAGATCACAGTCAATACATGTACATATAAAAACACTGTCACACCAGATAAGAGAACGAGTCTGGGGTGAGTTTTGCAGGCCTTCATCTAATGGGGTAGTACTAAATCTTTAAGAGCTGATTTAATTATATACAGTATTGTAGCTGGTTTAGCTTTGTTTATTATTGCAGTAGTCAGCTCAAGGGAGACAGTATCATAGCAGAATGATAACCATTGTTGTGACAGTCGCATATTTGGATCAAACCAGTTATGTATAATAGTCTTTTTAGCAGCGGTTAGACCAGCAAAGATGAATCATTTCTGAGTTAATGTGAAGGTGAAGCGACTCTCATCATTTAATAAACAGAGACATGGATTTTTGTTAATAGGAATTTCAAGCATATCAGACAACATTGACAGTACATAGTCCCAGAATTTGCTAGTCCCAAAATATATGCAGGAAAGTGCCGACATAATCAGCGTTGCGAACAGTACAATAAGGTGTGGGAACCCTGCCCATTTTATGTCCTAAGTACGGTGTGGAGTAGGCCCTGTGTATACATTTAAAATGAATTAATTAATTCTTCGAGGTAGCAATCAGGTTAGACCATATCTGGCTCCACATGGGATGGAATCCAAGCTGGTTCAGCTCCCATTCCCATTTAAATGTTATTTCTAAAGTAGAATAAGGTTTATCTAATATAGAGTTGTAGATATGTGACACTAATCTCTGTTTAGAAACCCGACAGTTAAACCATTCAGACATCGGATGTGAGGAAACAGAACTGTCTCAGGGTACTCCATACACCTTCATGGCGGATCTAACCCTAAGACACAGAAAGTAAGAGGTGCTGGAGAAATTTTTTCTTTGGACGTAAACCAGAATTGTTGAACAAATTACCCAAGGTAAAAATACCCTTATTCCTCCAAGCGGGATACACAAAAGGCTGTCCACCAGATAAAAACATTAAATTATGCCACAGTGGTGTGAGGGAGTTGAACTTACAGGACACTTCCATAATTTTTCAGCCTTCCTTCAGGCTTTTAATGTGGTTGTAATAATATTCCCATTTTTTTTCTTTTGTCCAATACCAGTGTAAGGCAAGTCTTGTAGCCTATGAGGTTTGACCAAGGCCTCCTTAATGAGTCGCCACAGCCCTTAGCTGAAAGGACAAATAATAGAAATTTAGATTTGGCAAAGAAAGACCGCCTACTTCCTTCTATCGTTGTAAAATAACCTGCCTTATTCTGGCCAGCTTCCCATCCCATATGAATTTAGATATCAAGGTGTTCACTTCATCAGTAAATTTAGGGGGAAGAGAAAGAGGAAGCATAAAAAAAAAGAAAATTTATTTGGGGAAGGTTATTCATTTTTACAGCACAAATTCCTCCTGCAAGTCAAGCCTTCAGTGAGCTCCATCGATCTAAGTCAACCCGGATCTTATTCATTAGGGTATTATTTTTTTTTATTATCATTGATGATGTTTGATAGATTTTAATTCCTATATAATGACTTGGCCATGTTATTTAATAGCATGAGATTTGATTTAGACCCGTTAATCTCACCCTGAGAGTGATTTGAATACGTCAAACAACCGTAAAAGATGATTAATAGAAGTCTATAGTGGACAAATATAGGAGTATGTCATGTGCAAATAAGGAAATATGATGTACAGTATAAGTGCTTCGTCTAATGGCCTGGACAAGGGGCTCTAGACTAACTGGGAAGAGAGCAGGTGAGAGAGGGCACCCTTGTTTTGTTAGGACAAATGCCACAGGAGAATTATGCAAAACTTTCATCATAGAAATGAACCACACCTGTCCAGAACCAACCATAAGTAGTCCCATTCGACTCTATCAAAAGCTTGACGAGCATCTAATGAAAAACCACACAGGAGTATGGCGGAGAGTCAGCAGCTTCTGAAATATGCAGAAGTCTTAGTATATTATCGGATGCAGATCCCCCTCATAAACCCAGTCTGATCATAATTCATTATTTTATCCATTACAGATTCCATGCGTACGGTTAAAGCCTTTGCATATAATTTTATGTTGCTGCAAATCAGCGAGATGGTCCTATAGCTACTGCATTCTAGTGGATCTTTCCCTTTTTTTAAAAGCAGCGATATCAATGATGTGTTCTGGTCAAGATGAAAAGATCCATTTTCTGTTGCATAGACAAGAGTTTTGTATCAAAGGCCCCACCTCCTCCTATACACTTAGATATCGTTCGGGAGGAATACCATCTAACCCTGGGGTCTTACCCCTCTGTAAGGACTTAAGTGCAGGTCAAAAGGTTGGTCCAGTGTATCTCTTTCTTGTTCAGACAATACAGGTAAATCTAATGAAGAAAGAAATGAACTATCTCTCCTGATCCAAAAGCAAGTCAGATTTGTATAATTCTTCAAAAAAAGTTTCAAAAGATTTTTGGATTAGTTGTTACAGTACCCTGCTCTGCCCTCACTGAACTGATTGTTGCCTTAGATTGCTAATAATTTGCTCATTCTTTCCCCCTGATAATAATATTTTGGTCTAGTGTGGTGAATAGAAAATAGAGCTTTAGCCATTAAGAGGGAATTCTGTAATAAGTCTGTTTAGATTACCCTCTGATGGATTGTATTGTTGCTCCGCTTCTAAAGCTTGAATGTTGTTTTCTATTTCTACAAAACGTTTATTCCTAATAGAACTCAACATGGACGAAAAGGCAGTGCGGTTACCCCTTACAAAGCGTTTAGTAGCCTCCCATAATATTTGGGGATTATCACAGGTCGCTTTGTTACAATGTAAAAAGTCTCGTAAGCCAAACTTGAGTTGTTCTACAAAAACAGGGTCAGACAAAAGATTATCACTGAATCTCCATCTTAGGGCATGTGGTCTACCTGGGAATGAAGTGTACTTACACCAAAGGGGAGAATGATCCGATATAAGGATAGGAAGCATGTCAGAGCCTGAAAGACTGTTCTGGATCTTTGAATAGGATTTACGTCATGGGGAGTAGAGGAAATGCTTCCTAAGATCAGGATTACAAAAGTGCCAGAAATCTATCAAACTTAGATCAGACGTAAAATTATTAAGAGTATTGTGGGTGAATATCCGCTCCTGATGATCGATCCATTGTTGGGGAAATAACTGTGTTCATATCACCTCCTAAAAATATGTGGTGATTTGGAAAGCCCAACAGAATATTCCAAATTGTTAGGAAAAACTCTTGATCAAACTCATTAGTTGCGTATATTGAGACAAATATGATTTATATATGATGAATTCTAACCACCACGCATGTAAAACGGCCTTGATCGTCTCCTCCTAAAGTGTCAGTTTGAAGCGATAACTTCCAATCTTGCACAATAAAAACACCTTCACCTTCGGATGAGACACACGAATAACCCACTACTTTAAAATACTTATTCTGGAAACAAGGTACATCTTCTAATCTAAGGTGGGACTCCTGAACTAAAGCTATAGATACACATTTGTGTCGTAGAAATTCCATCTTGTTTGTTCTATAGTATTGTTTAAGCCTCGAAGATTCCAGCTGATAATACTGATATTAGCCATTTTTATACGTGACATTTAGATGGGTCATGAAATCATGGCAGCAGAAACCCGAGTCAGGTCGGATCACTAAATAGGTCGAACTCACCAACCAGTCATTGCAGCAGCCCATTATGAGAGGAAGTGTCAGCGTGAACCCTCCGAGGTAGTAAGGTTGGACTCGGGTGCAGAAGCCGCAGATAATGGTTGGGAGACTGACCCTGGTTGAGCCTCGCTTGGCGGTCTGCTGATGTCCATCAGCATTATGGCGTCTGGCATCATTGCAACAGCTCCACCTATCTTGCCCAGAGTCGTCACCGACTGAAGAAAATCCTCTGCCTCTCTTAGCGTGCCAAGTTGTATCTGCTTGCCACGATAGGTCACTCCAGCAGGAATGACTGGAGTTGTAGACCCGTTGCGTCCAAACGTCACCTGAACAGTGACATCTCCTTCCTGCTAGCCACTGTTTCCCTGCTATAATCCGAGAATAACAGTGACTGTGTCGGTCAAAAGTAGGATCTGCCTTCCTGGCCCCATTCAGTGTTGCTTATTTGTCTGTATAGTTAAGCAGGCGAAAAATCAGAGTTCTTGGTTTGGAGCTGTTGTTAGCCTCTCTTGTACGATCAGCTCTCTCGATTGGGATCTCGCGTCCTGCCAAAGTAGGAATCCATTTCGGCAAGTGTTTCTGAAGAAAGGATATGGCATCAGTACCTTCTACTGACTCAGGTAAGCCCACCAATCTCACATTGTTTCTGCGGCATCTGTCTTCCATATCTATTAGTGTGGCCTGTAGTGTTTTAACCTCTCGTGCCTGTTCTTGGACATTGTCACGGCCTGCGCGAGCTGCTTGCTGGATGTTATCAACCCGGGACTGTAGTTGGCTGATCGATTTGCTCTGACTTTTCAGTTCGTCATGGACATACTGAAGACTGGCCGTTGCTTCTTTAATCTCCAATTTCAACTGCTCTAGTTGCGGTGTCAACATGTTGGTCAACACATCCGTAACGGCCGCAGAAATAAGAGAGTTCAGTCCGCTTTGTTCAGTCTCTAGTTTACGTGATGATTTGCACAAAGTTGTCGTATTGCTGCTTCCTGAAATCTACGGGAAAGTTTTCCTAAAGTAGTAAAAACCACAGTTGTCGGCGGAGCTGAAAGATGAGTGTGCTGCCATTGATGCGTCACCGGAACTCTCTATTACACGACGGAACTTTTCAGTAATTTTGTAGTTTGATGTCAAAAATGTTATATTTTAACTCACTGAGAGTTTTTTTTTCTTTTTTCCCTCAGAAATGAACCGAATCACAACCATCAATCTGATCTTCTCAGGTATTTTATATAAAACAGTGTTTACACAAGTGTAAGAGGGCTCTGCAGTGGTGTAATAGAACAGTTCCAGTGTAAGAGGGTTCTGCTGTGGTGTAATAGAACAGCTCCAGTGTAAGAGGGTTCTGCTGTGGTGTAATAGAACAGCTCCAGTGTAAGAGGGTTCTGCTGTGGTGTAATTGAACAGTTCCAGTGTAAGAGGGTTCTGCAGTGCTGTAATAGAACAGTTCCAGTGTAAGACGGGTCTGCTGTAGTGTAATAGAACAGTTCCAGTGTAAGAGGGTTCTGCTGTGCTGTAATAGAACAATTCCAGTGTAAGAGGGTTCTGCTGTGGTGTAATAGAACAGTTCCAGTGTAAGAGGGTTCTGTAGTGCTGTAATAGAACAATTCCAGTGTAAGAGGGTTCTGCTGTGGTGTAATAGAACAGTTCCAGTGTAAGATGGTTCTGCTGTGGTGTAATAGAACAGTTCCAGTGTAAGAGGGTTCTGTGAGTGTTGAGGGTTCTGTGTGTGTTGAGGGTTCTGTGTTGTTCTTCACAGCTCTCTGTCGTCTGTCTGCTTGTGCTCCTCATCACTTTCACCTTATTAATAAAATGAAGAGCTGGACCGAAGCTCAGCGCTACTGCAGAGAGACGTACACTGACCTGGCTACTGTCCACAGCATGGACGAGATGAAGGAGCTGAATGAGACCTTAACGAATTCCTCCTTTCCTCGACCTTCTGTTTGGATTGGACTGCAGAGAGGGGTCACTAAGAAGTGGATGTGGTCACTGGCCGACACAGAGTTTTATAAACAGGGAGAGACGGAGTTTAGAAAGTGGGAGACAGGAGAACCCAGTGATTCAACTACTGATCTGGACTGTGCTGCACGGTACAGTAGTGACGGCCTTTGGCGTGATGAGAACTGTAATCAGTCACACAGCTTTGTTTGTTATGATGGTAGGAATTTATTCGTAATGTTTAAATATCATACAGACTTATTTCAGTTTTTAAAGGTTTGTGATAGTTACAGTTACTGTTCACTCATATAAAGTATGAATTCTGAAATGTGTAAATCTGTTATTAATGTTGTTCAGGAGTTACAGACTCTTACCAGATCTTTAAAGAAAATAAGACAAGCTGGCGTGAAGCTCAGAGGTTCTGCAGAGAGAGGTACACAGACCTGGCCAGTGTGAGGAACGACAGTGAGAACAGTAATGTTTCCGCAAGTTTCCATACCTGGATCGGTCTGTTCAGAGACTCGTGGACGTGGTCAGATCAGAGCAACTCTTCATTCAGACACTGGACATCAGACCAACCTGACAATCTTAATGGAAGTGAGGGCTGTGCGGCTGTTCGGACGATTGGAGCAGATTTCGGTCAGTGGGAGGATCTGGACTGTGATGAGCAGATGGCATTTGTGTGCAGAGAGAGTGAGTTTCTTATACTTCTCATTTCTATGGTTCATAATGGCTTCATAATAAAGAGATTTTCAATGTAAAAAATAGTTCTAGCCAAATGTGCTACAACATCTACATGATTAAGTGAAGCAAGTAGTGTTCAAATATGTTAGTAGGTGAGAACATTATATGCCTCTTTATTGGAACCACCAGCTTTCATTCATGTTTGTCTGGATTAAACGCAACTTTTCATGTTGAATTTGTCTGTTAACCATCTTTCAATAATGTTGAAATGGCCAAATTTAGGATGGGCTATAAACAACATTGTAGGAGACATGAGGCTCTATTTTTGTGGTCACAGTGCAAGTGGACAAACAATGTTAAATCCTTGTCTTTCTGCTTGTTATTGTGGCAGACAGGGGCGATTTAATGTACAGGTGTACCTGGACTGAAGCCCAGAGACCCCTGATTGGCCTTTTTGATCATCATTTTTTAGTTAGATTTATTTATTCTCTCTAAACAGATTGATAACAAGCCTATTGTTGTTTATTAAATAGCGATGATGTGAAGATGATGAAGGAGATTCCGCTGATACCATCTTCCTTGTATAAGATGTTTATTACAAAGTAAAACAGTATCATATCAGGCACTATAAAGTACTTGAGAGGGGATCTGTGCCAATTCTGAAGTGTCCCCACCAGACCACTATAGCCAACGGCTTATATATGCAGACAGAACATATGGTCCTTATTAAAAGGATCTCCTCTGTTTGGAATTTAGAGAGGCCCACTCCCTATGGGGGCCTTTGGACAAGGAGCCCCCATAACTTAAACATTCCAAACCTGCAAAAACATACATAGAAATTCAGACACTACAATATCAACTTATACTAAACATTAAGAGTGTTTTTGCCTTTTTCTATAAAACCACTCTTCTAAATACACCTCACTATCCAATCAAGTGGGGGAAGAATATTTATTAAGCCAACTTTTTCATACTCTTAAAAATGATGTAGGGTTCTTTACAGGTTCTGTAGTCTGGGCTCCTTCCTTCCAGCTCTCGCAGCCATCATCGGGGCCCAGGGGACGGGCGCATGCCACAACAGCAGACTAATAAAAAGCAAAGTCTGGATGTGCTGAAAGCCTCTCCAAACATCGTAGTTGACTTGTCTGCTTTACGTCTCCAGGTGATCTGGTTCTGGTCCGAGAGAATCTGACGTGGAGTGAAGCTCTGAAACACTGCAGAGAGAACAACATGGATCTGGTCTCGGTGCACTCTGAGGAGATCCAGAGGTCGGTGGTGGAGGTGGCCAAAAACGCCTCCACTAGTCACGTATGGCTGGGTCTGCGTCACACCCGTGCTCTAGATCTGTGGTTCTGGGTGAGTGGAACATTCACCTGCTATGATAACTGGGCTCTTGGTAACGGGACAGGCGTCGAAGACTGCAGCACTGGAGAGAGAACCGGAGCAGTGCAGACTGGAGGAGAGCAGAAGTGGGTCAGTCTGCCGGAGAATCAGACTCTCAACTTCATCTGCAGCAGATATTAAGGTTTGTGTTTGTTTTTTTTGGTGCATATAAAAAAAAAAATAATGAGTAAATTTAAACTGTAGCATCTTTGTGTTGTTTCATAGGATTTTAAAATGGGAATTTCATATTGTGATGGGTGAAGACTGAAGAGATTGATCCCTGATCCCAAACTTTTTTCCAGGTTCTGTAGTTTTCAACTGAGAGTCATTTTCTTATGGTATTCACACTGCAGACAAAGTGTTTTACCCATTTTAATACTGTTTTCTGATTTGTGCTCATTGGAGCTCTAAGAACAGCTTTAGTAAAGGAAAATTTAACATCTCAATATGAGCGTAGAGTGGGGAAAGTCGATTTTTATTTGCATTTTAAACCTAATGTAGCTGTTGGGAAAAAAGCCTTACACGTTTTTCATTTTTAAATTTGAAACTACAGTTTAAATTTTGTGAAAATTTCATGGTGAATCAATAGAAATGATCCTAATTTACTTGGAATGAAATGTCATTAAATTAAAGCCATGTAAGTTTTGGGGATTTGGAGACCTCTCTGGTGGAAATGTGTAATTGCAACATGCGGTAGAACATTTTATAACATGAGTTGTGCTTCGGCCCCCTTCCCCGAGTGGATGAATCTGATGATTGAAAGAGAATTTAAAAAGAACTCAGTCTAAACTTGGTGAAAGACGTGTCATCTGAGGATGTGAGTGAATTATCTACTGTTGTCATCATTTCTTCATCAGTACAATGTTGATTTTGGATTTGGGAACTAAACATCAAGCCAGACCTTCTTTTTAAGTCTGTGCATGTGATGTTAACATGTAAAGGTGTACGACGTGGTGTGAAAAACTCTCGACTCGACACATCTTACTATTAAATGATTATTACAGGGTGACTTTTCTCCTGACTCAGTAATGTGACTTCTATCAGTTTTAACTGAAAAATCTTATATTGTGCAGCTTTAATTTGTATTGATATGTTAAGAATGTTTTTCTTCTCCTGCAACTTTGCTTTTTTGGAAATGCAGATTTTGGTCTGACAGCGTTGATATATTCAGTGTAAACAGGTGTTTCTGTCACTATTTTAAAGCTATTTCCTAATAGACAAGAACTGGGTAAACACTGATTTTCAGCCTTTTAGTTTGATGTTATGTTTTTATGATTTTCTGTTTTTGTTCCAAAACTTTGCCACAAAGAGGTTTGTTTAATGAAAGTTTGCCCATATCAGGTTTTAAATTGCCTCTTAAATATCGAGTACATTAATTCTAGCTACAGTAGGAAAGTTCCATTGTGGAAACATCAGTAAAGATACTTAAAATTTTAATTTTTAAATTCCATGTGGTCCAGCAAAATCATTTGAGTGGCCAGTAAGTTAGGATACTTACTGACCGCCTCATCAAGAAACATCCTATAAAAATGGCTAATTTTGTTTATAAAGGTTAATTTGTGTTTTTCTATTGACTGTTTTACTGTTTCTTATATTGTGTTCAAACACTTTAGGTTGAAAAAGCTAAATAAAAATGGCACCGAGATGAAAGATTTTATGTCATGATATGAAAAGTTAACCAAAAATCAGCCTGTAGTGTGAATGTATTCAAATGAATCCAGTTCATTTTAAAGTGAAATTCTTATTGTTGTATTTAAACACAGTTAATTTTCAGTTTGTGAGTCAAACTCAGCATTTAAGAGGAAACTGATAATCAGATGTGGGCAAAATTCATTCCTAGAACTTTTTCATTTTAGTAATAGTTTGGTTTTAGGAACACTATTTTAGATTTTATTCATTTTATTAATTGAGTAGAAGGTTTTGTTTGAACGTTTTAATGTAAATGAACTGTCAGGTCTTGGGTGAGTCGATGTGGAATAAATTTTATATACTAGTTACTGTAACTAATGCCTTTTGTAAGATGAACACGAGCTGTTTTTTTGTTTGTACATATTCCAAAATAAAAATACATCTAAAAACTGTCTAAAACATAATTTCATTGGGTTGCAATGGGGGTCAAATTGAGACATGGAACATCTAGACACAAACCAAGTATGTGTAAGAGTAGTAGTGTTGATATAGGATCAGTTTTGCTCCACAGCTGCCTAAACTGAAGTTCATGTGTAATCTTGGATTTAAATTTTATAAACACTTTATATGTAGTGCAATATAAAACAAGTGATGACACTGAATAAACAATGACACAACCTTTTTTAATTAGACAATATATTACACAGAATAAGACAGTGTTTACTTTAAAAAACAATTTTAGAGATAAAAACTAATTATGTATAAACAGTTTTAAGTTGTACTTCATTTATTAGTTACACAATATGTCCAAAAATTCCAGACAGCCCTTTTAATTATTGAATTCAGTTACTTTAAGCTGCAAACATCACTGTCACTGAATTGCACCCACACACAGTTTATATAATCTCCATAGAAACGCACTGGGAAGCTCTGGAGCAGCTGCACATGAGCCTCACATCTAGGCTGGGGTATAAAGCCCCACTGTGCCACAGTGGAACTGTGTTTTCTGGAGTGACGGAGCTCCATCCAATACCTTTGGGATGAGTCGGAGATCCAGAACTGATCATCCAACATCAGTACGTGACCTCACTAACGCTCAATCAAATCCTCACAGCAACGTTCCAACATCTAGTGCAAAGTCTTCCCAGAAAAATAGAGGCTGTTACTGCAGCAAAGTGGAACAAAGTCCCTATTAATACCTTTCATTTCAGAAGAAACGCTGGTGTCTACAAACTTTTGGACACATTGCACATGTGAGATTTCATTACGTTGGTATATCAGAAGAAAATTCACAGCATTAAGGTTCAGAAGTTATTCTGAAATATTGAGAAAAGCATTTTTCATAGTTAGAGAACAGCTTCACCCCTGAGAGACTGACATGATGTCATATACAGACAGTTTTCATCCTTTTCCTCATTCACTCATCTGTGGAAGAAGAAGAAAATTCATTTTATTCCTTAAGCGTGAACAGAAAGTAGACAGCAGTTTAGTCCTTTATAAAAAGTTTTTGATGGTGCAGCTGTGTATTGTTCATATGCTGGGCATCTGGCCGCATCACATTACAGGGTTTAGGTGATGTTTGTGATCATGTGACTGTAATGAAAGCAGTGAGATGAGAATTTGTGCTTTTTTAACATCATTATGCAGATTATCATATCATTGTGGTCATCGTCCAGTGTGGACAGAGACAGCAGCAGCTTTAATTTGATAGACCGTGATTGTGGTTCTCTCAGGTGTTAGGAAATAAGCAATTTTGAAATTTCAATACGTCAGGACATAATTAGTGATAAATATCAACATTTTCTTTATTTAAAACCACAGCAGTACTAATCACATCTGTGACGGGTCCCATTTCCACCAGACATCTGAGAAGTTTGATGCCTCTAAAGTCCATGAAATGGTTATGATTACGCTGCCTGATGTCAATGTGAGACAGTGATTTATGATAGTGTGAAATGTTTTTGCCTAAAACAATCATTTTAAAATCCATTCCTGGTGGAGGGATACATGCAGGACGTTGTGAGACAATATAGTCCCCAAAAGAAAACGTATTTTTTTAGACTTATGACTATTTTGCCATCATTAGCATTAAATCTCAGACGGCAGGTGTAGGTTCAGTGGTGGTTTTTGATAGTAAATTAAATGGCTATATTTGTGTTGTAGTCATGGCGACCCCTGGTTCCTATCACCACCACTGAGTCAGTAAGGTTCTTAACAGTTAACTACTTCACGTCAAAGCATGTTTCTATTTGCACGACACATAGACGTTTTCTCACTGAGTCTGAGCTTAAAAAAAGAAAAAAAAAAAACAGCAAAACTACTTTAACACTAATGCTGCCTTTACATTACAGCTTATGGACATTCAAGCTGTTCATGCTCAGAGCTGAGAAGCCACAAACTCCAACTCCGACTCTGCGCTGCTCTGTAGAGTTTTAACTGTGAGTTTTAACTGTGCTGAACATTTTTTAGCAGAATGGGCCGCTATCCAGCGTCACACTGGCTAAAAAATTAAGACTTAATTGCCGTTACTACTCAATGAATCAACTTCCTCTGTCTCTTCATCTTCTTCTTTCAGGACGAGAAAAATCGCATCTGCTTTTTAAATAAAAATCGACTCAGTCTAAAAAAACTAAACATTAAGCTAACATTGAGAATGAAAAATATTGTTTTCTCTTTGTTGCAGTGCATCAGAATGCGTGACTTACATGGCACTGCTGTTCATGTAAATGAAGTTAAACCAGGATTGAAATTTTGATCTATGGATCAGAGCGCAGAGCAAAATGGAAAGAAAAAAACGATTCTACTCATGAATTTCATGGCCATTTTCAAAAATTAGCGGTAAATTGATAAGTAGTTCCAGCTCTAGCTATAACAAAAGTTAAAGTTAATAAATCTGAATAGAGTAATAATGCTGGGAATGTCAATAATATCTGTCATCCACAGTCGTTTAAAAGATCTGTGATGTCTGGATGAAATCTGCATCAGTTAAACACACATAAACACTGACAACTCACCATCAATCAGAGACGAGATGAGGATCGCTGCTCACCATCATCAGAAACTCCTTCTGGTTAAAAACACAAAGCATATACATGAAGGCATATGAAGGCATATACATTTACCACAGACTAAACTTTGCTAAAAGTTTTACATCATTTACACCATTTAAATGAAAATCTAGCGCAGCATGTAATTTAGCTCTAACTAGCTTAGCTAATATTCAAATTTAGACCGATTATTATCATTGTGGATTCATTCAGGACGCAGCAGTACATTCAGCACATCAGAAATAAGAAACAAATAGAATTATCCAACTAATTCAGTAACAATGCAGATTTGACTGCACTAATTTACATTTCATTCACTTTTGTTTAGCAGAAATATTACTGCTATCACAATAAGAGTCCCATAAAATTCCGCTAAAGTTTTCTTGACTTAATTGAACACGAATTATTTATCAAACGCTGTTCATTTATACTATTTTTTGTCAGTGTACAAGATTAGGTAAAATGTTGCATGAAAAACTTTATGTAGATAAAGTTCACGCTTAAAAAAATATGGCGCACTTTTTTCCCTGCGTAAAGGACCACCTTTAAGAAGCCCACCTGGCTAGGGGGCCCAAGGTAATTTTAGATTGCGTGACAGTTTGAAATAGTAGCAGACCTCTGAAAGAATGGATGCTGCCAGTCATCCTCATCATAGTCTTCATCAACGTAGGCTTCATCATCGTCGTCTTCATCAATGTAGGCTTCATCGTCGTAGTCTTCATCATCGTAGGCTTCATCATCATAGTCTTCATCAACGTAGGCTTCATCGTTGTCGTACTTGTCATAATTATCCTCATTATAGGAGCCCCATTTAGAATGACGAGCATGAGAGTGAGACTGGGTTCCTGGCATACACACACACACACACACACACACACATACACACACACACACACACACACACACACACAGGATTACAGTCACATCAAATTTTCACTCTTCCTCTAAGCCAGAAACAAGATAAAAAAAAAACAAACAAACAAGAAAACAAAACATACACTGCATGATATTTCATATGACTACTTATAGTTTCCCTAAAACATCACCCATTATATTTTACAGCTAGTTCAGAGGAAAGCGAGGCAAACTGCAGTTTAGTTTTTGCTAAATAATTTGTTTAATTATTTGAGTAAGATTAAAAATATGTTTAAACAATTATGCTACACATCTCAGCTACAAATGGAAACCTAAACTGTTTCCAGCACCAGCCCTTTATGGACAATTCAGTCGAAAAATGTAGGTGGGGTTTAATGTAACAGATTGAGTGTCTAATTTTAACAGTTGCTAAAAAGTCTCAATACAGTTCTTTGTTGTCTTAACCAGATAGGTTTTCCAACCTAAATACATCTTCCTTTGTTTATATTTCATAACATTGATTTTTTTTAACCCCTTAAGCAGCACTTAAGTCCCTGTAGTTGCTGAGTAATATGCCTTAGTATGTAAAAAGCCTGATATTTTAATGAATAACCTGAACATGTAAGTGGATTTCTAACATTTGTTCTGAAGTCTACGGCAAAGTTACGCTATTTCAGTCAATTGTATTTGTCTGTGCTAATATACACCAATCAGGCATAACATTATGACCACCTCCTTGTTTCTACGCTCATTGTCCATTTTATCAGCTCCACTTAATATATAGGTGCACTTTATAGTTCTACAGTTACAGACTGTAGTCCATCTGTTTCTCTGATACTTTGTTAGCCCCCTTTTGCCCTGTTCTTCAGTGGTCAGGACCTCCATGGACCCTCACAGAGCAGGTACTATTTGGGTGGTGGATCATTCTCAGCACTGCACTAACACTGATGTGGTGGTGGTGTGTTAGTGTGTGTTGCGCTGGTCTGAGTGGATCAGACACAGCAGTGCTGCTGGAGTTTTTAAACACCTCAGTGTCACTGCTGGACTGAGAATAGTCCACCAACCAAAAATATCCAGCCAACAGTGTCCTGTGGGCAGCATCCTGTGACCACTGATGAAGGACTAGAGGATGACCAACACAAACTGTGCAGCAGCAGATGAGCTATCGTCTCTGACTTTACACCTACAAGGTGGACTGACAAGGTAGGAGTGTCTAATAGAGTGGACAGTGAGTGGACACTGTGTTTAAAAACTCCAGCAGCACTGCTGTGTCTGATCCACTCGTACCAGCACAACACACACTAACACACCACCACCACGTCAGTGTTACTGCAGTGCTGAGAATGATCCACCACCCGAACAGTACCTGCTCTGTGAGGGTCCTGGGGGTCCTGACCACTGAAGAACAGGGTAAAAGGGGGCTCACAAAGTATGCAGAGAAACAGATGGACTACAGTCTGTAACTGTAGAAGTACAAAGTGCACCTATATAGTAAGTGGAGCTGCTAAAATGGACAATGAGTGTAGAAACAAGGAGGTGGTCATAATGTTATCCCTGATCAGTGTATATCTATCTATCTTATATATATCTAAGCATTGTCTTGTCCTTTCCTTCATAACATATTCTGGCCTTCTAAGTATTTGAAGTCATGATTTGTACCGTAGTTCATTTTGAACGTGGTGTCCTGTGACACTGTCAGGAGCGTTTTTCCTGTCAGCGTCCTGAATTCCACAGCACATCTGTACTTGTTCTTTATCAGCTCCTCCAGCCTCACAGCAAGGTAGATGGTCTTCTGGAAGGTTCCGTCTCCATTGGGCAGAGTCTCTCCGATCTCCACATAGTCCTCAACATCTTCTTCATTTTTCTGCCAGCACATCCGCACAGTTTTGGAGGACAGGTCTGTAACGCGACACACCACCACTGAGAGCAAACCCAGCTTCAAGCGTTGTGTTATTGTAGGTATGACTGGACAGAGAGGAAGAAAGAAAACATCATATCAAAGTGTGTGTAGGTGCATTCACTTCCTTTGTCTCAGAATAAACGTGACTATGTCTCCGCTGATACTGTACCGACTGCATGAAATTCATAATACTGATTTGCATATCTCCAGTATTCATGTTACTTATGGTTCTTAACAAAAAACGTCTTCAGCCAGGCTACACACTCATGTGTGTAGTAGAGGAGAAGGGTCTCGAGCTGGGTTGTGTTCCTGTTCCACTCCTGTGCCATGAATTTGGCCTCAGGAACCAAGGCAATGAATTGCCTGCTCTCCAGATCCAGAGTCATGAAGTCCACCCCATCATAACCGTACACGTCAAAGCCGTCAGAGTGACCAGAGTCCTCATCCCACAAACAGCCGTACATCCTCTGAAAGGTGTGCACACCTGAGAGAGGAAGGGGGTGGGGTTGGGGGTCAGACAAAGCAAGAGAGATGACCAATGCTTAAAACATTCCTAACTTTTACTGTAAATTAATGTAACAAGATTATAGTCATTTAAAGGTTAAAGAAAAACTTTTATTGAATGCATGTAGCAGCGTTAATACAGTATGGCTAATATGTGCAATTAGCTACACTATATGGACAAAAGTATTGGGACACAACTCTTAAGATTTTCCACGATCAGCTGTGAGTGGTATTATTGAAAAGTGGAAGCTAGAGGTCTGCCCTACTGCAGATTCCTGCAGGACCAGCCACAATATCTTGCAGCACAGGACTAATTTTCAGTGTTGCTTGCAGGAGTGGGCGGGAAATCAGACCACTGCAGGCGGGAGTGGGGGGCAGGCACACTGTGAAAGGTGGCTCGTCAGATCTGCCTAAAAAAATTACTTCATGTTGTAACAAATAACTTAACTAGTTTTATTCAACCTAAATAAACACATTGAATTAACAATTATTTCAACCAATGTAGTTTTTAAGTTGAATAAAACTAGTTCAATTGCTTGTTACCACATGAAGTAAAGTTTTTAGGTACATCCGATGAGCTACTTTCTACAGTGCATGAAGAGAAATCCCACAAGTTGATGAATAGCCTAAATAAAGTAGAATGACATGGAAAGTCTTGCTTTTCATTTCGATGCCTATATTAAGTATCCAGCCCTTTCAAACAGGCTGCGAGTGCAAAGCGACAGAGCAAATACAAATGAAAATCAATGAAAATTAAAAAAAGACCATATAAAAACTAGGTTAACTTTCTGTGCTGCAGACAGATTTCCCGGTTGATGTGTGTAACTTTCTCGCTGCTCCGCTCCGCAGCACAAACGCTGCATGTATGAAAGGCCAGCATGTTCCAGCTGTAGTGCTCACGCTGCTGTATCACTCTTGCCACGCAGAGGCAGCATGTGTGAATCAGGCATTAGACAGAACCTTCAGTCCGACGGCCACAGCTGCCCAGCAAAACACCAAAAATAACCGCTCTGTGGTTTAATCCCTGCTTTGTGTTTAAATGGTGAATAAATGCCATTTGGTGAAGTTACTTCACAGTGGGCCTGATGACCATGAGTGCCATGTTATTTCAGCAGAGAATGATGTATTTGTGATTAGACTGTGTCAGATATTGGATGTGCGCGGGCGGGAGTGTAACAAATCATTTCGGTTGCGAGCAGGAGCGGGATGAAATCTCACGGGAGCGGGAGGAAGAGGGACTGAAAAAACAGTCCCACACAGACCTCTACTGGAAGCATTTAGGAATCACAGCAACTCAGCCATTAAGTGTCAGACCATGTAAATTACAGAGCGGTTCTCTGAGTGCTGAGGAGCATAGAGCATAAAAGTCACCAACGCTCTGCTGATCAATAACTGCAGAGTTCAAACCTCCTCTGGCATCAACATCAGCACAAAAACTGAGCACCGTGAGCTTCGTGGCACTGGTTTCCATGGCCGAGCAGCTGCATGCAAACCTTACATCACCAAGAACAATGCCAAGAGTTGGATGGAGTGGAGTAAAGCGCCGCCACTGGACTCTGGAACATATTCTGTGGAGTGACGATACTTGTCTATCTGTCAGTCTGATGGACGAGATTGCATTTGGCGAATACCAGGAGGACATTACCTGCCTGACCGCATTGTGGCCTAAACCCCTTAGTCCTTTAGTTATGCTTCCAACTTTGTGGGAACAGTTTGAGGAAGAACCTTTTCAGTTCCAGCATGACTGAGCCGCAGTGCACAAAGCAAGGTCCATAAAGGCAGGGCTGGGTGAATCTGGTGTGGAGGAACTTGACTGGCCCTCACAAAGTCCTGACCTCAGCCCATTAAACACCTTTGGGATGAACTAGAACAGAGATTATGAGACATCATATATCATCCAATACTGGCTGACCTCACAAATGCTCTTCTGGATGAATGGGCAAAAATTCCCACAGACACACCAAAATCTTGTAGAAAGCTTCCCAGAAGAGTGGAAGCTGTTATAGCCGCAAAGAGGGACCAACTCCATATAAATGCCTGTGGATTTAGAATGGGGTGTCATAAACATCTCCTGTAGGTGTAATGTATAGATGTCCCAATACTTTTGTTTATTTTTGTTTTGGTTAGAACCAATCTAACCACCAACGATGGAGGCATGGAATGGTAGGGGAAAATGTTTAAGAAGTCATAAAAGTCATAAAATTTGTTAGCTTATCTACTAACCTTCTTCATGCCCAGAGCTCTCCATCGCACTGGTGAGCCCACTTTGTAACTGAAGAGATTCTGAAAAGCGCAGCCGTGTGGTTTTCTGCCAGTAGGGAGTCGCCAAAGACCCTCTTCGCCCACAGCTGTCTAGGGAGGAGGGTGTGGCATTTGCTGTCGTAATAATCAATCTGCTTTCCGTGAAGGAAGGACACAGCTGTAAACTTAGGCAGGCCTGCTATTCCTGTAACTGCAGTGAACTTGGTGGTGTACAAGTAGATTTCTGAAAAAATCAAACAACATCTGCATTCAGTTCTACGAGAAAGAAATAAACCGCTCATTACAAAGTTGAATGACCTCCGGAGAGGTCAGTGGTGTAAAATGATCAGCACTTGTCTATAGAGATGTGGAAAAGAGGGATACAGTCAGATGAGCCATCCTTCACCATGTTCTCCACAAGTGGGAGAGTGCATGTGCAACGAACACCAGACCTGAACGCTTGACCCCTACAGTGAGGGGGTCTGATGGCTCTTCCTTGGGAGGAATTTTACTAGCAAGGCTTAGAGGCCACTGCAAACCAAAGTCAGAATAGAGGTGATCAAAGTCATTCTGACTGTTCACCTCTATTCTGTGATAAAACATCTCCATCCTGACAGGAGGGGTCTCTTCCCCAGATTACACTGCCCCCATCCACAGAGCTCAAGGGGTCAGTAAATGGTCTGAAGATTATGAAAATGATGTAAATCACATGCTGTGGCCTCTGCAGTCAGATGTAAACCCAGTTAGACAGAAAGATTTTGGACTGATGCACTTTCCACCACCATCATCAACACCAACTTTGGAAATATTTTTGTGAAGAACGCTGTTCCATCCCTCCAGTACAGTTCCAGAAACTTGTAGAATCTTTGCCAATGGGTATTATAGCTGTGGCCCAACACCTTGCTAAGGGATGTTTTTGTCACCTGTCTGTATGTTGCACTGCTAAGAAATCAGAATTCTAAAACTATGTGACAAAATTTACTTTTAAGCTGACCAATAGGCATCAAAACAAAAAGTACTTTGGCCTAAACTGAGCTGTAATTGCTTATTACAAATTGCTCTATAAAAGAGTGTTTAAATGTTTTTGTGTTCCCTGTAGTGAAAATAAAGTCCCTTCTACACATTCTATAAATACACATAGCGAAAGGGGTTCTTTAGAGCAATGTGATAGAAGAACCAGTTTTGGTTCCTTAAAGAATCTTTTAATGGGTGATTCTTTAAAAGACCGTTTTATGGAAATGAGTGTGACAAACTTTCTTGAAAGTCACCCCAAAGTTTTATTGCACACTTTTATACCCTAAAAGTAGCTCAACCAGTTTGCACTGAAGTCCCTGTAGCTACTGAACAATGAGCCTTAGTATATAATAAACCTGGGTTTAAAGGACCTTCACCCAATAGAAATATCAAATAAAGGTTTCAGTACTTTATTTAGATGCACCATAGACAGAGGTGTAAAATTCAAGTCCAGAAAGTAAAAACCCCTCCCAGGATTTTGTTCCAACTGCCTGGACAGCTCTGCTGGTGGTTTGATCTAACTAGAGAAGCCAGGCCATTGGAACAAAATCCTGGGAAGGATTTTTACTTTCTGGACCTGAATTTTACACCTCTGAATAGACACTGTAGATGCTCTCTTTGTCCTTAACTAGCATTCAACAAAAATTGAACAGTTGAATCTGAAACTAAACCTAAATTTAAGACTAAGACTAACACTGTAAATAATAATCAGTTTTGACAATTTGAGATATCCTATGGGGGCTCTTTAAAAAGTGTGACCAAGATATTTTTTCTAGAACCATATATTAAAGCCAAGAACCATTTAGGAACCTCATCCGATAGTTTAGAGCTGAATTCCAGTGCTCATTCACTTTTTCATTTCCAAGAATAGCCAGACAGCCTCTGAGGACAAAACCAAACTGCAGTATAGAACACATGTGTGAATCACATCTAAAATATTGCTTACAAGATAAAATATCGAGGTAATCATTGAAATGATACAGGTGTACCTGGAGAACATGAGCTGATCAGGTGACCGAAGGCCACAATACTGATTTGTGGGAAACCCCAGGTGAAGGTTTGTTGAGAAACACGTCAAACCGAAAGTGAAACTGGGTTTTGCACTTATAACACAGACTATCATTATATAATAGGATAATAATTGGACACCAAAGTAAAACTCCATAACGAATACGATTCAGTACATCAAATGACCCAAATTAGTAATAGTGATAATAAGTTGAGTCTTTATAGCATCTTTTACACAGCCAAGTTAACTTTACAATTAAAAGTGGCCTCAGTAGTTATACTGAAAGTTTCTATTTACCTGCTGCTGTATGAGATGCACAGAGGAGGAGGAGAAACAGCTTCATCTTGATTCTTCCTAGCCTGAACCAGTTCTGATGATCTGTGGGTTAGTTTAGCTTTTTATTACCAATTCCTGCAAACAGAAACACAGAACAGTACAATTCATCCGTCCATCAAAACTGATGAAGTTCTAAGAAGTGACCTTGTTTCAGTACAGAGCTTTTAGTTCTTAAACTCTTTAAGCTATAAATTGACATCTACGCTCGACAGCAGTAATGTTTAATCATACTCACACTGAAGACTCGATACAGATACTCTTCCCAGCGTCTGCCCACACACTGCCCAGCTCATCACTGCTACTTTCAGTTTCTTTCAGATTCACTGCAGTGTGTGACAGTGTGATGTATCCACTGTGCCACACCACTCACATGACTTCAGTGCAGTTCAGCCTGTTTCCACATCCAAGAAACAAATGAGGGGAAAACCATGTTCCTGTTAGCCGTCTAGTTTCCAAGAAATGAAAGTCCTTTCTAAATAACCTGTAGCTTAAACTCCTCTGACAGTTACAGTGGGGAGTCGATGAGATCACAGGTAGAACCAGCACATGAAACAATGACAGCCGCTAAGCAAAACTGCTGCGCGCTACACACTACTGGCAACTTGCCAATTAATGCTGCCAAAATAAAAGAAGCCAAATCTGTATATAATTCAGTCATTCAGACATAAACATTCTTGGGGTCCTGAAAATCAACTTATTATGATGTTATGTTGTCTGTTAGGAAAAAAATAGATGCTCTGTCTCAGTTTGGCCAGCTTCACCATGAAATGGTGAGCTTCTGTCTTTGATACTCTCAACCAACTTCACCCAGTTGGTCATTCATAGCCTAGCTACTGTAACTATGACCAGGATACCTCTGAACAATGTGCTGTAGCATATTTGTAAATCTGACACCTTGTTGAATTCCTCTAGAGTTTGGTTGAAAGAGTGAACTGTTACTCATTTTTTAAAAAACAAAGACAAAAAAAGATGTGTAGGATCTCAGTTAATGTGTGTAACACCCCATCACCAAACTGGAAAAGAGCATTTCCAGTAGAGGAACGCATCAGCGCCCCTATGGTGAGTCAGTGAGCAGCCAGCTAATGCTGGGGTGGCCAGCCGACATGGGACCCCATTAGCCATTATACTAGTTATACATGAGTGTAAAGATTTGAAAGCTAGACAGGCTCTGTATAAGGTAACCTATGATACATGAACATATAACTGAACATATAACATTAACTGTAAAGAGTGATTAGTTAGCTGACTAATTTTGATGGTTAACTCATTTTACATTAAAGACTTCATAGTGTAGCTCACAGAGCAGCACTGCTGAAGGACCCAGAGCACATTCACTCCTCTGTTTGCTCAACAAATTAGCCTTTCACAGCTAGATATGCTAATTATTATATGCAGTGTCATCAGACTCTCGTAACTGATTGGTACCCTGAAGGCAGATTTTCACCATAAAGCGTAATTCATGCTTTATTGATGATGCCTTCAGGGTACCAATCAGTTATGAGAGTCTGATGACACTGCATATAATAATTAGGGACTGATGATGGTTGACTGTTTCATTTTCCATAATTGGGGTGGCTTGAAGGATGAGCATACTTCATGCTAGGTTGGCACTGCCCACTCCTTGCCTAAACCTCTGTACACTGACTGTAGAGAAACTTTCAGAAAAACAGGAAAAACAACCAGCATGTCCCGCATCTCACTTCCTCCAAACCAGCTCCATCAAAAAAGGCAAATCACTATATTTCTGATATGTTTTGTTCCAACCATCCTCATATTTAGTGTACCTTCATCAGGAGCTTTTATATCCACTTACATTTTTGTCTACGCAAAGTATACAGACTATTTTCTGGAACTTTCTGCTCCAGCTAGTCTCCAGAGCACGTGAGGGGACATTTAAAGGGGGGGGTGGGGGGTAGAGTCCCATTCCAATCCCAATGACGAACAAACAAAACAGCAAAAAACAACAACAACAACAAAAAAAAAATAGTTTAGGCCAAGACCTTCTCAAAGACCACCAAAGTCTCAGACATCGTGGAATGTATTTGTTGTCATTTTATTCACTAACTTTCTGTGAAGGAGCTTTTAGAGGCGTTAAACACTTCAGACGTCTGGTTCCTATCACCACCACTAAAACCAATTCTGACTCTGTTTCTCTAAAACACAGCATTTCACACCAAACCACTCTGAATGGCTCTTTTTCCATCTTAATGATTTATTTGTGCAGAAAGGTTGAAAAATCAGTGCTCTTTAAAGTTGCTCTTTAAAGTTTAAACCCTGTACTGCTAGAAAATACAGTATATGTATACAGTATATGTTGCTGGTATGCTGGTCAACCAGTATGACCATGATGGCTGACCAGCTAAACCAGCACCAGCCGAGCACCATGGAATGCATTGAATATATTCAATTCAGAGATGTAAAAGGTGACCTTCACAGAAGAGATCATTGTTTTTTCTCAATTATATTTCTGTTCTTTGAAGTAAAAATGGTCTGTGCTATTTTTCAGCAGGGCTTCCTTAAAGCCACACTGATGGACAAAAACCACGACCCAGAAGGATAAGTGGTTTAGATGATGTTTGTATGTATGATGGACAAAAATGAAAAATCCAAAATGGTCAACCTGGAAGGGTTCAGGAGGATTGTTGTTTCTCAAAAACCATCCAAATATGTATTCTTAGGTTGCTGCCCTTTGTTTACTATAGCTTTTGCTCTGTACCATCTGTACTACCTGTAGTTGATGTTTAGCTACTACACAAACAATGAATATTCACTGTGCGTGTCCACTGTAGCTGTCACTGCAAATTGTATTGCTTTCCTAATGTTATGAAGTGCCTTTCCAGAGAAACAGTTTGTGTGTCATGATAGGTGTTGTTGTGCAGTCATATTGTCATCATATTTAGCAATTAGAATCTTGTGTCTGTCAGTGTTTTGAGTAATAGTGACCCCTACTGTTCAAACCAGTGAGTTACGCTAAATGGGCAATATGCTGAGGTCATGTGTCAACGGCTGGTTGGGAACACAGAGTAAAGCAGAGTAAAGTGTCAGGATCCAGTCCTCACAGGCCAAAACACTGCAGACTTCCACACACTGGCTCTAATACACACACCTGATTCAGCCCATCAGGTGATTAGTGGTCTCATCTGTACCAGAAGAAAGCACAGCAGGCGTCTAGGAGGAGGAGGTGCCTTCTTAAAAACGGTAAAATAAAGAGCCATGCCACATGATTCCCCCATAATCACACAATCACACCATCAGTATATAATTCTATTTTGTTCTTTTTGTTTTATTCAATGTTAAAATTAACATCAATTAATCAAACAATTTCAAGTCTGATCTCTCCCAAACCCCAGCTATGGGTTCATAGGTGGGTTTTGGGTGTAATGGTGGTTTCTTGCATTTTGCAGGCCCCGGGGTCAGGTTTCTCTGGTCCAGGGAACGCAGCCATATATGTCATATAAATGTCCTATAATACACTATTGTAGCATCTGACAACATTTTTCAGCAAAATAAATTGTTTTTTACAAATATAATTATTTATAACATTCAAATTTTTCTGAAGGTCATACAACTAGAACTTGACACAACCACGAGGGTCTTCACATAGTTTTCTTGCTACATGATAAATAAACGGCTAGTAATGATGCGTTGAATAAAATCACTACTATTTTTATTATATTTTTAAAGAATGTTAAAAATACAATTACACTTATCAAGTTTATTTATTTTTTTTTTTGGCATTTAGTGACACTTGTTTAAGAACAGGTACACCACCTAGACACATTTCACTTTAAGCCCCTAAAATTCTGAATTTCCTTAATATTTTATCTTTTAATTTTTGAAAGATAACAAATTCAAATCTATATCACATTGGTTTTTTGAAGTAAAATGAATGGATACAAAAAAATGAGGATCAGATTATTGGTACATTTAATCCATCCAAATTTATATTAAGTATGTAATAACTGTGTAGTTACACATTAACAATACTTGCAACAAGTATATATCTACTTTTGATGCATTCACTGTTACAGATTACAGTACTGCAATTTATACACACATGTAGCAACAATTATATGCAAATTACATACGCTGTAGTGCTGTTATCCATATGTAACAGTCAAAACCTCACCAGTAGTTATATAGTTACCAGTAGTTATGCATGTATTGTTAATGTTTAATTATGCAGTTAATAGAGACAACAAAATGGAACGCTTTAATCAAAATAAAAGCAGTGCATAGAAAAAACATTCAATACACACAATTTGACACTTTTTATTAATAACTGAGTTATCCTCTGCATAGTGTCAAAATGTCTTGATTAACAGACCAACAGAAATGATTCAGAATTACTCAGCAAAAATTCACACATATAAGAAAACAGAACAGTGCATGTGAGAAATTATGTAAAATTTAAGTCATTTAAAACCAAATAATAAACCAGTTAAAGAAAATGTGTCACAGTTAAACTGACAAATAGTAGATCAGATGGCATGTTCTGATGGTTCTGAGTGAGACCAAGATCTCATTTACAGTGGAGCACTGTACAAACTACATCTACGAATGAAGTGAAACATATGAAATATAACAGAAAATAGAAGAAAATTGCAATGAATCAAAGCACTGTCTGTAGTGCTTCTTGTGAAAACTGACCTGCATGTCGTACTAAGGAAGATGTCGTATAAATTCAAATGTGAAATTCTCAGAATAGATTAGTCCAGTAGGATTAACAAAGTGTCCGAAAGAGGCTACACAACGTCCCCACCAGCCGCCACACAGTGCCTTCACACCCTCTCTAACCTTCATAGTTGCTGCAGATGAAGTTGAGTCTCTGAGTCTCTGGCAGACTGACCCACTGCTGATTTCCTCCGGTCTGCACCGCCCCGGTTCTCTCTACAACACTGCAGTCTTCCACTCCTGTCCCGTTACCTGGAGCCCAGTTATCATAGCAGATGGACATTCCACTCACCCAGTACCAGAACCCCTGAGCGCAGGTGTGACGCAGTCCCAGCCATGCGTGGCGAGTGGAGGCATTTCCAACCACTTTCATCACCCAGTGCTGGATCTTCTCAGAGTGCACTGAGACCAGATCCACATAGTTCTCTCTGCAGTATCTCAGAGCTTCTCTCCATGTCAGATTCTCTCTGATCAGGAACAGATAATCTGTGGACAGTAAAGGACACACTGATGAAGAATGCTGGAACTACAGTAGAATGAGATGATGTTTAGACAATGTATATGACAACAATGTACATGACTGAACTACACCCTAGTAACAGCACTGATGACAACAAAACTGGCCAGCATGGGCCTTTATGACACCTGCTGCCTATTGGGCCCAATTCCATTTCACCTCTCGCCCTACCACTTATCCCTTACTCCTCTGTCTTGTGCGTTCACACCTAGGGGTAGGGTGTCCCGATTCTTGTTTAGATAGAGGGGTAGGGTGAAGTGTTAGGGCTACATGACTGTCCAAACATAGGTTTTTCAGAGGCACACTCCAAACGTAATGAAAAAAAAAAAGAAAAAACGGCAAGATGGCTGTGCAAGAGACCAAAGAAACCCACAAATGTGAGAATTTTCTTTGTTAAGAATTACGATGATCATCATATTATCTAGTTCAATGTTGTTTCAGTGTATTATGGTCCTTTACTTCATAACAAGCATAAAAATCACCAATACTATGCTGATCTCTCAGTAGCTAGCTAGCTAAATTTCCCGTTCCACCTTAAATGGTGCAGCAGTTACATTAGCATTTAAGGTGGAATGGGAAAATTTGAACAAGAATCTGGTGAATATCTGACTTCAGTTTCATATCACTGAAGTATTAGGCATGAGCAATAATAAATAATTGCCCCCCCTTTGAAGGCATATGGTTCCCTAAATGTAACTAAAGCTCAGCAGTGAGGAGCTGAACTTTACCCTCCTCTGCTGTCACTGCAGACTGGCAGGGTCGCCTACAGAGCAGCGCTAGTAGCTGTTAATGAAGTAATGCTCTTTTTATTTGAGGGTCCCATTTCATAGGGAGGATTGTATTTGTCTTTATAGAAGAGTTTCTCCGTCTCAAATACTTGTTTGGCGGGAAACTAAAGAACAAATAGTTCATGTCAATTATAAGCCAGTTCATTCTAGGATTGGACTTAATCAGTGAATCAGATCATATGATTCAGATTCAGATCATAACAGATTCACACTAATGGGCTGATTAAATGATCTGGGCTCATCAATAGTTAACTAACATGATAATGAGCATGATTAGAATATAACCATATAAAGGGCTGCTATACGTTACATGGCCACAAGTATGTGGACATTTTTTATGGTATATGGCTATTTTAGCCAAATCCAGTGCTAATAAAATCAAGCATAAAGCCATGCAATCTCCATAGACAAATGCTGTCATTAGAATGGGTCATACTGAAGAGCTCAGTGACTTCAAAAGGTTTAAAAGGTGTCTGGTGTCTGGTCTGGCAAATAGTAGATCAGATCTGGTCTGGGCCACTCTCATTTTCCGTAATACACTGGCACTAGACTGGGTCTAAACACCCTAAAATGGCCAGGGGCCATTAGCAGGCCCAAAGTTTCATTACACACTTCTATTACCTAAGAATAGCTGAACCAGTTTGCACTGAAGTCCTTGTAGTTACTGAATTATAAGCCTTAGCATGTAATCAGCCTGGAATCTTAAGGGGTTAACTGGTCTGGTTAACTCTAACCTCAACCCCAGCTAATATCTGATACAACAAACTAAATTATAAATGAAAGAATGCCAACAAAACGGAACCACTTGATGATATCAGCTGTACTTCTTCTGACTATCTTATAGACAATAAAGTGAGGTGGCTGTCCAAAGGACAGGTGCTGAGATGTATTGCAGAATAAAAAAGTGATTTCAGTTATGCTGAATAGCTGCATCTTCTTTTAGCGATGCAGAGTAGTTTTTCATTGTATAGTTCATAGTGAGTCATACTGCACTTTAATTCAGCCTTTTGGCACAACCTGAATTAACAGCTCAATCCAGTATGGATGGGTTGAGAGAAGTCTCAGGCATGTATTTACAGAAACAGTTTGGGTGACTATTGACTTTCATTGTTTTTTAGCAACGTTAGCCTCATAGATCCTGTTCTGAACTAAAGACCAACATTCAAAAATGTCTTGGCTGCATTTGGGATAAGTGGAAAATAATGTGAATATGATTTTACAACAAACAACTCCTTTAAAGCTCTGATCTCAGCAGTGTGTATATGAAGGAAAAGTAATTCATATGTTTATCATGTTTTATGTCATTCATACAGCTGAGCAAGAATATAAATGTCATGCATCACTCCAGCCCTGACTCTCTGGTGGACTCCAATTCCCAGAACCCTCTGGGAGAACACATGATGATGACATCAGAGATCTGCCTCACCTGACTACTGATTTTCCTCACCTGTTTCCTTTATCATGTGACTTGTTCTAGTTAGTATATAAGCCTGGGCTTAACAACAAATACATGTTTGTTCTTGTTTGTGCTGTAGATTAGCCTACATAAGCTTTGATCTTCTACAATTTGAACTGCTTTAAAAACATAAATACACATTAGATCAATGTTATGTCAACAAAAAGTTTAATATTGAAAAGAAAAAAGGTTCCTATGGTTTCTTCTTTGGGTTGCTGACCACTGCTATTAGAGAAAGTTCTCACTGGCCATGGGCAGTGTCTCAGTAACTGTGGTGGGAGGTGCACTCTGTGTTTGGTTTTCTTTGAGTAAAGTGGGTGAGGTCGTGGGAAACTGCAGAGATGGAGTAAAATCGTAGTACGCTGCCAAAATAAAAAGAAAATAAACATTAATTTGAGCTCAAATTACTTCTATGAGTATTCAGATTTACGCTGATGGAAAAGTGATATTCAGGAGAACATTGTTTCTCCGCTGGTGAACGTCTCTCTTAGAATGTAAAATAATGGTTAGAGCTTGTTTAGATTTTAGGACTAGTATTTGCACTAAACAAGATTTTCAGTAAAGAATCGTCAATAATGACACAGTCTAATCTAGGACTGTGTCCAGAAAGCTGCTAGGAGATTTCTAATAAAAATAAAAACAAAAGAAACTCACTCTCTCTGCACACAAATGCCATCTGTTCATCACAGTCCAGATCCTCCCACTGACCAAAATCTGCTCCAATCGTCCAAACAGCTGCACAGCCCTCATGTCCATTAAGATTGTCAGATTGGTCTGATGTCCAGTATCTGAACCACGTCCACGAGTCTCTGAACAGACCGACCCAGGTAGTGAAACCTGTAATCTCACTGTTCTCACTGTCGTTCCTCACACTGATCAGGTCTGTGTATTGTTCTCTGCAGAACCTCTGAGCTTCATGCCAGCTCTTCTTTATAGCCTGAGAGTTGTGGTAAGAGTCTGTAACTCCTGAAACACATTAATAACAGATTTACACATTTCAGAATTCATACTTTATATGAGTGAACAGTAACTGTAACTATCACAAACCTTTAAAAACTGAAATAAGTCTGTATGATATTTAAACATTACGAATAAATTCCTACCATCATAACAAACAAAGCTGTGTGACTGATTACAGTTCTCATCACGCCAAAGGCCGTCACTACTGTACCGTGCAGCACAGTCCAGATCAGTAGATGAAGAATCACCGGGTCGTCCACTGAGCCACTTTCTAAACTCCGTCTCTCCCTGTTTATAAAACTCTGTGTCGGCCCGTGACCACATCCACTTCTTAGTGACCCCTCTCTGCAGTCCAATCCAAACAGAAGGTCGAGGAAAGGAGGAATTCTTTAAGGTCTCATTCAGCTCCTTCATCTCGTCCATGCTGTGGACAGTAGCCAGGTCAGTGTACGTCTCTCTGCAGTAACACTGAGCTTCGGTCCAGCTCTTCATTTCATTAATGAAGTGATAGTGATGAGGAGCACAAGCAGACAGACGGCAGAGAGCTGTGAAGAACAACACAGAACCCTCAACACACACAGAACCCTCAATACACACAGAACCCTCTTACACTGGGAGCTGTTCTATTACAACACAGCAGAACCGTCTTACACTGGAACGGTTCTATTACACCACAGCAGAATCCTCTTACACTGGAACTGTTCTATTACACCACAGCAGAACCCTCTTAGCATGGAACTGTTCTATTACACCACAGCAGAACCCTCTTCTTCTACTGTTACACCACAACAGAACCGTCTTACATTGGAACTGTTCTGTTACAACACAGCAGAACCCTCTTACACTGGAACTGTTCTATTACACCACAGCAGAACCTCTTACACTGGAACTGTTCTATTACATCACAGCAGAACCTCTTACACTGGAACTGTTCTATTACACCACAGCAGAACCCTCTTCTACTGTTACATCACAGCAGAACCCTCTTACACTGGAACTGTTCCTACACCACAGCAGAACCCTCTTCTACTGTTACACCACAGCAGAACCCTCTTCTACTGTTACACCACAGCAGAACCGTCTTACACTGGAACTGTTCTATTACACCACAGCAGAACCCTCTTCTACTGTAACACCACAGCAGAACCCTCTTACACTAAAACTGTTCTATTACACCACAGCAGAACCCTCTTACACTAGAGCTGTTCTATTACACCACAGCAGAACCCTCTTCTACTGTTACACCACAGCAGAACCCTCTTACACTGGAACTGTTCTATTACACCACAGCAGAACCCTCTGACACTGGAACCGTTCTATTACATCACAGCAGTAAAAGCATAATTAATCAAGAATCACTCAGTTGTAAATTATTATATATAAAATACCTGAGGAGAGCAGACAGATGGTCATCCAGTCCATTTCAGAGAGAGAAAAGGTAACAAAACACATCGATATGCTGTATCAACTGTTATTACACATCAATTATCATTATATAATGTAATTCTGTGAAAGATATGTCTGTTTGTAATCCAGACAGAAATGTGGCCGTAGTTCTTCGTTCTTCTTTCTCTGAACTTGTGTGAGTTACTGGATGTCACTCTCCTCTTTTTATGTCTCTTTCCTCTCCTCCCCATCTCTGCTCTGAAACATCATAGAAATAGGATGCAAATGCTTTGCATCATCACATACAGACAGATAAAAGCTCTATTCATTAATACAGGAAGATTTCTCAAAGGTTACTTTGCTATATAATATGAGAGCAGACAATTAATCAGCACACAATTTAATCATACCAGCCAAAAACTTTCATTTAAGTGTGATATTTTTCATGATTTGTGGTATTTGTGTGAATATTATCATTACTTTAGAAACTGACTAGAAGTTCCTCCCTTTAGAACTCCACTTGAGTAAAAGTACAAAAGTATTTGCCATTAAATGTACTTAAGTATTGAAATAAAAGTACTGAAAGATTAATTATGGTTCTAATTTCTAATTTTTGTAACAAGACTCTTGCTTCATTAACTCATTTTGGTTGAAAATATTCTGGTGTCACTCTTGTAACACCAATATTTTAATAGAATGTGATTAATGAGTCTGACGAAGATGTCTATTAAAATGATCATAAGCACAAAACACTGAAGGCAAACAGTTTCCATTAGGTAGAACCGAGTAGCTCTGAAAAGTTTCAGTTTAAGATTTATTTGCAACTTAGTTACAAGTTTAAGCTTAATAAAAACTTGCTATAAACACATTCACAAATGAGTTTTACTATATTGCATCTTTAGGTCTCTGTTCATAAATATAAACTAGCAAAAACAAATTTACTATAAATTGAAATAGTGTTTGTTTAAAGTCAGAAAAAAGACAGTCACAACTGCATATGTGTACATATTTCTATATTGTGGTCTATTTACACAAAGTTAGATTAGTTCCATCATTTATGTTGAATAGACTCTCCCAAAATGTTACGCTGCTGCACTGATGTTGAACTGTATGATTGCATTGGGTCGGTATGACCAACAGGTCAAAACAAGCTCAAAACAAAGTGCACTGTGCCCTGATGGGTGTTCTTGCTTTGCACTTCTTTTGTTTTGACATGTTACATTTTTCTACACACATAAACCAAAAGGAACAACCGATTTCACATAATGTAGTGGAGCAAAAAGTACGATATTTGACTTTGAAATGTAGTGAAGGTGAAAGTAAAAAGTTACCCAAAATGGAAATACTTCAGTATCAAAGTACAGTAATGAATTACATTTACTTCATTACTGTCCACCACTGCCAATGGGCCAACATTCAGCATTATTATTATTATTATTATTATTGTTATTATTATTATTATTATTATTATTATTATTATTATTGTTGTTGTTGTTGTTGTTGTTGTTGTTATAACCAATGTTTTTTCTAAATGAAACAAAATGTGGACATGTTGAGGAGCAGCCTGTTGCACTCTGGCTGAAAAAGGTTTAATAGAGATATACATTTTGATATTTTTTAGGACACATATTCAAAGCCATACAGTCAGACCAGTTGGAGATACTAAATAGCACCTACACACTTAAAAAAAGATGTTTTTTCGACGGTTCTTTAATAAAGAAAGTGGTTAGATTTAGAACCATGAACACTCAAAGAACCCTCTGCATGATTAAAGGGTTCTTTGCATCACAACAGGGTTTTTCAGAATAATGAATATTCTATATACAAACTTTTCTGGTTCTATATACAACCTTTTTGAAAATGGTTCTATATAGCATGCAAAGGGTTCTTCTACTGTTACAGTGTCAAGCTTGTAACAATAGAAGAACCCTTTTGAGTACTATATAGAACCCTATAGCACATTCATGCACATTTTCAATCAATCTGAAGAACCCTTTCATAATGCAAAGAACCCTTTTATCAGGCAAAGAGTTCTCTGAGTCTTCTTTGTTCTATATAGAACCACTTTCTTTACTAAGGGACCCTTGAAGCATCATCTTTTTAAGAGTATAGGTGAATGTGTATGTCTGTGTGTCCGCCCTGTGATGGACTGGCAACCTGTCCAGGGTGTGAGCATTGGGATGGGCTTCAGAACCCCCCATGACCCAGGAGGATAAGTGGCTCAGCTGATGAGCGAATGGAGACAGCATACCCCTGGAATCCGTTTATCTAATGAACATTTAGGGTGAACAGAGGGAGAAATCAGAGGCCTAGAAGAACCAGATCAGGTGTTTCTTTGCCGAGCTGAATGACTGTGCCCATCCTGTCTGGTCAGACACTGTCGTCAGATCTGCCCTGATCAGGTACCAGCCCTATAAACCAGTTCAACCACCACAGAGCCTCCAATGTCCTTCCTGCTGAGAGAACGAAGATCCTTCCAAGTCCTGAAGCATCTTCAGCAGCTAATGGCTATTTAGATGATGATTCGACTGGCTAGCAGATGCTGAATGCTTGTAAAAAAACATGCACAGCTAGTTGTGTTAACCCTGTGGATGGTAACCATACAACTGGGATTTCAGTAGTGAGCTCCTAAAACCATCCTGAACCCATGTACTGTGAATGTAAGACCAAGCAGTGATTGGTTTAACTCTTTAGAAATTAAAATGTGAATTATAATGTGAAGTCTATAGAGAAAGCAGTGCAACCAGCTAAACAGATTCCCTTTAAAATATATCCTTACAACTTGTGCAGTGGTGGACCAAGGCAGACTGGACCAATGTAGCTGTTGAAGTAGTCCAAAAGTCTACAGATCAAGCACATCTCACAGTGTGAGCAATTTCACATCTCAGCCATTTAGTTAATTCAACATCACATTTGCTAGACGTTCGTGTTAAAAGAGACCACAGAGGGCAAAACAAGTTCAGTTTTGACTGCAACAGTCTGTTGTTTTGACTGGGTCAAATGCTAAGGACCATCAGAAGAGTTTTGCAGGTAAACACTTCGCTTCAAAAACCTCACAGCGACCATCTGGAATCATTCACAGTTCCTAAGGGGATATTTCATGAGACCACTTTCACTATAGATTTATAAGAAACTGATCCTGTCGTATGTGTGAGGCAGAATTGATTTGTTTGTTTGTTTATATCAACAATGGGTGGCACGGTGGCGCAGTGGGTAGTGCTGTCACCTCACAGCAAGAATGGCCTGGGTTTGATTCCCGGCCGGGCGACCAGGGTCATTTCTGTGTGGAATTTGCATGTCTCCCTGTCTCTGCGTGGGTTTCCTCCCACAGTCCAAAGACATGCAGTCAGACCAATCGGACTTGCTAAATTGAACCTAGGTGTGTTTGTGTGGATGGGTATGTCTGTCTGTCTGTCTGCCCTGCGATGGACTGGCGACCTGTCCAGGGTGTATCCTGCCTTCCGCCCAATGACAGCTGGGATAGGCTCCAGCGACTCAGAAGGATAAGTGGTTTATATGCTTTTATTTAAATTTTATTTCATTTGAGATGTTTTGTCATTCCAGTGCTAGCCTTCTTGTGTAAAACACTTTGAGATGTGTAAATAAAAAATGGTACAATGTTAATTATCAGTCTCATTGAACACATCAACAAATTAAGATCTTATTTATTAATCCAACGCCACCGAATAATGTTGGAACAGATTCCACAACTCTCCATCCTCCCCCCCTTTGGCTCCCTCTGCTGGCCAATACTGGGCATTGCCAAGCAACCTTTGCAATGTCACAGCCTGCCATGGCTGAGTAAGCTGCCCCCTGCCTAACAGAGTCCTCCACAGAACCTCTTTTCCACAGAGGTTCCACAACTATACACACTGTATAGTCTTTTTGCCTGTGGCACTGTACGAGCACTGAAACCTGGACAGCAGCCCAGATTGGGTCACTGAGGGCTGGTGTCCAGCACAGTGTTTTGATTCCTTGCTCAACTACATTGTTTTGGAATGTAAGTGTTTTTCTGAATTAAATAACAGCTTACAGTGATAAATAGCCTTTTAAATAATAATAATAATAATAATAATAATAATAAAAATCACAGGTGCCTAAAACATTTGCACAGTACTGTTCTGTATTTGATCAGAAGATTAAGGAGAGGCTCAGGCACCTGCAAGGGCAGGTAAAGCTAACGAGCCAGGCCTGTCAGTGGCCCCAGGCTTTCTGGCAGAGAGTGATAATCTAAAAAAAAAAAGAAATCAAAAGGGAAGTGGAACAATCCTGGGCTCCTTCACTCTTTCACAACACTTCCATTGAGTAATAAACGTCCCTTCCTGCTGCTGAAACAATGCATTTTTAAGAGAGAGAGAGCGACCGGACTGGTGTACAATGGAGCTCCACATTACTCTGTACTTACTGTACTGCTGCGCTGCCTGTACATCAGCAGGTAAGAGAGCTATGGACAGTTATAGGAGTTATGTTGGGTGTAAGAGAGCTATGAACAGTTATAGGAGTTATGTTGGGGGGTAAGAGAGCTATGGACAGTTATAGGAGTTATGTTGGGTGTAAGAGAGCTATGAACAGTTATAGGAGTTATGTTGGGTGTAAGAGAGCTATGGACAGTTATAGGAGTTATGTTGGGGGGTAAGAGAGCTATGGACAGTTATAGGAGTTATGTTGGGTGTAAGAGAGCTATGAACAGTTATAGGAGTTATGTTGGGAGGATTATGTGCTTTAGTTGTTAGAAGTGATGTAACGCTTCATAATGACACTCTGGAGCATGTATTTAAGTCACACGTGTCAGACTCCAGGCAGGCCACAGTGGTCTACCTCATAAAACACACCAGATTCAACTCACTAGCAAATTAGCAAGGTTAATTCAGAGAGTTAGAAGAGAAAACAGCCTGGAGATCTGTGGTCTGGAAGAAACTAATTTGAGTGTCATTATGAATGCAATGAAATGTAAACCATATTTTTAAAGGAAAATACTACAAGGCAACATATCAAATGTTGAAACTGAGAAATTTTATTGTTTTTTGAAAATTATATGCCCATTTTGAAACAACACACGAGAAGTTGGCAGCATTTCTGGATCCTGTTTATAGGCAGTCCTGGGCTGGAGGTTAGGGAACCAGCCAGACTGGAAGGTTGCTGGTTTGATCCCCTGACATGACAGTACATGACTGTTGTGCCTTTGTAACCCCCAACTGTTCCCCCAGTGCCGTGGATGGGGCTGCCCACCACTCTGGGCAAGTGTGGAGGTCTAATTCCTCTGTGTGCAAACACAGTTGGCCATTCGTTCTGAATTCTGTTCTATATACAGTTTGTTCTTTGCATTTTATAGTTTTATCTTGCGTTTTTGGATGCAGCGATGAACTGTTTTCACAGACAGTGGTTTTCAGAAGTGTTTCTGAGCCCATACAACGATTTCCACTACAGAATCTTATCAGTTTCTAATGCAGTGCCACCTGAGGGCCCAAAGATCATAGCTAGCAAATGCTGGTTTTTGGCCTTGTCCCTTACATACAGAGATTTCTCCAGATTCTCTGAATCCTTTAATGATGTTATGTACTGTAGATGATGAAAAGCAAAAGTTCTTTGCTATTTTATGCTGAGAAACATTATTCTTGAGTTACTGCATCATTTGCCTGCACAGTCTTTCACAGAGTGGTGAACTCCTCATCTTTACTTCTGAAAGACTCCGCCTCTCTGGAATGCTCTTTTTATACATCATATTACAGACCTGTTGCCAAATAACCACCAGGCATTTTTTTTACATCACACAACTTTACCAGCTTTTGCCCCCGTCCCAACTTTTTTGGAACACATTGCTGCCATCAAATTCAAAATGGTCCATCTAGCACTCTCTGTAACATCAATCTAGCAAATCTATACCTGCACATATAGATTGACATGTTGTACATCTTCTATCCATATATTGTATAATCTGGAAGATTTCTATATCAATATTCTATCCCCTGTGTACCTGCATCTCATTCATTTATCTACCTCAGACAAACTGCACATACAGAAGGTGTACAACAGTATATTTCGTAGTTTTATTTCATAACTTATTACTGTACAACTGTACACTGGAAATAGTGCAATACTAGTGTATATTATGTATACATATATCTTTTTTCTTCATATATATATATATATATATAATTTAAATTCTACAAGGGGGCTCTAAGATTTTCACTTACCTTGCACCTGTGTAAATGTGATGTGACAATAAACGTGATTTGATTTGATTCAAAAACAGTAAAATTTCTCAGTTTCAACGTTTGATATGTTGTCTTACTGTGTACTATTTTCAATTGAATATAGTTTTTTTAAATTTGTATACAGTTAATTTTCACTGATTTTCATGGCTTATTTTAGTGTAATTTGCTGAAAAAAATCAGCGCCCGCTCTATTCTTTAAACACTGTGACACTTAAGTGCGGCATCTGGGATACTTTGCCGCTTCGCACACCAGTGCTAACCAGTTAACATGGGCGCCGAAATGAAAAACAAGACTTTCCGCATCGCTCACATCACGTAGACACAGTATGTGTGAATCAGGCCTGAATGTGAAAATTCTAATAAGAAGCTAAATTCTGCATCATCAAAAAGAGTTCAATCATCGTTAGCCTAGTGCTAACAAATTCACATTGAGTTGGGTTTTTCCTCATGTTTTGACTAAGTTTTGACATTTGTGGTCTAAATTGAAGGCCCAACTCTGATAGTCACGGTTCGCCACTGGCAATGTCCATGCGAACCGGAAAGAAAAATGGAGTTTTGCACAAAACATCTCCTTAAAGTTACATTAGAGCCTTAATTTAGCATTATAAAACTTTTAAGTAGCTCAAGTGATATGAAATTTTGAACAATACAACATCAAGGTAACATTAAGGCGCCTTTCCACTGCATAGCACTGGCTCGACTCGACTCTCACCTTTTTTGGTTTTCCATCAGGCAAAAATTGGTACCTGGTACTTTTTTGGTACCATCTCTGTCGAGGTTCCAAGCAAGCTGTGCCAAAAAGGTGACATAAAAACACTACAGACTACTGATTTGTCGGAGAGAATCATTTAACATATATGCTCGGGTCGCCGTTTTTGAGGAACCAGAATTGTCTCGTCGTCTGAACTCTGGTGTAGTTTTTCCCAAACTCTCCTTTTTTGTCAGCAGTCTTCTGTCTTGCTGCCATCAGCCTCTTCTGAGCAAGATTTGTCTCCTTCCTGTCACGGCAGTTTCCCCTGGCATTGCTGCAACCAGCTAAATTGAGAGAGAGCACTATATCTGCAGTGGAACACGAAGTAGCTGGAACCAAAATCAAGTCGAGTTGAATCTAGCTGAGTCGAGTCGAGCCAGACCATGCAATGAAAAAGAAAGTGACTTATTTGTCATTAGCTTACAAATGCAACAAAGCCCAATGCCTCTAAGCTTGTTGTCTCACTTTACCTGAACTAACTTAATGTCATTACAAGAGGTTGAACCTGTTTATTTTGATTGTATTTATTCATGTGTTGTAATTTGCAGTCATTAGACTGATGGAGATTTTGGCCTCCTTAAAATTATAGAGGCCTGTATTTTTGTCTTTATAGCCAGTATAACTCATGAACTGTGTTTAATTCCATGCTTTTCTTATTTGATTTAATGTTTTCCAGCAAAACATTTGCACACCACCTTGTACACGGTGACGAGAGCCTCGTGCCACCCTGAGTTCACGGCTGTGTCGTTTGTTAACGAGCGGCAGATTACTCGCTATGACAGCGAGAATAAGACACTGACCGCCATGCACTCCTGGGTAAGGGAAGCTTTGAGTGACCAACACTGGGAGAAGTACAAGGAGACGCACTTATCAGAATATTTAAGACTGCGAGAAGAATTAAACGCTACAATGAGGAGCTTAGGACACGTCAAAGGTGAGTCAGTCTGACATCTTACCATTCAGTTCTATTCAGCTGTGTTTGCTTCAGATTCATTTCAGCACAGATATTAACCTTAAATCTTAGAAGGTTTGAGTGCTCCCTGGTCAAACTATAGGTATTTGTTGATTCTCTAAGTGAAAATAAGTTCCCTACATTGAACACCTCTGTATATTTTAGTGCACTTCAATGTGCAGAGAAATGTGCACAACAATGAGTTTTTTCTCTCTATAAGACACAGCAAACAACATTAACTTCATCACATTCAAATTATAATAAAATGTGTCCACTTCTAAACACAAATGTGGTAAAGGTTCAGATTTTACAATCCACAATTTTGACAGAATTTCTCAATTTGTTGAAATAAGCTGCAAACAAGAAATAATATAAAATTACAAAATGTGATAAAGTGAACATTTTAAGGCCTAAAAAGTAGCTCTGGTGATTTAGATGCTGGCATGTTGTTATTTAGAATGTTTCTTAAACAAAGTGTTATCAGGAGGCACATTTATGACCAAGACCTTAAATCCTAAATAGTTCAGTTTTAGAACTGTAAAGATCTCACTTCAGTAGCTTAAGTCACAAAATGTTGCAAAGACAGTTCATTCAATACAATTATGTTACATGTTACATGGACCAGCTTTCCAAAGGTAATACATTAAATGACATGCATTAAAACAGGCAAGTCAAACTGGGGAGTGTGGTGGAGATCAGCGTTTACCCTCGTCTACCGCTCTGAATTCAGTTCATGAAGGCCTTGCTAATTAGCTGATGAGCTAAATCAGGTGAGTTTAATGAGGCTATGTGCTGAACTCTGCAGTGTTTTGGCCCGCGAGGATTGGAGCCTGGCACATGTGCATTAAAATAAATCTGATTAGTGAAATGAGACTGGCAAATTAATTTGTACACAAATAACAGCGAAATATCAGCACAATAAAATATATAATTGTTTTATTTACACTACATTTGTGGTACATTTTGATGACAGTAACATAGGAGCTGAAGCAGGTTGCAAATGCAAAGTGGTTTTATTAGGCACAGTCCAATACTCTTTGTCCATATAACAGGTGGGGGACAACACACAAGCACGGAAAAGCAAAAGCAGATCCAGGCACAGTAACGTTCAAAAATGGGGACAAAAGGCTCCCATATGGAAAACATATATATATGGACATGTATTTTTATACATTTGAAATACATTTTAAACACATTGCAGTCCATCCTGAAATACATCCAAAACACCAAAATGTTTTTAGAATATATTGCCGTATTAACCAAATTTATTTACAAATATATTCACTTTAAAATGTATGGGGGCATATTACACATAGAAATGTACTGTACAAAAATAAATGTATGTAAATGTGTTTATGAAATACATTTGAAAATGGATGAAAACAGCCAAAATCCTGTCTAACGCACTTTACTGTTTGGATCCCTTCTGAAATGAATTTGTTTTCCAGCATCTTAAATTTACGTTTTAACAAATGAACCTTTAACATAATAACAGCAAGTGTATTGATGTACTGTGAAAATGCAGTTATGATTTCATATCTTGTTTATTTGAAATACATTTTGTGAGTGCTATTTAAACACATACATACATGGTTAATGCAAAGTACAATGCAGAAGTCAGTACTGTTCATTCAGATCATGTATATATAGTTATATCTGTAACCTTTCAACCACAACTAAACTACATACAATTGAAAAAATATAATAACAAACAAATAAATATGACAATATTCTCGCTAATTTTAAGTCTCTGCTCTTGTTGTTTACCAAACCCCCCCCCCTTCATGTATGGAGGCTGTACTCTAGCCTGGCTACCTCTCACTCTGAGTAATTTCCGTCCTCACTTGTGTAATGCGTTTTGAACCCATTCCACTAATGCTTGCCAGTGTGACTTCCTCGTCAGAGTAACTGTAGAAAGTACATTTAGGGAGATTCCAAGACATGCTTTGTTAGGCTAGTTCCTTGTCAGTTTACAGATATATGTTTATATACAACCCTATTTCCAAAAAAGTTGGGATGCTGTGCAAAATGTAAATAAAAACAAAATGCAATGATATGCAAATCATTTTAATCATTTTGAAAATAGTACAAAGAAAACAAATCAAATGTTGATACTGAGAAATTTTACTGTTTTTTGAAAAATGTATGTTCATTTTGAATTTGATGCCAACAACTAATTTCAAAAAAGTTGGGAGGGGGGCCTGTTTACTACTGTGTTTCATCTCCTCTTCTTTTAACAACACTCTGTAAGCGTTTGGGAACTGAAGAGACACTGCTGTAGTTTTGAAAATGAAGTGTTTTCCATTTTTGCTTAACACTGGATTTCAGCAGCTCAATAGTTCAGGTTCTCCTTTTTTGTATTTTTCATTTCATAATGCGCCATATGTTTTCAATGAGTGACAGGTCTGGACTGTAGACAGGCCAGTTTAGCACCCAAACTCTTTTAATATGGAGCAATGCTGTTGTAAGACATGCAGAATGTGGTTTTACGTTGTCTTGCTAAAATAATTAAGGCCTTCCCTGAAAAAGATGCCATCTGGATGGCAGCATGTGTTGCCAAAACATGTATATATCATTCAGCATTAATGGTGCCTTCACAGATGTGCAGGTCACCCATGCCATGTGCACTAATGCACCCATATACCATCATGAATACTGGCTTTTGAACTGTACACTGATAACAAGCTGAGTGGTCTTTAGCCCAAAGGACACAGTGTCCATGATTTCCAAACAGAATCCAAAATGTTTATTCATCAGACCACAGGACATTTTTCCACTTCACCTCAGTCCATTTTAAATGAGCTCGGGCCCAGAGAAGGCGGCAGAGTTTCTGGTGCTGCTGAACTGAACCGGACTGAACTTCTACCGGACTGAATGCTACAGCACTAAACAGTATGTAAGAAATAATGCACCACCATTAGAAGTGCATTCATTAGTGCAGTATGTAAAGTGTGGAAGTGTGCAGTTTGGGACGCAAAAAGATATTTTATCATTCTCTGATTTTGGTTCAAATTGTGAGTAATTAAGTTGACATAAGTGAAATAAGTTTGACTTATTAGGTCAAAGAAATGGCCAGAAGAACAAATTATTAAAAAACTTTATTAAAGTGTTTGATTCTTTCGACAGAGTCATTATTCTGAGAAAACAAGATATTGTTTTGAAATAATAATAACACCAACAAACTACCAGAATCCTGTAGGGAAGCTGGGTGAAGTTACCATTATGGGGCTCAAGGCGCAACCGTCTAAGCGTTGGCCCCATCATCAGGAGATTGAGAATTCAATTCCTGGTGATGCAACAGCCATCCATAGCCAGGAGTCCAAGAGAGCACATTTGGCTTTGCTGGGTGGGTAGGATGGCCCTCCCTCTTCCCCCATCACACAGTGCGATGGTAGCCAGAGCTCACGTAACAGAACTGGCAATTAGCGCTGTCCTCCAAGTGCAATGACGTTAAATTAGTGATGGTTGCAGTGGCTGACTTTTCATGACTCGGAGGAAGCTTAAGTTAGCCTTCACCCTCCTACCACTGGTGGTTTCGTGTGATTGGGGAAGTCCTAACTAGTGGGTGGAATTAGACATGACAAAATCTGGGAGGATACTGGAAAAAAATCCCAAAAAAACGAAGTTACCATTATCACTGAGGTAAGTTTTCCTCTTGCTTTGCCTGAGTTTTGACATCTATGCCCCAAAGTAAAGGCTGTACTAGTCCTGGGTCTCCACTGTCCAGTATTGGCCAGGCTCCAGTTAAAACCAGCTGAAGACTCTTCTCTTTTTCTGTTTCTCAGATGTTCACACGTTTCAGAGGAGGTCCGGCTGTGAGTGGGACGATGTGACGGGTCGCTCTAAAGGCTTTGACGAATATGGATATGATGGAGAGAATTTCATATCACTGGATCTGAACCAGATGAGATACGTCCCTCACACAGCACAGGCGAACATCACGGCTGAGAGGTGGAACAGAGACGGAGCTCTGATTCAGTCTCAGAGCAGCTACCACACCCGCGAGTGTGTGAACTGGCTGAAGAGGTTCGGGAGGACCAACCTGGAGCAAACAGGTGCTGTAGAAGTGAGACATACATGTGGTTCAACACTCTGATATGTAATACCTGTTAACATATATATTTTTTCACATTTTAGAATAATATTAAATTCATCAAAGCAATGGGACAGCACATATGGAGTTACTGCTTTAAAAATATACCAAATATATTTAAACTCCTCCGACCAACAGCACACCTGATTGGCTCAAACGCAATAACCTCGACCTACATCCTACATCTGACGTTGATTTTTGTGATGTAGTAGCCCTGGTCCACACAGTTTTACTGAAGATTTCCATCTTTCATGACTCCTCCTAGGCTGTTGGTCAGAAATGTCCCGCTTTTATGCGCACACACATGGGGATTAATACCTAAACCAGGATTAATCCTAGCCTGAGTATCTAAACCAGGATTAATCACAGCCTGCGTAAATACACCTGGATTAATCACAGCCTGAGTAAATACATCTGGATTAATCACAGCCTGGGTATCTAAACCTGGATTAATCACAGCCTGGGTATCTAAACCTGGATTAATCACAGCCTGGGTATCTAAACCTGGATTAATCACAGCCTGAGTATCTAAACTTGGATCAATCACAATCAGAGTATCTAAACCCGGACTAACCACAGCCTGAGTATCTAAACCTGGATTAATCACAGCCTGAATATATAAACCTGGATTTTAATCACAATCTGATTATTTAAACCTGGATTAATCACAACCTGAGTATCTAAACCAGGCTCAATCATAGTCTAAGCATGGATTAATCACAGCTTGAGTATCTAAACTTGGATCAATCACAATCAGAGTATCTAAACCTGGACTAATCACAGTCTGAGTATCTAAGCATGGATTAATCACAGCCTGAATGATTAAACCTGAACTATTCACAGCCTGCATGACTAAACCCAGATTAATCACAGCCTGAGTATCTAAACCTGGATTAATCACAGCCTGTGTATCTAACTACAGTCCAAAACAAATGGCATAACATTATGACTACAAGAAAATAAAATATACCTTCATCTTTAAACTTTTTCTACTTATCTCATTTTCTTCTCTGTTTTTTGGCTCCAAATGTGATGATTTTTCGAGATATGATTAAGCAGTTGCTTATTTCCCCTCTCGTGAGCGTATATGTGTGCATATATCAAAATGGTACAGTAATAACCCAGAAGTTGTTGGGGGCCACCTTGTGACTGCAGGGCCATAAACAGCTGCTTATGTCACTTATTATGTAGACCTGGCACTCCTATGCAGCCCCTACCTATTACTAAAACAGAAAGATATAAAATACTTTCCATTCATCCAATCATAACAAATATAAATACATAAAACAAACAAAATACAAAAAAATCCCTCCACACCTTTTTCTCTTTGAAGCTGTAGCTTGGCGTCTACCTTTGTCTGGCACCCCCATGTATTGCATGTTGCACAACCCATATATGCACTCTTGATTAACAAGTACAGACATTGCACTAATGAACCTTTAACACCTGATAATTAGAATGATATAATAATTGTACTTCATCTCATTTTTATTCACAAATTTCAATTATTTAAACGTCAGCCTTTAGATCATGATGTCTTCAAGATTATAAAGAAGGTTATAAAGTGGTTCCAATTTTTTGAAGAAGTTCCTCCTTGGGTTTCCCCCAGGAAGCATCTCATTCTTCCAGAGGACGGCCTTCTCCCCTGTGGTCTGCCACGTCGCTGGTTTCTGTCCCAGCGCAATGAAGATCTCGTGGCGCAAAGATGGAAAAGATATGAAGGAAAACGTCAGAATTGGAGCTGCTTTACCCGACGGAGAGGGAACATACCTGAGAGACGTTTCCATCAACATCACTGAGCTGGACTTAAACACGTTCAGCTGTGTGGTGGGAAACACCTTCAGAGATTTGACCAAGGATCAGCTAAAGTCTGAGAACAGTGCGTGCAATCAGCTTACACTGAATTACATAAGCATATACTGTATATACCTAAAAATACAGATGTACGCAAAAGTTTTGTCGATCTTCTTAGTGAAAACCAGTGAACACATCCTCTACAGAGAACACACTTCTGCACATTTTAATGCACGATTTCTGTTTATTTGCTATTCTGACAATGTTAAGCTTGTAATGCAACAATAGCAGAACCATTTTTGGTACCATATAGAACCTTTTCAGAAAGATTCTATATAGAACCATCTACAGCACATTCCCCATCAATCTGAAGAACACTTACGCAACGCAAAGAGTTCTTTGAGTGTTTATGGTTCTATATAAAACCATTTTCTTTACTGAAAAACCCTTGAAGAACCAGCTTTTTTAAGAGTGTTGTTGAAATCAGAGGCCAATATATATATATATATATATATTATATATATATATATATATATATATATATATATATACACATTTTGTCTTATAGTCATCATTATTATAGAACATAATGTACATTTATCTTAAGCAACTGTAATGTTGATGATTCTTGGTTTTCCCATTTTGTCAATACAGATTTCCATCTGGGCTGGATTGCTGTTCTTGTTATATCCATTGGTGTCATTTTAGTTTTAGTTGCCGTTGCCTGGTATTGTAAAAAGAAGCAGTCTGGTAAGAGTAAACAGTCCATGCTGACCTGATATATATCTCCTGCTCATATATATATCATATAAGTTTGAGCACTCCTGCTGTTTTTTCTTGATTTTCTAAGTATAAATTTGTACATTTTAATGCACATTAACTGTTTAAAAATGAAGAATGATAAATGGAGAAAAACGAAACATAAAATGTGGCCTGTGTAAAACTTATGGCGTAATTTTTAGGTTTGATTTATTTCAGGTTTTATTTTTAGAAAATCAAGAAAACATGCAGCAACACTGGAGATGTTTAAACGTTCACATATACGCTGATCAGGCATAACATTATGACCACCTCCTTGTTTCTACACTCATTGTCCATTTTATCAGCTCCACTTACTATATAGGAGCACTTTGTAGTTCTACAGTTACAGACTGTAGTCCATCTGTTTCTCTGATACTTTGTTAGCCCCCTTTTACCCTGTTCTTCAGTGGTCAGGACCCTCATGGACCCTCACAGAGCAGGTACTATTTAGGTGGTGGATCATTCTCAGCACTGCAGTGATGCTGATGTGGTGGTGGTGTGTTAGTATGTGTTGCGCTGGTCTGAGTGGATCAGACACAGCAGTGCTGCTGGAGTTTTTAAACACCTCAGTGTCACTGCTGGACTGAGAATAGTCCACCAACCAAAAATATCCAGCCAACAGCGTCCTGTGGGCAGCGTCCTGTGACCACTGATGAAGGACTAGAGGATGACCAACACAAACTGTGCAGCAGCAGATGAGCTATCGTCTCTGACTTTACATCGACAAGGTGGACTGACAAGGTAGGAGTGTCTAATAAAGTGGACAGTGAGTGGACACAGTGTTTAAAAACTCCAGCAGCACTGCTGTGTCTGATCCACTCAGACCAGCACAACACACACTAACACACCACCACCACGTCAGTGTTACTGCAATGCTGAGAATGATCCACCACCCAAATAGTACCTGCTTAGTAAGTGGAGCTGATAAAATGGACAATGAGCATAAAAACAAGGAGGTGGTCACAATGTTATGCCTGATATATATATATATATAGTATTTTATATGTTGTGTGTGTGTGTGTGTGTGTGTGTGTGCGTGTGTGTTTGCGTAATGTGTGAAATCGTCTGTTCTAAAGAAACTTCACAAGTTGTTCACAATAGTTAAGGTGTCCAAATACTTTCTGGTTCCATTGTATATGATTCTATATAGCTGCAATTATTAATACATAATGGCTCAAGATCTATTTGTTTCTTTTGCAGACTCTGATGCACAACCATGTGAGTATTTTGGGTTTATTATGTAAATCTAAACTTAAAGTATTTTAAAAAGTAGTACTAGTGTCAAGGTGACGTATAAATTGATATTTCTTTGCTCTAGTAAATAAATAAAAAGGTCTACATACATTTAAATGTGAACTTTAGTGAGTCACTTCTTTGGTTATAGGTGCAGAACAGTACAGTAATGATGCAGCCGTCAGCAAAGTGGACTGAAGAGTAAGTGGAAATGTTATTTTTGCAGCGTCTTTCCTTCAAGTACAGAGTACAATGTTTCTTGTATAAACACATGGACACAAGCATGACTTCAGAAATCATAACCTAAGTCAATGTTTACTCACTGTTTGCCTTCTGTCTTGTCCTTTATGTTTTTATGTTATTTTGCAGCTAGTTTGTACACTGTAATTAGAACTAGTCATGTACCGTTTACCTAAGAGAGCTGCAGCACTGAAAAGTTTGGAGAATAATTGACTGAACTAAGTTGAGAGAACTCAGACTTCTGTGCATATAGTTACATTTTTAAGTTGACCTGCTTATTTTTTACAGTGTAGCCAAATGACACAAACATGCATGGTGTGTTCAGCACCGTTTCCAAAAAAGTTGCGCAAAATGTAAATAAAAACAAAATGCAATGATGTGCAGATCATTTAAGCCCTATATTTATTTGAAAATAGTACAAAGACAACATATCAAATGCTGAAACTGAGAAATGTATTTGTTTTTGAAAAATATAGGTTTATTTTGAATTTAATGTCAGCAACACATTTAAAAAAAATTGGGACTGGGGCATGTTTACCACTGTGTTGCATCACCTCTTCATTTAACAACACTCTAAGCGTTTGCTAGCTGAGGAGGCCATTTGCTGTAATTTTCAAAGTGAAATGTTTTCCTTCCCATTCTTGCTTAATATAGGATTTCAGCTGCTCAACAGTTCAGGCTCTCCTTTGTCATATTTTTCATGTCATAATACACCAAATGTTATCAGTGAGTGACAGGTCTGGACTGCAGGCAGGTCGGTTTAGCACCCAGACTCTTTTACTACAGAGCCATGCTTTTGTAATACATGCAGAATGTATAAGTCACCCATGCCCATGTGCACTATTCTGGCTTTTGAACTGTGTGCTGATAACAAGCCAGATGGTCTCTCTCCTCTTTAACCTGGAGAATGTGGTGTCAATGATTTCCAAAAAGAATTTTATATTTTGAGTCAGACCACAAGACACTTTTCCATTTCTGCCGCAGTCCATCTTAAATGAGCTTGGGCCCAGAGAAGGCGGCGGTGTTTCTGGATCCTGTTTATATCTGGTTTCTTGTTTGCATGGTATAGTTTTAACTTGCATTTGTGGATGCAGTGATGAACTGTGGTTACAGACAATGGTTTTTGGAAGTCTTGCTAAGCCCATGCAGTGATTTCCACTACAGAATCGTGTCTGTTTTTAATGCAGTGCTGTCTGAGGGCCTGAAGCCAATATTGTTTTTTGGCCTTGTCCCTTGCCTAAAGAAATTTCTTTGAGTCCTCTGAATCTTTTAATGATATTATGTACTGCAGATGATGATCCCCATGCTTTACTATTTGCCCACACAGTCTTTCACACAGGGTAACCCCTCACTGCCTTTACTTCTGAAAGACTCAGCCTCTCTGTGATGCTCCTTTTATACGTAATCATGTTACTGACCTGTTGCAAAGTAACCTAATTAGTTATGAAATGTTCCAACAGGTCTTTTTTGAGCACTATACAACTTTGCCAGTCTTTTGTTGCCCTTGTCCCAAATTTTTTTGCTGTCATCAAATTCAGAATGGGCATATATTTTTCAAAAAACAATCAAATTTCTCAGTTTCGACTTCTGATATGTTGTCTTTGTACTAATTTCAATTAAATATAGGGTTTAAATGATTTGCACATCACTGAATTCTGTTTTTATTGACATTTTTTGCAGCATCACATTTTTTTTTTTAACAGGTTGAATTAGAGAAGATTGTGGAGTCCGTTCCTCAGCACTTTAAGAATCTTCTAAGCTGGATGGGTCTATTTCTTTCTTTTCTAAATTGAAAACTTTCTGCAAATGAACTGTGATTGAAATCACTGGCTGTTATAATAGACGTCTGCTCAACATATTGTTCTGTTGAGAATAACATCGGTTAAGACCACTATTTTAAACACACTATCATGTTTTAAATCAATTTAAGATTGTAATCAACTTTTCAAGCAATGTTTTTAACTTTTGATCATTTTGTCAATTTTGCAAACACTTTGTATATATTATGGTTTATGGTGTGACCCTCTGCTCGTGGGTTGACCCATGGTGATGTTTTGTTCAACCTTTTTTATTGATATTAAACATGACATGCTCATTTGATTTTGTCCTGTTGTTTTCTGTTCAGTGTTTTATGTAGATGGCCTTATTGTTGTATTTGCATGTTAATCACTGGATTTTTATATATATCTAATGTATGGCATGAGGCTTTCTTAGAAATTAAATTTAAATAAATTATGGACTTAGTTCCATAAAAAAAAAAAAACTTTGTTCTTTTGTTGTGTATCATATATAATTCATATATAATTTTTTAATCATACCATATATAATTTTTATATTAACACTGCCTTGAGCACTGTTACATTTGGATGTTGGAGGTTTATGGTTTAAGTTTTATTAGAATCACAAAAGAAGCTGAAAGAAAATCTACAAGAACAAGAAACACAAACCAAGCATTGCAAAATAGACAAATGGTCAGTAAACAATGCAGGGTAATCAATAGCACCTTGGGTGGCCATTTAGATTTCGGGGAAAGGTGCTTGCCACTCCGCCCACTGCTTTAGAACCACACATGATATAAAACTTTTTCGAAAATGGTTCTATATAGCACTAAAAATGGTTCTTCTATTGTTGTAGAACCCTTTTGGTGCTATATAGAACCATTTTTAAATATAAAGAACAACTTACAACACATTCTCTATCAATCTGAAGAACAATTTCACCATGCAAAGAATCATATAAGCATGCAAATGTTTTTTTGAGTGTTAATGGTTCTATATAGAACCATTGTCTTTGCTAAAGAACCTATGAAGAACCACCTTTTTTCAGAATGTGGCAATATAACTAGAGCAGGTGTTTTCCAGATGCTTTTAAAACTGCCCTGGTGAAGAGTGCATGAATCCTTCCACACTAAATAATGTTAGATCAATTTCTAAGCTTTCTTTTGAAGTGAAGTCTTGGAAAAACATTAATTTCAAACACTTAAATAATAATCTAATATCAAATAAGTTATATGAGAAGTTTCAGTCAGGTTTACCTTCTAACCAAAGTACTTAGACAGCACTGATTCGCACTGTGAATGACCTCAGGCTCAGCGCTGATGCACAATATCCTTTTATTTTGGCTATATTAGATCTTAGTCCAGCTTTTGATACCGTTGATCATAAGATTCTAATACACTGCCTTGAATACTGGGAAGGTCTCTCAGGTACAGTTTTAGAATGATTTAAATCATATTTAATGCATAGGCAATTCTTGGTTTCACTGGGAAACCATTCGTTCAAGAGATTAAACATTTTTGTTGAGTCCCACAGGTATCAGATTTAGGGCCTTTGCTTTTCTCTTTGTATATGTCATCTCTACTATACCTCTAGGTGACGTCATTAGGTAACATAATATACATTTCATAGCTACGCTGATAACACGCAATCCGATACATTCCGATTCCTTCTGTTGATCAATGTCTTATGCTATATGACATTTTTTATGTAGTGCTGAAAATGTGTTTTATTTAGACACCCCTGCTAGTTCCATTCCAGAAATAAAGAAAACAAACTACTCAGCTGGAGCAGATTTATATGAAACTGAATTGAAAAAAAAGGAAAAACAAGAACAAAACTTCCTACATAAGCAAGACTATTTCAAGCACAATTTCCTCTTAGTGTCTTTTATTTTTTTAGTTCTTAATTAATTCATGTTTCACATATTTTAAGGCTGTTACAATCTTATGTGCTCCGAAATAAAAACCCAGTGTTAAGAAATATTTTTTACCCATTTATTATTATTGTTGTTGTTATTATTATTATTATTAATTGTTATTATTTTTAGAAAGGACTTTTATTTTGACAGAAAGTTGTTCACTAGTGTCCTTCTGATCCTGACTGAACCAAACCGAGACGGAGTGCTTCAAAGTGTTTTATTTGTTTAGTCAGCACCTCCGCTATATGCTTGCCGGAATCATCATGAGAGGAACAGGTCTGCTGCCGCTCTTCGTCCTCGCCTTCAAATTGACTGTAACTGCAGGTAAATTCATGTTTGTTTTACCTATGAATGACAGCAGCGCTGCAGTCACCTGTGACCTGTAACGAGCCGGTAGTGTTGAAGTGTGGAATATCATTTTCACACCGTACAGTTTGTGGTTTCGCCAAAGTCTCGGCAGAAAGACAAACCATAAGGCCTGGAATGCGCTCTGGTTTATGTGTGGACAGAGATGAGACAGAGTCACATCCGTGTCTGATGGAACAACGGGGCTCTTATCAGTTACACGATCAAAAACCTGATCAGAAGTTCTGGAAAGTTCTCCCCACACAGCGGCTGCGCCATCTTCGTTCCGGGAAAGTTCGACCATGTCACACATTTGACTTAATGAATGCGTGTTTTAGTGCGTTTAATCGATGCTGGGAGATTCTGCACTTTTCGTCTCTTTTAAAAAAGGCTCTTTTCGGCAGCCATTCGACGTCTTGACGGTTTAAATGACCGTTGACAGTCGGGCGTGTTTGCTGCTCCTTTGCCATCTTGCTTTAATATTAGACGTTTTTAATTAACGTTATTTATTAATGAATGGCGGTAGTTAATGACGGCGTAAACTACCAGCGATGTGAAATCAGTTGCTCCACGTCTGACATTGCTGAGCTCTTCGTGATTATGAACATTCATAAAGCTATGAATGTTCATTTCTGCTGTCTGTACTCGCATTTTAACGAAAATGCATCTCACAAAACCAGCAGAAGTTGGCGGGAAGAGCAGCACGAGCCCCGGCACCATCTTAAGTGCTGTTCCATTCCTTTATTAGCTCAAGTGAAGGGAGGTGAGCCCAGAGAATTTGTAGTGAAGAGGATTATGACTCTGTAACGTCTTCTGGGTTTCTCAAACGCTAGAGGGCGCTGCAGAGCGACTTTAAAATGAATGACTTAAACAAAAGTTTATAAATGCTTAAAAAGATTTTTTTTCTTGAACACAGACCAGCATAAAACATTTTACCACTGCTGTTATATTTTAAGAGCTTTTGCTCTTCAGTTGTAGATCACTGTAGTCCTGCGTCATTCTGTAGTCCGTGTTATGCCCATGTTAGGAACTCTGGGTCATTCTAACTGTGGAGAAATCAAGCTTCCTAATATGGGCATAAACAGCATGGTGCCGACTACAAAATGACGTCACGACTACACTGGTCTATAGAAGTTTAAAACCGTGCCTCACGTATGTTTATGAGCGCAAACAGCCATTGAGCTGCTCTGTTTGCCGTAAAGCAGTAAAGCTAGTGTCCTGCTGTAGAAAAAGGAAACATACAGGTGACTTTTCTTTACTTTTTTTTTTAGTGAAATACATCCTCTAACTTTCTAAAATTAATCACTGGGCAAGTGATTAGAAACTATTATAACTTTTGTTTTTTTTTTGGCCATTTAGCTCTGTTCACCCCCATTCATTGAGGACTCGCTCACAGACGCCTTCTGCCGTTATGCAGTCATATTTTTGATATAATGACCATAACAAGTAACCTATAAGCTCCATATGATTAAGTTTTGCTTTTCTGCTCAAACCGTATAAACTACATCCAACTACTCTCCAAATTTTCGCTTTCAGCAGTATAAAAGCAGCATTACATAGAACAGTCATGGATTTGAAGAAGAAAAAAAAGGGCCGTGCTTTTGGAGAAAGTTGTATGTTATCTGCAAAAACCAGGTCATCCTTGCCTGACTGGTTACATGCAAAGCAGTGGCTCTAGTCATTTCCAGAAAAGTGAAATCTGCTGAACTTTGAGGCAGATTTTGCCACAATGCAGCCCATCATAGAGAATATACTGTTTGATTGTATGACCAGCTTCAGAAGTCTGGGTTTAGGTGACCCACTGGATGGGTTCAAAAAGCTGCTTAAAAGGGAATGTTTGTATATCAAACAGTGAAGTATACTTTCAAATACTTTATCAAACAGTGCTGTGTGCTAGCTTTCCTCTTTTGTTTCTCTCCTCATGCACCGTGGCCAATCGCCAGTGGCGATTCAACATCCCCCTTAAGTACACACACATTGCACTGTGTGCACGTGTGTATTAGGGTTTGCACTACTGTTTTCACTAGTTAACTAGTCATTTAAAAAAAAAGTGAAAAACAGTAAAGTGATTACTGGTGCAAACCAGTGGCAGCTGACGCTTTCTCACCTGCGGAGCATGGGGTCAAGTCTATTATTTTATTTTCAGTAATAACTTAAAACATGTAGATCACAGAATAATACACTCAGCGTCAAATAGTGTTTGAGATATTTTACTCAATATTTCAAGTAGTAGTCAAATAGTCATTATCAAGATGAAAAAATGTTTTAGTACGTTTTACTGGGCCCACAGAAGTACACTGAGTGCAGTGCAGTGAGGTAGACTGCACTTTTAAATCAGCTCTCAGAATCTCATCTCTCACAGAGTATTTGAACTGCCTCTGGCTTTCCATGCTTATGTTCACTGACTTTATCAGTCTGATGTGAAGCCCCATCTCACGTTCCTGTCCTGATTTCACTTTCCAAGCACCCTCGGGTAGAGTTAGCAGGTCAGCATGTTTTATCATGCAAGCCATTACAGTTAACTTTAACTCGTCACTGATTTAATTCAACCCAGAAGGATAAGCAGTTTAGATGGTGTGTGTGTGTGTGTGTGTGTGTGTGCGTGCGTGTGTGTGTGTGTGTGTGATTTAATTCAGTTGTGTCGTAGGTTTGTTCCTCCCAGTGTTGCTGATTGATGACTTTTTTTTATATATATATATATATATATATCCATTAACATTGTAAAAATCAAGGAACGTAAGATCAGGACAGGGATGTATGACTAAACTAGCTGTATGCTTTGTAGTAAGCTGTTGCATCTTTAGAATAAAATAAAAATGATAAGAATGTAGATAAAGTTTTGTCCAACAGCAACAAAATAAACATACATTGAAATCATATGAATCTTTGCATGGAGAGAAAATATTGAAACAATATGTGAATTCCCTGTAGCTCCTAACGAAACTCTGTACACTTCCGAGTTGTTTTAAAGCTGAAGTGTCTTTTGAAGAGTTAATAGATAAATGTACTAACTGAATGTCATCAGTAAGTCAGAGACAGTGGGGCATTTATTGTTGTTTGATGTTTTGCAGGAACCCACTCTCTTCACATCACATTCACAGTACAAACGGGAATTTCCAGCCTTCCTGAGGGCATGTCTTCAACGTTTTTTGACGAAGAGTACATTGCTCACTATAACAGTGACAACAAGACGCTCGTCCCCATCCAGAACTGGGTGAAAGAAGGGACTGGATGTATACTGGAACAACTACACTCACTTCCTTTCGTCACAAATTGAGCATCTGCTCCATGTAATAAATGAAACACAGCGGCTGGTAGGGGATAAAGGTGAGCATTACACGTAAGGTGTTTTGTGAAGGAACTTCTGCATATCAGATGTTGTAGACCAAACTGTAATTAGCCTTAGCTTCTCTGTTTCTTATGGATAGATAATGTGCTTAAAACTTTGTGTAAACCAGGAATCATAACAGATGGTGCAAACCAGTGGCAGCTGACGCTTTCTCACATGGGGAGCGTGGGGTCAAGTCTATTATTTTATTTTCAGTAATAACATATAACATGTAGATCACAGTATAATACACTCAACTTCAAAAAGTGTTTCAGATATTTTACTCAATATTCCAAGTACTTTTGAAAACGAAGAAATAGACATTCATAATCTACAGTTTATTATCTAGAATCATTTTCATTTAATTTGCCAAATAAAAGAAAATGACTGAACTTTATACTTATGATTTATTCATAATGTTTTCCAAATGACAGTGGAAATAGCTTGCAAGTTATCTTCCGCCAGTGACACTAATTAAAGTTTTCCAATGACTCTCCTGCAGCACTGAGCACGTCTTCAACAGCAGGCTGCTTTCGGTCTGAGACGATGTCAGGCACGTTAGTGTCTGTGTTGTCAGTATAGTGTCTGTTCACAGATATAACCTCTTAGAGAGCTGCAATCCTCTGGATTACAGAGTCTTCATGGAGTCAAAATAAGAATTTTACTACAAGCAAGCTAAAACTGGCATCCTTCACAAACCGGAAAGCTTTGTCCTGTGTGGTAGTTCAGTTGTTTTGGCAGTAGTACAGTTTGAGTAGCTTATGTTATTAAATTACAGTGCTGACATTTAATATTAGACTTACTTTAATGCAGCATTTCAGTAAGGAGGAGTGTTAGCTTGCTATTAGCGTGAATATTTGAACTCTTTAATGACCTCAATTCACAGGATTGCAATTTACATTCAGAGGAAAAATATAAATGAAGTAAAAACTGGGAAAAATCTGAGTTTTATTAAATCACCAACAACTTGGAAAACTGAAAAGAAAACTCTTGAGCTAATTAAATTAGGCAAACTTTTTTTTTACTGCAGGTGTGATCACTTGAACACGATTGGTCAAATAGTCATGTGATGCACGCAGGTGGAGGATGATAAAATAGGTGTAATGTGTAATATTTACAAAATATACAGCTTGGCCTCATTTTAACTTGCACACATTTGGAAAGTCCAAAATAACCCTTGATATTAGGCTGAAACCAGATGACAGTATAGAGATTGTTGAAAGTATGAGTCAAGCCAATGGCATACATAATGCTTTCAAAAAGATCATTCAGTATGGTGTAAATAGTAATAAATATGTCAGGTTGCTTTGTCTGCCAATAATATTATAAATATTTTTATGTTATATAATGTAGCGTCATGGGTAACGTCTGCTTTTTTTGTTTATTTCTTAGGTGTGCATACATTACAAAGAAGATTGTCATGCAGGCTACATAAAAGTGGTTCTCGAAAAGTGTCTGACGAGTACGGATATGACGGAGAGAATTTCATATCACTGGATCACAAGTACGAATACGTTGCTGACGTGCCAGCTGCCAAGACTATTGTGAGGAGATGGAACATACATGAAAAAAGAGGAAAAGGAATCATGGATGAATGTGTTAAATGGTTAAAGAGAATCGGAAACAATGGAAAGCATCATCTGCAGAGACCAGGTACTACAGTCCTCTACTGACATAATTTTCAAGTTACAGTTTATTACATTTTATGTTAAACACTATGTTTCTAAAGTTATACCGAAGCTACAGAAAGTTGGAAGGCATGTCTTCACACTCGAGCTAACATATAAGTGCAGTAGAGTTTTGGGCAGGAAGATGTATAGTACATTATGATTTTCTGTACATTCTATCATGCACCTGGATTACACTCTCTCTTTCTGTCTGTCTCTCTCTCTGTCTCTCTCTCTCTCTCCCTGTGTCTCGTTCTCTAGTATCTCCTCCTGAGGTGTTGTTCTTGCAGAAGACTTCCTCTCCAGTGGTGTGCTTTGCTACTGGGTTTTACCCCAGAGCAGTGATCATGTCCTTGCAGAGAAACGGAGAGGACGTCTCTCAGAATGTGTCTGTAGGAGAAACATTACCCAATGATGATGGAACCTTCCAGAAGAACGTTTCCCTCAGTGTGACTCCTGAAGAGTGGAACAAGAACCGGTACAGTTGTGTGGTCCAGCATAATGACAGGATCAAGAATTTAACTGAGGACATCGAGACTAACCATGGTAAACATTTTTGCTAAATAATATTAAACAATATGTAAGTTAGATGTTTTATTCCTTGTTATTATTAAAATAATGGACTATTGTGAGCATTAAGAATCCAACAGGCTACAGTACAGTAAATTGCCCACTGTCTCTACTGCTGTTTCCCAGACTGTGACAAAATTATCAACATTTTCCACACAGCTTCAGCGCCCCAGTGGTTGAAATGAGTTATAAAATTATTAAAATTAAATATTTATAGGTTCCAAATAGGCACGTAAAGCTGAATTTCAGGGCCCCTTCGTATTATCAATGAAAAATGCCTTGTCTTTTTAAAATATGTAAGCTATACTGATGTAGCTTTTAGCTTGCAAGTGTTTTGGTAAAGTGTTTTGGATGTTGAACTGCTCAGTATTCCATTATATAATGTTTTATTTCCATTAAATAATTTAATTAAATCAGTTGATGCTTTAAAAAAATCTAGGCTAAACACCGTATAGTAAACTGTTTTAGTAATTGTTTTTCACTTTCACTGAGATTATTTCTGAAGTGTAACTTTAAGCTTTGCTTTTATTCACATTTTTTTTTTCATTTTTAAATAGTTTCAGTGTATTTCTAATAAAAACTGCATTTGTGTGCTCAGAGAAGTCCCACCACCCCCACACTTTTTTTATGTACTCACATAGGATAAATTACCAAGATGTTAAAGTGATGAGAGGAATAGCACAGTCAAAATTAATTTGTCAAAGTTGAGTTTTATCTGCTGAGTGACACCGAAGTGAAGAAACATTTAACTCAGTGTAACTGAGGCATGCAGACGAACCTGAATACACACATAGAAGGCTAGCTGATTCGTATAGGCTGAGAACTGTCTCTCAGAAATTCTGTCAGACTTGTCATTGTATCTTGAACAGTCTTGGAAGACTGTAAACTCTTCTTATTTGGATTTGTAACAAATTGTCAATCACAGAAATCAGAGAGAACAGTTTAACATGGTTGAATACTACATGGCAGGTGCACATGCATGATTATAGGACAAGTAAAATATTGAAATATTTTTAGGGGAAAACAGGTATCTATCTGAAATATAGTTGAAAAATTCTGTCAGAATTCACCTCAGTAAATTATGGGTGTCCCACAGCTGCTACAGTGAAATGCTGGAGAGGCCGCTGTGTGATCAAGTGCAGTAAAGTTTCAGGTTAAAACTCATACGGACCATTATAGTTTCTTTAATATTAGTCTGACGTCAGTCTTACGTTTATTGGCAAATGGCATATAGTTTTTGGTATAAGCTGATATTAAAGCACTCCAATCAGATCTGGAAGCGAAAAAAAGAATCTCAGGGCATGTACACTGACCAGCCACTTGTTTCTACACTCATTGTCCATTTTATCAGCTCCACTTACTATATAGGTGCACTTTGTAGTTCTACAGTTACAGACTGTAGTCCATCTGTTTCTCTGCATACTTTGTTAGCCCCCTTTTACCCTGTTCTTCAGTGGTCAGGACCCCCATGGACCCTCACAGAGCAGGTATTATTTGGGTGGTGGATCATTCTCAGCACTGCAGTAACACTGACGTGGTGGTGGCGGTGTGTTAGTGTGTGTTGCGCTGGTCTAAGTGGATCAGACACAGCAGTGCTGCTGGAGTTTTTAAACACTGTGTCCATTCACTGTCCACTCTATTAGACACTCCTACCTTGTCAGTCCACCTTGTAGATGTAAGGTCAGAAACGATCTACAGAGACATCCTCTAGTCCTTCATCAGTGGTCACAGGACGCTGCCCACAGGACGCTGTTGGCTGGATATTTGATATTTTTGGTTGGTGGACTATTCTCAGTCCAGCAGTGACACTGAGGTGTTTAAAACCTCCAGCAGCACTGCTGTGTCTGATCCACTCGTACCAGCACAACACACAACAACAGACCACCACCACATCAGCCTCACTGTAGTATGAGAACGATCCACCACACAAATAATACCTGTAAACGGGCTAATTACTCTAGCTAGGTCCAGAGGCCAGTCACAAAAACCTACCAGTTTAACTGGTATTCACCAAAATATTACCCTTAGCCTTTTTTGTGTAATTAAACATTTTAAAATTTTTGTGTTACAGATGAACCGACTGGTATCACCTAAAAAAGAGTACAAGCTCCTTTTTAATATTTTTTTTTATCTGTTTGTCCAGTACTTAGTGAACAGAATATACTTTTGATTAACTCCGAGTGTGTGTAAAATGTCATGTGACATTTGTGTGTGTTTGAATTCTTACCTGCAGGACCTCAACAGCGCAACCGAGCTCTCATCCTTATACCTTGTTTCTTATTCATCTTGGTCTTATTCATCTTGGCTGTTTTGTGGATGTCCCAGCATGGTAAGTCACTCCTGCTGGTTTCTACAGAGAAATATTAGTTTGAGTTTCTGTTTGAAGGTGATGGTAGCTCTGTAGTTGGTGGTTGTAAGCTACAAATTTCAGGACAAGTGAATGTTGACGGTAGCAGACCTGCAACCACAGGGTTAACTATATCTCACTATTCAGGGTCACCGCCGTTGGCTCCAGCTGAACATCATCGGTTACTGTTGCAAACTCTCTTTAACCACTTTACACTCTCTGTAGACAAGGCAGGTAGCTAATAGGCTAACAAGGCTGCTTCAGTAATGGTGAGAACCAGGCTTCAAATTCAGTCCTTTTTAGAAGAGTCGTGGTAAATCGGCATATAGATTAAAGAATGTGTTACTTGGATGTTGTCTGTCACATGCTCGTGTATAAGCTAGAACTGTAATCAAACATTGCTAGCTTGCCACTCACAAATTCCCAAGCTAGAGGAAATTAGCTTTTATTCTGGCCACGCATTGGCTTGTAAAACAAATTACAAGATTTGTGCATTAAACATTGCTATTTGTTGGCATACAACTTGGCATACCATGTGATTTTTAAGCTGTACTTGGTTTGCAGCACAACCAAAACTAAGTTCATGAAGTGACTGGAATCACCCGCAACTAGCGGGTAGGGAAAATCTCCCTCTCTACTGTAACTGTCGTTTTCTTCATCTCTACATGAGGAAACAATTTCTCTGCGTTTTAGGACACCACACATTTTGAGTAATGAATATTAAATATTGCTTGCACTGTACATAAGATGAGCCCCATGGGGAACTCACCTTGTATCATTCAAGCATTTGAAAGTGCATCTTTTAAGTGTGTGTGCACGTGTTATGCTGTCTTACAGGATGTCCTTGTACTGTCTTTGCTGGTTTGATGGGCAGTACACCGTGTGATAAAGGTAAAACCGTGTTGGTATGGTGGAAGAAACAGGTACCCACTCACTCACTTCCTCCCTGGCCACCAAAATAGACACACCTACCTTGTAAATACACCTCGGGGCAGCGCGACGGCTCCGCGGCTCATGCAACGACGGTTCCAGCTCGTGGTGCGACGTGCCCTCGGTGTGGCGGCTCCTCAGCTCGTGCCTCGATGGCTCGATGGCTCCCTGGCTCGTGCCTTGACGGCTCGTGCTGCGATGTAACCTCGCCTTGACGCCACGACAGCTCGTACCACGACAGTTTGACGGCGCCAAGGTTCGTACCACGACAGCTTGAGGGTGCGACGGCTCGTCCGCGGCGGTTCGTACCACGACAGCTTGTCGGTGCGACGGCTCGTGCTGTGATGTTACTTCGGCTTGACACCGTGAAAGCTTGTGGCGCGACGGCTCGTCCGCGGCGGCTCGTACATTTACGGCGTGGCGGCTCGTACTGTGACGGCTGCGACGGTGCGACGGCTCGTGCTGCGATGTTACCTCGGCTCGTGCCTCGACGGCTTGACGTCAGGACGGTTTGATGCTGCAACAAGCTCATGAGCTGTGCCGGCTCGTGCCTCGACAGCTTTGACGTTCGTGCCACAACGTTGTTGGATCCCTTTTGCTATTGAAGCCGCTAAAAAGTAGCCTTTGTGTGTGTATTTACGAATAAAAGAGAAAATGCTTGTTGCCACAGTCACTCCTGCCTCCAGCGTCTTTCTTCCTCCCGAGGTAGCATATAGCATGCAACATGTGGGGCAAAAAAAGTTCGCCGTTATTCGCATTCCAAAAAAGAAACAGGCCTACGTCACGCCTAATTAACAGCGGCAAAACAATGAAACAAAAGTGAAATTTATTAACCACATTTAGCACAACTGAATTTCATTTGAAGTGAACTCGCCTCAGTCTAGCATTAAGCTCATCTGAATGAGCAGCCTTAGTCACGCAAAGCTGCGCAAATGAGGCAAAGCGCGAGCATTCACTTTGCTTTCATAAAAGGGGAATAAAACACAGGAAACCTGCAAATAGCGTGTAGTAAAGAATGTAAATATTTATTTGATAAAAATAAAAAAGAAGAAAGAAACAATGTTTTAATGTCCATCAAAATACCACAAAGTGACAAAAAAAAATAAAATAAATCCAGTCAAAGATCGCCTCTTCAAAAGATGCAGCATTCTACTTGTTTGCGTTAGGTGTTCTTGTCTTTTAATATGTGCCTGATTTCCAAATTGTCTTATATTAAAACGTTTTACAGCCTGATTTTAGTTGTCCTTGGAACACGTATTAATTTTCTTTTGTTCGTTTCTTTTTATTTTTTTAATGACTAAATGCGTGTTTGCGCTGCTGTAAGCTGTCTCAGTAGCACATAGGCATAACGCCTCGTCGTTCACCCAGCTGAGAAATTAGTTTTAAAATAAATATCTTCAATGTAGAAGTTTAGAGATACCGTACTATTCTCTGAAATAACAGTGGTTCATGGGTTTCCTGGTATGCTTTTTACCTTTTTTTTTGTTTGTTTTTAACATGTATTTTCTTTTCTTTAATCTCTTATCCCAAGGTGTGTCTCTTGCAGAAGAGTCTATGCTTTTTAGGGTGTCTCACTACAGGTTTCTACCCCAAGTACTAATTTTACTGGGCAGAAAAACAGACCTGTCCATTCTGAGGATGTGGCTGTAGGAGAGATAGAGAAGCCTGAAAAGTGGATGAAGAACCAGTATGGCTGTGCGGTCCAGCAGTGGAGAACTGAGAGCGTCATCAAGAATCAAATGAGGAGGACATCAACACTATGGTATGACTAATTCATGCAAGATGACAGTGAAGGAAAGAATCATCTCTTCTAATTAGGAGTCGACCGATCGTTGGCCCAACTGACATTGAGCGATAATTGAAATGTGGATGGTGCATGGGGTACAACCAGTAAACACTTCTGTGGTCTGTCGCTGTGCCTTGCCCACAGTGGGATTGGATTGGTAGAGATGTGGCCCACATGTCGAGTAAATCCAGTCAGGTGTTTGTGAGAGACACAGTGGTGCTTGCCTTTACTTCCGTGAGGGGAAAGGGAAAGATCACATCGAGCGCAGTTGACCTATAGCACAGTGCACTCTGTCTTATAATAGCGGCCACTCTAGCCGAACAAACGTGACTTGAACCCTGCCTGATGCATCGCATTTGTTTTGTGAGAGTGAGGTTTCTGTTATAACCGTTACACTGTTAAAGGGAGTGGACATGGTGCGCGAAGCCACACTGCTTCTTTAGGAGCTTGAACATGTGTGCCTGTAGTGGAGGTTCAGAAAGTTAGTACATGAAATGGTTACAAATCGGCTGCCTGATGTCTGAGACATTTCTTTACTGAAGTTTAAAGTTAAGGATTTGGCCTAAAACACATTTTTAAAATACATTTGTAGTGGAGGGGTATATGCAGGGCATTGTGAGGCAAATAGTCCTCTTTTTTCACCATTTTACCATGAACAACATTACATATTTAAAATTCAGAATGACACATATAGGTTCACTGGTGGTTTTGGATAGAGAAAAAAGTCTGTATTTGTGTTGTTGACCCGTGGTTCCTATCTCCACCACTGTAAAGAAATTAGTCTGTATGTTTTACTGCAACAAACTGTTTTACACCAAACCACTCTGAATGACTTTGTTTATATCACAACCCCTTTAAGTACTTGACTTAAATTTTAAATCTATTTTAAGTCATAACCATTTTATTTCATCACTAACATCACTGTAATGTGATGTTAAGATAAACAGTGACCACAGCATCTCGCAGATCTGCATATTGTAATATTTTTACTGTAATTTACAGTGCTATGCAGAGATACACACTAATTTTTAGTCTGTATCTCTGCTTTCTCTTTTGCACCCAGATGCTGGCAAAGGCATGGTCCACTCCTGATGTGTGCCCTTTCAACACCGTCAGTTACTCACAAGTATCTGCATATCTGTTTTGTATTTACAGTTTTTATATAATATCTGTATTTTTTTTTTATTTAAAGTTTTTGAGCTGTTTTTTTTGCACACAGAGACAAAAAAGAGCTATTTAAGTTATTTATTTTTGTTCGCTATCTGTATTGGTCCTGAAAACCTATGTCAACTTGTTTTTATAATGATGTGCATGCTCTCACCAGCAGGACCTTACTGTAACTAAGACTTTGTTTAGGGTGTTTGTGACATTCTCATTTCTCCTTTTATTGCACGGATGAGGATGTAGGTTCATCTCTGCTGACCTTTTTTTTCATACATATTATATGAGGATGATGGCCTGTTTGTTTTTTTCCTCAGGTTCAGATGTTGCTGATTTCAGTGGTGTGTGTTCTGCTGCCCTGCAGGATATCCAAGCAGTGTCCTGGTGAATGCTGGTGAAGGAAATTTGTGCAAGTGGGAATACCAAGCTGTGAGTGTTTACGATCCTTACTCAGAGCAAGCTTAATACTGCCTTATATAGTAGTTTTAAAATTGCTTCAACATGTTTATTTGAATTTAATTTTTCCAGTTTGGCATTACAGTAGAAAGAGCAAGATTGTTTGGCTGAAGCATCCTGGTCAGCAGTGAGTAATCATGCACTGACTCAAAACATTGTACCCACCCATGTGGTGTGTAATGAGCAGCAACTTTTGCAGAAGAAGTTCTAATAAAGCCACCTATGCAGTAAGCTAGCCCTCCATGCAGTTATTAAGGATGTATGAGACTCATTTCATTAGAAACTGAATGGTATAATGCTGAACTTACTAAAACAAAATATTTGACAAAACAGCATCCAGTGAATGAAGCTGCTGTTCTTGTAAATAGTCGCATTGCAAATATGAAACAATTATAATAATTGCATTAGTTGCTTATTGGCTAACTTGCAAGGTAGCTAAAAAATGGCTCGAATTTTAATTAGTGGTGCACTGAAAATCGTATGAAATTTGATAAATAAAATGTTTGGAAATGATACAGCCATTCAAATAACGTCCAACACTCCTCACTGACACTCTTTAAAAGAGTGCCAGCAACCTGTTCAATGTTGCTGATTAGCAATTGGATTAACATGTTGTGCTAACATCTGTGAAATTATTGTTCTGTGAAAAAGTGGGTAAGGCCAGTTAGGTAGATACAACTTCCAGAAGCAGTAAAGTACTGCAGTGTCATCAGGCTGTAGCCTATTTCTGACACCCCTGCTGTCATCACCCTACCTATTCCAACACTTTCTCCCCTTGTAGTATTATCACCATATTCTGGAAGTCAGCTAGAATACTACTTTTACTACTTACCAAACACTGCAGCTCCCTTTGGTACAAAGACTATGAAGTATTCTCTCAGCACAGCCATATTTTCCTGCCACATTGGGCAGACCCAGAAGAAGACGTACAAAGATGAGGAAACACAGCAGACTTAAAAACCTGAACAAGATCAACGAGGCCAAAAACATGTTAAAACAACAGGCATATAAGTGTTTATGGTCCATTCATGTCTTACCTTTAATACCTTTGATCTTTCAAATTCAAACACTGGCGCACTGATTAAAAAACTGAAGGCCTGAGGCAGTGGCAGATAGCAGTGATTGCTGTGCAGTGATTGGAGGGATGAGGAAATAAGGCAGAGCTTATCAGCGAGTGTAGTAATTTGATTGGCTCAAATACAGTGACAGCACTCACTGAAAACAAATCAAAATTCATGTCTTAAAATATTTGCTGTAATAAACATTGTTTCCTCATTTGATTGGGTAGGTCTGTGATCAATGGCTACGTCCTTGATTTAAAGAGTGTGGAAGAAACTGCATAAATAGAATAGAGTAGAATACAGAGTGTTTGTCTGTTTTTAGTATGCCATTCACCGAACATCATGATGTACTGTAATTTAGAGAGATAAACCAATTAGTATTTATTTAAGATGCAACCAAAAGGAATAAACTAAAATAATGTAGTTCAAAAAATGTATTACAAGTGATGCTATATGTAATTGATAATCAAAATTAATGAGACATTACTAAAATAATAATATGCTGCTTTTTTGCTATTTTTTTAAAACCTTTAATAAGGGTGGTTCCAGTGAAGTGACTGTTTTAAAATAAATAAATAAATAAATAAATAAATAAAGCCGCCATGATTGAGTTTTGTCACGTTTACATCACATCTCCTTCTGTGATTTTATAGGTGGGCTGTAAAGCAGAGATCAGATTGTTGGAGTGTGTCTGTTATCTATTTACTCGAGTGCATGCAAACACTGAGAGAATTACTGACATCTTTTGTATGTGCATCTAATATATGTAATGAACATTATTATTATTATTATTTTTAATAGGGTACATGAGAGGTAACTGAAAAAGTATTAAATGCAATAGTCAACAGAAGTGGCTCACCCTATACTTAAACTGCTGGCAAGTGGCAAGATTTCAAAGAGCCAAGCTGCGCAGTTTGATTGGGCGGGTTTCATTTGGTTTGTTTCCCGTCTCCCCAGGTGCAGTCAACATCTACTGCCGGTGCTCAGGATTTTTAGGGCCACTGATATCTGCCCTCTGCTCCTTCCTCGTGATTAGTTTGAGATTTTGCCACTTGTTTGTGTGTCAGCGTTTCCTAGGGTAGCATAGTAGAGATCTGCACCTGTACAGGTCACGTAGAGAGATACTGTCTAGCATATTAGGTTAGCAGACAGGCAGCAACACTTGAACTTTAGTTTTGTTTCTTTTCTTGACAGAATGGTGATTCTTGTGAACGGTGTCCAGGTAGCATTGAAATAAAATTGAACTATTCATTTACAGAAGCATAAAGTCCAGAACCAGTTTCTTCCCCTGGGCCATCAGGCTGCTGAACAGCCAGTAGTGCTGGTGTATCGGTCTATAGGCCTGTCACTACCCCTCTGAATCATCATCATCATCATCATCATCATGAAGATCTCCATGGACAATCTACACTGTATCCACACCTCAAACAGACCCACTCTTTCTTACTGTAACTTCAGTCTAGCTATCTATGCTTACACATATAGATAGTCATCTTGCACATCCACCATTCAAATCTTGTATAATCTGGAATATGTACACATCAGTATTCTGTCCCCTGTGTACCCTGCATCTCATTGATCTACCTCGGACTCACACATTGCACATGTGGAACGTGTACAACTGTACATATCATAGCTTTTATTTCATAACTTATTACTGTACAAAACTGAATGGTGCAACACTGGTGTACATTAATGTGTTTCTTTTCTTATGTATTTTTTGTATATGTAAGCACTACAACCCCTAGGTTTTTCACTCACCTTCAACGTTTGATTTTTTAAAATGATTTATGTATGTATTCATTTATTTATTTATTTATTTATTTATTTATTTATTTATTTATTCATACTACATAGAATAGTCTATATTTCTCATTTTGATACAACTTTCACATGAAAACAAAAACATTAATCATTTTTAAAGGCTTTACCTGCATAATTTTCATTACCAGCATGATTTAGGATGAACTAAGCACTTTTTAACTAAAGTTAACATCAAGGCTAGTTTTTAATTTGAACAAAGTAGGTAAAAAATTATTACATTATTGAAAATGCAGAAAGAAAAATATTTCTTTCACATTCAAATTAATGTTAAAACCTTATTCTCTGTACATATTGCTCTGTTATTGTTTGCTATCCGGTGTCGACCAGAGGAGGATGGGTTCCCCTACTGAGTCTTGGTTCCTCTCAAGGTTTCTTCCTTATGCTTTTAGGGAGTTTTTCCTTGCCACTGTTGCCATTGGCTTGCTCATGGGGGCTCGGACCCGGATTTTTCTGTAAAGCTGCTTTGCGACAACACCTGTTGTAGAAAGTGCCATATAAATAAACTTTGATTTGATTTGATTTGGGGGTCTACTGAGGAATGATTCAGTTTTCATCAGTTTTATAAACGGCAGGTTTATTTATCTCACTTCAAATTCTCTAGAAATGAATTTGATAAATGATATGAAATGTAAAGTTCAGATTTTTGAATATCTTTGGATAATTTATACGTTACAAATGTGAGAGCTATTTTCTTCCCCCAGGGTCCTTTCTCATCGTCTGAATAGCCTTTCAGTTTTTCGGTCATTGTCTCATTGTACTCGTGCTCTGACTGTTTTGATGGTCACTTTCCTTCACTTTTGTTCACTGTATTTTTGAAGCTCAGATCACCGTTTTGGTGGGGGGTGGGGCGGTGGTAATTGAAACTCAGCTAGTTTTGGACCTTGAATCTGGATATACTATACTATACTATGGCGTGGCCGAGGCATCCCCCAAGTGAAGTAGTCTGTCCCCTCCAGCTGACTCTGCCTCTGCTCCACTACAGAGACTCTACAAAAAGAGCAGTCCAGCGTTTCAGAGTATCTTGTTTGCTGTTTTTGATTTTTGTTTGCTTTTTTTCTAAAATGCATGCCTCAAAACAAAGATTTGGAATAAAAATCAGACGTTTAATGCGGAAGGATTTACCTGACAATTACCAAATTTCCAGAATGTGAGAGATGATTGTGTATGAATTAAGTCTTCTGTCCTTAAATGAGGCGTGAGGAATAGCCAAGTGTTTTTTTTTTTTTCCCTGCAAAATGACAGCACTGTCTTATAAGCCCTTTGAATAACTTGGGCATGATCACAATAGGCTTCCTAAAAATCACCCAGAATAGCCTGATTGGTACTTTGTGTTGCTGGTTGTGGGTAGTGAACACACAGTAGAACAGGCTTAGACTTCTGCTTTGTTTATTTCTTTCGTTTAGCGCTGTCCAAGTTTGTTTTCCCTAGCCTGGCGTGTTTGTAAAGTATCTCTGCAAACTATGTGTACTGATCAGACTGATCAGCCATAACATTAAAATCACCTCCTTGTTTGTACACTGTTGATTTTGACATTGTTGATTTTATCAGCTCCACTTACCAAACAGTTTCACTCTGTAGTTCTACAGTTACAGACTGTAGTCCATCTGTTTCTCTGCATACTTTGTTACCCTGTTTTTCATTGGTCAGGACCCCCACAGAGCAGGTATTATAGGGGTGGTGGGTCATTGTCAGCACTGCTGAGTGCTGAAATCAGTTTTTAAACATAATTACTGTTTGGAAAAAACTTGTCTGCAATTCAGAGAATTCCACCAATTTTTCCTGCATAATTAAATAGTTAAGATGTAAGGTCGCTCAGAGTGGTTTGGTGTGAAATGCTCTGTTCGGGAGAAACTTAGTCAGAATTGTTTACAGTGGTGATGATAGAACCCAGATGTCCACCTGTAAAAGCTCCCTCACAGAAAGTTCCATAAATGTTCCAAAACCAATCTCCCCACAGTTCCGAAATTGGTTTGTGTAATTAGGAGGGATGAAGTAATAACCTTTGTCATCCGGGGGGGGAGGTTCTATGATGTAACAATAGCAGAACAATTCTTTGTACTATGTTTTTGACTTATACAACAGGGTCTCCATCATGGAGAGTTCTCTCCATTCTAAATCTAACCACAATGCATCCTCCAAATAACGTCCTGTATTGTGAATGTATTAAAATGAATCTAGTTGATATTAAATTGTTAGTGTTGTATTTAAACACAGTGACATTTCAGCTTAGTCATTTTGACGTCAGCATTTAAGAGCCAACTGATAATCAGATATGGGCAAAAATTCGTTATTAAAACTATACATTTTAATAATGGTTTGGTGTTACTGCAGTGCTGAGAATGATCCACCACCCAAATAGTACCTGCTCGATGAGGTTCCATGGGGGTCCTGACCACTGAAGAACAGGGTAAAAGGGGGCTAACAAAGTACACAGAGAAACAGATGGACTACAGTCTGTAACTGTAGAACTACAAAGTGCACCTATTAAGTAAGTGGAGCTGATAAAATGGACAATGAGCGTAGAAACAAGGAGGTGGTCAGAATGTTATGCCTGATGTTATGTATGTAGTGCAGTATAAAACATGAGGTGATGAACAAACAGACACAAACATTCATAATTAGACAAGATATTACACAGAATAAGACAATGTCCACTTTTAAAACCTTAGATACAAAAAACTAGTTATTTATAAACATTTTTAGGTTGTATTTCAAAATGTCCAAAAGTATCCAGACTGCCCTTTAAATTATTAAATTCAGTTAGCTGCACCCATTACTGACACTGAGTTGCACCCATACACAGTATAATGATATAGCAAATAGTATCGCAAGAGAAAAGAATGTGAGACAATGCAAAGTGAGACAAACTCCCTATTAATACCCTTCATTTCAAACGAAATGCTTCACAGCATTATGGTTTTGAATTTTACAGTCAATGGCCTTTTTGACCTGTCAGTACCAAAATGTATAAATTTAGTTATTTATAAATAAACTGAAGTTATTCTGAAGTCAGACATTGAGATTGTACAGACATAATGTTACAGGTATCCCAAACACAATTCCATCCTTTTCCTCGTTCACTCATCTGTGGAAGGAAGAAGAAGATTAAAAAAATTAATTTTATTCTTCAAACTTATCCAGAAAGTAGACAGCAGTTTACAGTCCTTCATAAAGTGTCTGATGCTGCAGCTAAACGCATCGTTCATATTCTTAATCTCCGCCTGCCTTACATTACAGTTCAAGAATTCCTCCGTGATCATGTGACTGTAAAGACAACAGTAAGACCAGAATCCATGCATTTTTTAAAAATGACTAGGCATATTAGCATATCATTGTGGTCATTGTCCAGTGTGGACAGAGACAGAAGCAGCTTTCATTTGATGAACTGTGTGCATGGTCCTTTCGGGAAAATGGGACGTTTACACTAAATGAAGCGTGAAATAACTAGAAATGCGACCATAAGCAACTCGATACATTCAGACAGAATTAAAAACAAATATCTGTATTTTCATTAAACAACAGGTATTTTAAAGTAACTTTTAGCATATCTCCGACAGCAGCTCTGATGTGAAGCAGGTCATTTTTAGCAGAATGGGCCGTTACTCAGTGTCTGTGTCCTTGAATTAGAGGTCTGCATGGGACTGTTTTTTCAGTCTCACTCCGGCAGAAAATCGGAATCATTTCTCCCGCCCCCGCCCGCAACCGAAACGATTGTCCCACCCCCACCCACTCAGCACCTCAAGGCAAACTGACATTCAATATCTCACACAGTCTATCCACAAATACGTTATGATTTGCTGGATTAACATGGCACTCATGGTCATCAGGCTCACTGTGAAGTAACTTCACCAAACGGCATTTATTCATCATTTAAACACAAAGGAGGAATTAAACCACAGAGCGGTTATTTTTGGTGTTTTGCTGGGCAGCTGTGGCCGTCGGACTGAAGGCTCTGCCATCTCTCTACCGCCTGAGTCACACATGCTGTCTCTGCATGGCGTGAGCAACACGGCAGCATTACAGCTCGAACGCACTGGCCTTTCATACGCACAGAGTAGACATTCCTGTTTCCAGATGGATAGATGGTCACATCAGTCACTCTGCTATTAAAAATAAAATTTCTAAATGTACGCGGTGTATCTGATTATCCTGGACAGCGTTCTGACTTGTGATCAGACAAAAGTTTCAAGCCTGTTAGACCAACCAGGAAATCTGTCTGCAGCATGGAATGTTTAACCAGTATTTTGTCATGCATTACATAAAAAAAACACATTTTTAAGTTTTTATATGGTTTTCTGTTTAATCTTCTTTGATTTTCATGTAAATGAAAACATCATGGAAATTGGAAAAAATCAGCTCCTGGTCTATTTTTTAAACTCTGGCGCTTCGCATGCGCAACCTGTATGAAAGTGCTGACCACTTAACATGAGCGCTGAGATAAAAAGCAAGACTTTCCAGGTTGCTCACACCACGCAGACGCAGTGTGTGTGAATCGGGCCTATGAGAATTTGCGTGCTGTTCACGTGATAGGTTGCTCGAGAACGACTTCATTAATTTTAATTGTTTTACTGTTATCATTTAGTGGTCGTTCTACTTTACTTAGGCTAATCATTAATTTGCGGGATTTCTCTTCATGTCTGCTTCTGCCCGCTCCCACCTGCAGTGGGCTGGTTTCCCTCCCACTCCCACCTGCAAGATATTCTCCCAGGTCTCACGGGAATCACTGGCTAAAAGAAAAATGATGACTTTCGTATAGACAAATAGAAAAAAAAAGGTACATTCTACGACCATTAGAGATAATTATTCATAAATCAATAGTGGTCCCAGCTCTAGAAATAAATAAAGTTAAAGGAGGAGGAGCACTTCTGTAGCTCACAAAGTGTCTGTTCCTTTCCATTAAAAGGCTTGTGATGTAAATGTTATCTCTGATTTAAAAGATCAGCCACCATCACCAAACTCACCATCAGTCAGAGATGAGATGAGGAACGCTGCTCTCCGTCCACTACGAGAACCTCTTTCTGAATTAAAAACACAAAGCACAGTTAGGAGAAGTGCAGACTCGAGTTTAACCACAGACTCACTTCAGCTTCTACTCTGACAGACTTTAAACCTGCTAGCATACCTGTGAGAGAATTGATGCTGCCAGTCATCCTCCTCCTCATCATCATCATCATCATCATCATCATCATCGTAGTCTTCCTCATCGTAATCATCCTCATCGTAATCATCTTCATCATTGGAGCCCCATTTAGAATGACGAGCATGAGAGTGAGACTGGGCTCCTGACACACAGACACACACACACACACACACACACACAGGGTAGCAGCCAGTTTATAATTTGCATATTTTTACTCTTCCTCTAAGACAACAAAAATGTATATTTCATACCACTACACACTTAACCCTCTATTGCATGCTGTTGCCTCAGGGCAACAAACCCATTTTCCTTACTTTACAATAACATCATACATAAATAACGACAATGACAGGGTTAACAATAAAGGGAGCAGTTTAAATAAGTCAAGAGAAAAGCATGTTCGTGGTCATACTGTCTCTTAATGGACACTTATAAATCTCTTTTTAAACAATCAGTATCATTATTTTGTTATTAGGATTGGCAGAAATTTGTTTGTTGCCTATAAGCAACATTGTGTGACCGTGGAATGGATTTAGCTAGTCAGTAGCCAGGTCTCACCACTTCAGGATGTACATCATTTCTTCCTATTGTCGCACAATGTTACCTCAAGGCAACATACACCAAAAGGATCCCTTATTATTTAAAAAAAATGAATTTAAAAATCAGGTCCAATTTATGCATGAAAAGTGAATCAAATATATATTTTATTTATTTATCTTTTTAATTGCTGTCATAATCCGTGCAGTAGAGGGTTAAAAATGGCGGTTCTTCAAGGGTTCTTTAGTAAAGAAAAGGGTTCTATATAGCACCAAAACAAGGTTCTTCTGTTATTACAAGCATGGTATCATAACAAGCATGGTGCTATTTAGAACCCTTTTCAAAAGGCCTCTATCTAGAACCATCTACCACATTCTCCATCAGTTTGAAAAACTCTTTCACGATGCAAAGAAGTCTTTAGTCATGCAAAGGGTTCTTTGAGTTTCTTGAGTGTTCATGGTTCTATATAGAACCATTTTCTTTTTTGCGAAAGAACCCTTTAACCATCATTTTTAAGAGTGTACCTATAGTTTCCCTAATTCATCATCCATTATATTTCATTAGTAGTGAATATTTTATGCCGTTAATGCTTTTTCCTAGTTTGACCCTTCGAAAACAGTGCAGTTTAGGTTCTGCGCTCACACAATGAAGATAATGTTAATAAATTAGAAATAATACATTCTGATGAAGCTTATGTCCACTTATATAGCTATAATACAATACACTGCTTTTACATGAAACAATCTCTCTTTAGAATCAAATTTGAGCAAATAAGACAAATTTCGTTGGAAAAAAATAATGTTATTAATGCTAGCTAGCTTGTTTATACTTTCACTAATTATGCTGCTTAATAAATCGTCTATTGTGTTTTAGTAACTATCAAACTTTCCGTACAGCATATCTAAAACCTGAACTGCAGATTTTCTATATTTATGAGTATTAGCATCACAGTAAAGTGAGGCTATTTCTGACATAGTAGCAAACTCATCTTTGCTTACGTATTACTTTTTTACATATCCTAAACTACAAAATATTTCAAATCACACTTCGTACTGTAGTGGAGTTCCAGTTCCTTGCTGACCGTTGTGAGGGTCTCTCCTGTCAAAGTCTTGTATTTCAGCACACATTTGTACTGGTTCGTCATTAGCTCCTGAGCCCCCGCAAAGAGGTAGATGGTCTTCTGGAAGTATCTGTCACTGCTGGGCAGAGTCTCTCCGATCTCCACGTAGTCATCAACATGTTTTTCATTTTTCTCCCAGAACATCTGCACAGTTTTGGAGGACAGATATGTAACGTGACACAACACCGCTGGAGGGAAGCTCCTCTTCAGGTGAAATGTTATTATAGGAAGAACTGGACAGAGAAAGAAAGTAAAAGTCCTTCAGTTCTTCAGTCTTGGTCACCGAGCCCCTAAGGTGACATGTTAATTGTTGTTTAATAAAGCTTGGCCACAAATTAATATGTTGAGGCCATGAGTTAAGCTTCTTCTGGCTATGTGGCTTCAGCCACATGGTGAACTCAGTGTATTAATTCATGGCTGCGTCATATTTAAAAAATAATCAACTTGTCACCTTAGCGGCTCCAACTTATTTACATTTTGCATTTCAAGAGAATTAAGTCATTTCGTGTCACTGTCAAGTGAATCGCTTTTGTTTTATACTATAATTTTTTTTTTTTCTGATACTGTACCAATTGCACGGAGTTGACCGTACGCTGAAATTTTCCAAAATGCATGCTCCCCGGAGTTCTCAAAAAACGTCTTCAGCCAGGCTACACACTCATGTGTGTAGTAGAGGTGAAGGTTCTCAAGCTGGGTTGTGTTCTGGTTCCATTCCTGTGCCATGGATTTGGCCTCAGGAACCAAAGCTGTGAAGCTCCTACTCTCCAGATCCAGAGACAGGAAGTCCACTCCATCATAACCGTACACGTCAAAGCCATCAGAGTGACCATTGTCCTCATCCCACAAGCAGCCGTACATCCTCTGAAAGGTGTGCACACCTGAAAGTGAGAGAAAGAGAAAGATACAACGAACAATCTACTTTAAATGCTGCACCCCTTTAGAACCACACATGAACATGTCTGATGTGTGACCTTTGGATTTTTCTTGTTCTAAAAAGTAGCTTGTGACAAAACTAAAATCAGTGAATTTTCATCTTTGTTAAATCAGTTTTTTTACATATCAGCAACAGCACTGAGAATCCAAATTATTAATGGAGATGAGCAGTTTTAATGGCAGAACCCAGATAGCAGTTTTGGGCCGATTCTGGCTTTTCCATGTGAGTGTTGGTTGACTACTGGGTAGATGTTAGGCATGCAGGCCAGAACAGGGCCAGATCCTGAACAGCTTCATACCATATTGCCAATTCTGGAGTGAATACTGTGGACCAACAATGTAGTTGGGCCAGATTGGGACCGGATTTGGGCCATATCCTTTAGTTCTACTCGCTTTACAGAGTGTGGGCCAGAGGACCCAGCTGTATACTGGGCCAGAACAAACCAAGGATGTGGCCCACAAGTGAGCCAGATGAATTTTGCTTCCTGGGAAATAGCTGCATTTTTGCGTTAAACAGGGTTCTTGATTTTTTTCATCAACTGATAATAATCTGTAATAATGCCTCTTTTTTACAAAATGCCATGAAAAACTAGAGGAGAAGTCTGGTTAAATAGTCTAGTTATAGAACTTGAAGTTATCGTATGTTCGTTCTAATGCGACAACAATTTTAAAAATTCATGAAATGACCACAATATACAGCGATGGGCGACTGAACATTCTACTTATGGTCTATGGTTGCTTGGCAGCGAGGAACTACATTTCTTGGCGGAATACTTGTTTTAGGTTGATTATTATTAATAATAACAAATTATTTTCTGAAAAAACTTGTTATTTATTAATAATAATCAACATAAACAAGTATTCCATCAAGAAATGTAGTTCTTTTTTCAGGTTTTATCAGATTTTATGTTGGCTGCCGTTTTGTAAAAGCTTTGCGTCGTGCCTAAGAACACCCTTCACCCGTGATAAAAGTGGCTTATTGCTTTAGTATATGTTTGTGGTATGTAGTAATTCTTTGTTGTTTGTTTGCCACTGACTCCTGTTTGCAAATTCTGTGATCCTGGCAAAAAGTGTTTTATATAATAGCAAAACGTTGTTCTATAACATAACAATAGCAGAACTAGAAGCACCTACAGCATAAACCTGTTAAAGGTTTCCCTTAAAGAACCATATACAACAGAGCCTCCATCATGGAGAAAACCCATTTAAGCAATCAAATGCTTCCTTAAGTTCTCTTCATTCTATATCTGACCACTGCTTTTAATAAGCACCCTTGGAGAACCCTTGAAGAGTGTGCAAAATCATGCCTCTTTGAGGTGAGAAAGATTTCATGGTCATATCTGTGTTGCGTAGAGTTCTCGACATCACTGATTCATTTTCCCCTCATTGCTGGTGTTTCTTATACAGTTGGTTTACTACACAGAGTTTATATGAATAGTCACTTATGAATGTCACTGTATAAATGTAGTCCTTGTGCTTATCTACTAACCTTCTTTATGTCCAGAGCTCTCCATCGCACTGCTGAGCCCCTTTCGTAACTCAAGAGACTCTGCAAAGCGCAACTGTGCAGTTTTCTGCCAGTAGGAGTCGCCAAATACACTCTTCGCCCACACCTGTCTGGGGAGGAGGGTGTGGCATTTGCTGTCATAATAATCAATCTGCTTTCCGTGGACAAAGGACACAGCTGTAAACTTAGGCAGGCCTGCTATTCCTGTAACTGCAGTGTACTTGGCGGTGTACAGGTAGATTTCTGAGAAAAAAATAAACCCATCAGAAAACACTGAACCGCTTAAAAAAAGACTTTACCAGAATCTAACAAATCAGATCATCCCCATCACACGTTAAAGAATGTCCATGCAAATACAGTCCATCACAGATTACATTCTCATCTTGTTGCCCTACACCTAATGGGCTTCATTCACCAATATCTTCCTAAGTTTCTTCTTCAATTTGTTCTTGCAGAAGCTCTTAAGAAAAGGTTCATGTCAGATTCATGACGTGTTCTTAAACCGCAGAACCTTTGTTCTCTTGGGTGTGTGTAGATTCTGTTCTTACCTAAGAACAAGTCCCAAATAAGAAAACATTGGTAAATATCAGAATCGTTGTGAAAACTGCTTAAGTAGGTTTTTAAAAAGAAATTTGGCACACTAAATTTCTAAAGCATTGAGGTCCAGTTGAGGCCAAAGGTTCACATAAGTCTAGGTTAAGTTCATGTTACCATACATTTCTTTTGGCAAGTCAATTAGGGCATCTACTTTGTTCACATTAGAGGTCATTTTAAAACAGTCAATTACAGACAGATTCATTTCATCTTAAATTTCAAAAGTATGGAAGATTCCAAAACCTGATGTGATGACTATTAGAAGCTCCGGTACCATTGAGGACCATGGCCTGAAAGGCTGTTGCTCAAGAAACAAGCTCCTACTCCAAGACCGGCATTAACAGACTGGAAACTGAAAGTGCTCCTATAAATGAGGCTGTAGATCAGATGACAGAAAGGCACAAGACTTGTTTGTGGGAAAACTCAGCTGAGCAAGTCGTCAAACTGAAAGCGAAACAGCTTATTGCTCCATGTTGTTGCCATAACAACAAAGATTGTGTGCAAAGGTCTTTATATAATAACTGGACACCAAATTAAAGCTATACATTTTAGGCACATTCCAGTACGTTAAATTACTAAATTAATAGTGAAGGATTTTTTGGACCCCTACTCTTCATTATCTATAATTTACCCCTCGGTCCGACCATCCGCTGTCATGGACTTTATTCCCACTGTTATGCTGATGATATTCAGTTCTTTGTCTGCACCAACACCACCACTAACCTGCCACCCCGACCTCAGATGGTAGATGAAGAGTAACGCTCTAAAACTAAACCCTGATAAAGCTGAAATTCTACTCCTTGGCCCTGAGTCTGAGATCGCAAATTCCACTGACTGCACAATTAACTTGGATGGTGCGACTGTAAGATCTTCACAGAGGTGTAAAATTCAGGTCCAGAAAGTAAAAATCCTTTTCTGGTGGTTTGATCTAACTAGAGAAGCCAGGCTGTTGGAACAAAATCCTGGGAAGGATTTTTACTTTCTGGACCTGGATTTTACACCTCTGCATCTTCAACAGTACTTAAGAACTTAGGTGTTCCTCCATGAAAGCCACTGAATCTCTGGGTCATGCTTTCATATCATCCCACTTAGACTCCTGTATCTCCCTTTTCATTAGTATGTCATACAAAACTATCCGCCCTCTTTAGTATTTGCGAAACCCAGCTGTTCGAATCCTCTCTCACTCTGAAAAATCAGCTCACATCACCCCAATTCTGTGTCAGTTACAATGGTTAACTGTCCCGCTTCGTATACAGTTTAAACTGCTGTTAACATACAAAACTCCACATGGTGTAGCCGAGCCTATTTAGCTGAGCTTCTGCACCTTTACTGCCCTGCCTGAACACTTAGGCCCTCCGACACAGGTCGTCTATCTGTCCCAAAGTTTAGACTGGTCACTGTTGGGGCAGATCTTTCAGCGTCATGGCCAAACTATGGAACACATTAATGCAATGTCTCTGTGACTGTCTCCTCCTTTAAAGCTCAGCTTAAAACTTACCTCTTTTCTCAGCTCTTTCATTCTTCTTCTCACTGATGTTTTTTTTTTTTCTGCCCCCCCGCCCCAACCTCTGTAAACCAACATGGGGTTTGAGAAAAGTGATCTATAAATTCTTCTTCTTCTTCTTCTTCTTCTTCTTATTATTATTATATGAACACAGCCCTCCCAAAGTTCAGTTGGTCAGCTAGTTGTCTGTCTGTGAATGAAGTCTATTCTCCAGATGCAAGGCTGAACTCACTGGTTCAATTCTATGGTTCACCAAGGGGGTCAAATTCAACAACAGTCTTAAGTCTGCATTTAAATCGATTTTATTTTTCTTTACCTGCTGCTGCGTTAGATGCACAGAGGAGAAAAAGTAAGAACTTCATTTTCATTCTCTCCCAGTCTGCACTAACTGTGGTCGTCTGTGCGTCAGTTTGGTTGAGTTTCTGTATCCCGATGCCGTCTGAAAGATTGCATAGGACTGTATTTAAAAACACCATAATAAAAAATAAAAAAAAATAAAAAAAAGCAGTGAATGAGAAAACAGCAGATCACCTGTATTAAATACAAAACAGAACCATTTATTTACTTATTTTTGGTAAATATGTTGTCACTGTTCACAAAAAAAACATGTATCTCCATTTTTGTCAATTTTTATTTTTATACATCTTTTCAACACACCAGCTGTCCTTTAAGCGGTGTGAAAATTTCATGATGCATGGACCAATAGAAATGCTCTAAAATCACCTGGAATAAAACCTCTTTACATTAACTTACACTGAGTGTTTTTGCCTTTTCCTGTAAAGTTACTATTTTGTAGATACTTGTTTTTCTTTGCACAGCTATGATATGCTCACTCCAAATTTAACAGTGACCCTTTCCTGAATGCTTCTTTTATAACTGGTTGAAATGTAAAATATTAATTGTCTGTTTTTGTTTAAATACAGGCCAAAAGCAAAACACTACTTTCCGTTTTATTTGCCTTCCATGCACTGTCTTTACTTTTTTGGGACTGAGGTTTGTAAGAAGTTACCTTGTTTAGCTTTTGACACAAAAACGCTTCAAGCTACAAAATTAAATTTCAACTCTAAATCATTAATGATTTAATAATACATTACCTTCACCAGAGTCTGACCGGTGTCCCAGTGAGCGCTGTGTTCAGATGTTCAAATTCACCTCACTTTCAGTTTCTCTCACATTCCACTCCACATCTTTAAAGAAGGCTGTGTGTGATGTGTCCACTGTGCCACACCACTCACATGACTTCAATGCAGTTCAACCTGTTTTCACATCCAAAAAACAAATGAGGGGAAAACCACATTCCTGTTCCCAAGAAACGAAAGTCCTTTCCAAGTAACATGTAGCTATAATGTTGACAACGTGTCAAATCTTGACAAAAAGCTAAAAATCTTGACATTGTAACTACAGCAGAACCCTTTTGGTGCTATATAGAATCACCTACAGCATATTCTCCATCAATCTGAATAACTCTTGAATCATACAAAGGGTTTTTTTCAGCGTTCATGGTTCTATATAGAACCATTTTCTTTACTAAAGAACTCTTGAAGAACCATCAATTTTGAGTGTATTGTATTAGAAAACTACCAGGAACATACAGCAGCATTTAGTGCTGCAATACAATCATTACTCAGAACTTATGTAATTACTAGTAATACTTGGCACACACTTTGATTGTGTTCTATTAAACCACATCAGAACAAGCATTAACACTCACACTTACATACCTGAGAAGAGCAGATTGATGGCTATGATGCATCCATTTCTGAGAGAAAAAGGAAACAAGAAACTTTTTCAGTCGGATAATATTTATATTTGCTTTAATAGTTTATACACCGAATGCTACAACCTTGCTTCCAGAAAAGTTCAGATGCTGTGTAAAATGTAAATAAAAACAGAATGCAATAATGTGTAGATAATTTAAACCCTATATTTAATTGAAAATAGTACAAAAACAACATATCAAATGTTGAAACTGAGAAAGTTTATTGTTTTTTGAAAAATATATGCTCATTTTAAATTTGATGCCAGTAACACATTTCAAAAAAGTTGGCACAGGGGCAACAAAAGACTGTTAAAATTGCATAGTGCCAAAAAGAGCACCCGGTGTAACATCTCACAAATAATTAGGCTAATTGGCAACAGGTCAATAACATGATTGGTATAAAAAGAGCATCCCTGAGAGGGAGAGTCTTTCAGGAGTAAAGATGGGGAAGGGTTCACCCTCAGACAGCACTGCATTAAAAACAGACATGATTCTGTAGTGGACACAGAATCACAGCTTGAGCTCAGCAACACTTATGAAAATCACTGTATGTGAACACAGTTTGTCGCTACATCCACAAAGGCAAGTTCAAACTGTACCACGAAAAGAAGAAACCATATGTAAACAGGATCCAGAAACACCTCCTCCTTCTCTGGTCCCAAGCTCATTTAAGACAGACTGAGGTGAAGTGTGTGTGTAAAGTGTTTTAAGCTTTTTCCAAAGCATGGAATTCAGAGTCCACCACTGCCAACCTCCTTCTTTGGCTCCCTCTGCTGGGCAGTACTTGTTATTACCACACACTGCTGTAATGTCACAGCCAGCCACTGCTAAATAAACTGCCCCCTGGCTAACAGAGCCCTCCAGAAAAGCTCTTACCCCAAAGGAGAAAACATCTATACATGCTGCATAGTCATTTATGTATGTTTACGTTTACCTTTGACACTGTGCCACTTAAGAAAGAACCATTTAAGCATGCAGAGGGCTCTTTGAGTATTCACCGTGCTAAAAGAGTTCTTATATTGTTACAATGTCAAGCTTGTTACAACAGAAGAACCCTTTTTGGTGCTATGTAGAACCCTTTTCAAAAGGGTTCAATATAGAACCATCCACAACACATTCTGCATCAGTTTGAAGAACGCTTTTAAGATGTAAAGAATCCTTGAATCATACAAATGGTTCTTTCAGTGTTCATGGTTCTACTTGGAACCATTTTCTTTACTAAAAATCCTTGAAGAATCATCTATTTTAACAATTTAGTTTGGATCCAGAGTTCTCGTGGACACCTCCAGTCATCACATGGATTTATTAAGTTCCACCAGCAGCTCACTGGATTTAACATAATGTAGTAGCAGGTTTTGGCTGATGACTGTGATTAATAGTGGGCTGCCATGAGGAGGTTTGGAAATTCTTAAATGAACTCATTGACATTCACAGAACCACTGCTTTGTACACTGTATAAATGTGATTGGGTCTGTTGTTCTGTAATATTAGTGTTCTATCTGAGTAAACAACTGCTTGTTGCCCAGATACACAAAAGATTAAAGAAGTGCCATTTTGCTGCTTCACTACAACAGCTGTGTACAAGCAGGTCCTGAAAACCAGTCAGACCTGCCTGTGGCCTGCGGGCTTTCTGGCAGAGTGTGATCATAAAAAAAGCAAGTGAAGAAATCCTGCGACTTCCTCCATTACTCATCAAATTTCATTTTAGTGCTGGTGAAGCGATTTATTCTTAAGAGAGAGAACAACTGGCAGCAGACTGGTGAACAATGGAGCTCTACATTACACTGTACTTACTGTACTGCTGCACTGCCTGTACATCAGCAGGTAAGAGAGCTATGGACAGTTGTAGGAGTTGGACAGTTGATGGGGGATTGGTGGTGTATAAAGCCAGTTGAATGTAAAGTGCACTGATTTTCAGGGTACATTTCTGAAACTGAAGCTCTGGATCAGGGGTGTTTAATCCATGTCCTGGAGATCTACCACCTTTAAAGGTTCAGCCCTGCTGAAAAAAACCTTAGAACCCTTAAGTGTTTCTGTTGGTTCCTGATGGTTTTGTAATGTGTTTTGGCTTTTTTAATGAGTTGATATCACAATGTAAAAGATTCCGATGATTTAACAGGTGATCAGTGACTGATTCTAAGTGCCTTTGATGGTTTTCTAATGAGATCTAAAGGTGTCCTACAAGAAACTAGGGGTGGCAACACTTGCTGTCATTAGCTGACAAATGAAACAAAGCCCAGTGTCACTAAACTTTCACTGTACTTGAGGCCTCAATTAACCTGAAGTCACCTTGTATTATTATAGGAGGTTAAGTCTGATTATTCTGATTCTGAATTCGTTTGTCATAATTTACAGTCGTATTTAGGCCAATGGAGATTTTAGTGTAACAACAATATTTGATTCTGTTTTTCAGCAAAATATTTGCACACCACCTTGTACACGGTGACGAGAGCCTCGTGCCACCCTGAGTTCACGGCCGTGTCGTTTGTTAACGAGCGGCAGATTACTCGCTATGACAGCGAGAATAAGACACTGACCGCCATGCACTCCTGGGTAAGGGAAGCTTTGAGTGACCAACACTGGGAGAAGTACAAGGAGACGCACTTATCAGAATATTCAAGACTGCGAGAAGAACTAAACGCTACAATGAAGAGCTTAGGACACGTCAAAGGTCAGTTTGTCATTTTCCTGTTTGGGGTTTAAAGACACACACGACGAAGGCCTTAAATCTTAATAATTATTTCAATTTTTAAACAAAATTAAGTAGCGCATCATCACTAATAAAGTAATTCAAAGCAATTATGGTACATGTTGACTGTGTCAAACATTTTGTCAGTAATAGTGTATTAAAACTAACTCCGCCATGTGGAGGCTGCACTTCAGCCTGGCTAGCTTTTACTGTGAGTTTACATGCACAATTGTGTTATAGATGTTGAATCCATTCCAGTAATGCTGGCAGATGAGACGTCTTAATCTCTTCAGTATTATTTTATATATATATATATATATATATATATATATATATATATATATATATATATATATATATTCGATTCACTTTTCTTGCATAAATTGATAAATTGGACATGATTTGGAGTATGTTACCTTGAAGGCAACATTGTGTGACAATAGGAAGAAATGAAATAGATCTGTGTTCCCTGAAGTGGTGAGATCTGGCTTGTGACTGGCTAAATCCATTCCACTGTGGCACAATGTTGCTTCTAGGCAACAAACAAATTTCTGCAAATTTAATACTTTCCTGCTGTTTAAAAAAATTGACAGTAAAAATGACAGTCAGTAAAACAGCATTTAATTAAAACTGTTGGTCTCTAAATAAAATGCTATTATTTAATATTAATAATTATTGGATCTTTTAGCCCTTTAACGACAGAATCAGATGGTCTGTAATTAAGAGCAGTCGAAGACTATCTCCCCAGAGGGATGTTCAGACAAATGGATCTCTTTCTCGTTTTCTCCGTTTCTCAGATGTTCACACGTTTCAGAGGAGGTCCGGCTGTGAGTGGGACGATGTGACGGGTCGCTCTAAAGGCTTTGACGAATATGGATATGATGGAGAGAATTTCATATCACTGGATCTGAACCAGATGAGATACGTCCCTCACACAGCACAGGCGAACATCACGGCTGAGAGGTGGAACAGAGACGGAGCTCTGATTCAGTCTCAGAGCAGCTACCACACCCGCGAGTGTGTGAACTGGCTGAAGAGGTTCGGGAGGACCAACCTGGAGCAAACAGGTGCTGTAGAAGTGAGACATACATGTGGTTCAACACTCTGATACACAGTACCAGTGAAAAGATTCTTTCTTTTTTATTTTGTATGTATTTTATTCTGTCTTTTCTGCATTTTAGCAAAAAACATTAAAAAAAAAACCACAAAGCCACAGAAGAACCCATATTGAGTTGATGCTATCAGAAATATTGGCCTTATACCAAACACATTGTAGCGTTTACTGCTGATACACAAGTTGTTGTGCTTTATTAAGCGGCTGTATTCAGCCACAGCCATGCCGTACACTAAGCAAGGCTATAGGCTAACAGCTCACTCTACACTCAGCTCATGTCTGCACTCTCTTGCTTCCAGCTCCGACATCCCCCCAAAGGGGAACTAGCCCCGCCTTCACATTAAGAGTTTTTGTCAGAATAAATGTACATGGATATATGTTTTTATATATTTGAAATGAATTTCAAATGCATTGCAGTCCATGCTGAAATACATTCCAAATGCTAAAATGTTTTTAGAATATATTGCCATATTAGCCAAATTTATTTTAAAATACATTTATTTTAAAATGTATGTGGAAATGTACCATACACAAATAAATGTATGTAAATGTATTTATCAAATGCATTAGAAAATATATGAATTTTTTAAATTTTTAATATTGGCAAATGAACATTATACATGACAAAAGCAAGTGCTGTAGGTATTGATACTCTGTGAAAATGCAGTTATGATCTGACATCTTGTTTTTTTTAATACATTGTGTGAGAGCGCTATTTAAACACATACACACATGGTTAATGCAAAGCACAATGCAGAGGTCAGTACTGTTCATTCAGCTCATGTATATATGAAAGCTACTTGTTGGGGGGCACTTCAAATATATTTTCAGCATTAACTTTGACATGTTTGGCTTAGAAACAAATCTCAACATTTAAGTTTTTAGATCAAGATGTCTTTAACGTGGGTCCAATACTTTGACTGCTACTGTAGTCATTAATAAGATTAGAGAGTCGTTTAACAGCTCAGTGAAGTTTCTCCTTGTGTCTCCTCCTCCAGGAAACATCTCATTCTTCCAGAGGACGGCCTTCTCCCCTGTGGTCTGTCACGTCGCTGGTTTCTGTCCCAGCGCAATGAAGATCTCGTGGCGCAAAGATGGAAAAGATATGAAGGAAAACGTCAGAATTGGAGCTGCTTTACCCGACGGAGAGGGAACATACCTGAGAGACGTTTCCATCAACATCACTGAGCTGGACTTAAACACGTTCAGCTGTGTGGTGGGAAACACCTCCAGAGATTTGACCAAGGATCAGCTAAAGTCTGAGAACAGTGCGTAGAATGAACTGGGTTTACGTTACATGTGCGCTCTGGTTTGTGTGTAGACAAAGCTACATCTGTGTGTCTGATGGATAAACAGGGCTCTTATCAGTTACACTATCAAAAACCTGAGCAGAAGTTCTGGGACGGGCAGTTATAGGAGTTATGTTGGGGGGAGGGGTTGGGGTGATGGGGTGTTGGTGGTGTATAAAGTCAGCTGAATGTAAAGTGCATTGATTTTCAGGGTAAATTTCAGCCGTGTGACGCCTGCTGGACTTCTTCCACTGTGCTTTATCTTACCTTTACTGTGTTATATTTGAGTAGATAATGTGCTGCTTTTGTCTCTACAGCTTTTTCCCCCTCAGCATTTCAATATGGTGGCTAGGCTAAAAAGGATGGTAGGCTAAGCTAAGTATGCTAACCATGATTTTCCTCTCAGCATTTAAGCTAGACTTTACTACTTAGCGTTTAATCTGTATATATCAGGTTTTCATCAGCCTCTGAGCTGCACATATCCACGATTCTCCTCGACATTTAAGCTCTGAGGAGCGCGTTCTCCCTCAGGCCGCTGTTCTTTGCTCTGTTTGGCTTTCAGTTTTCCAGCCTCAGCACATTCAAGGGTGTAAGCTGATGATCTTCAGCTCTCTGCTGTTAAAAGTAGTGATGTTTTCTAAACTTGAAACTGAAGCTCTGGATCAGGGGTGTTTAATCCATGTCCTGGAGATCTACCACCTTTAAAGGTTCAGCCCTGCTGAAAAAAACCTTAGAACCCTTAAGTGTTTCTGTTGGTTCCTGATGGTTTTGTAATGTGTTTTGGCTTTTTTAATGAGTTGATATCACAATGTAAAAGATTCCGATGATTTAACAGGTGATCAGTGGCTGATTCTAAGTGCATTTGATGGTTTTCTAATGAGATCTAAAGGTGTCCTACAAAAAACTAGGGGTGGCAACACTTGCTGTCATTAGCTGACAAATGAAACAAAGCCCAGTGTCACTAAACTTTCACTGTACTTGAGGCCTCAATTAACCTGAAATCACCTTGTATTATTATAGGAGGTTAAGTCTGATTATTCTGATTGGATTCATTTGTCATAATTTACAGTCGTATTTAGGCCAATGGAGATTTTAGTGTAACAACAATATTTGATTCTGTTTTTCAGCAAAATATTTGCACACCACCTTGTACACGGTGACGAGAGCCTCGTGCCACCCTGAGTTCATGGCCGTGTCGTTTGTTAACGAGCGGCAGATTACTCGCTATGACAGCGAGAATAAGACACTGACCGCCATGCACTCCTGGGTAAGGGAAGCTTTGAGTGACCAACACTGGGAGAAGTACAAGGAGACGCACTTATCAGAATATTTAAGACTGCGAGAAGAATTAAACGCTACAATGAGGAGCTTAGGACACGTCAAAGGTCAGTTTGTCATTTTCCTGTTTGGGTTTTAAAGACACACACGACGAAGGCCTTAAATCTTAATAATTATTTCAATTTTTAAACAAAATTAAGTAGCGCATCATCACTAATAAAGTAATTCAAAGCAATTATGGTACATGTTGACTGTGTCAAACATTTTGTCAAACAAATGTTCTTTTTGACCAGAAAGAATAACAGTAAATATCAGCACAATAAAATATTCAAATGTGTCATTTACATTAAGTCTGTAGTACGTGTTTAATGACTCTGTTCTTGTTTACTGTGGGGGTCTTAGTTTTAATAGTGTATTAAAACTAACTCCGCCATGTGGAGGCTGCACTTCAGCCTGGCTAGCTTTTACTGTGAGTTTACATCCAAAATTGTGTTATAGATGTTGAATCCATTCCAGTAATGCTTGTGGATGTGACTCCTTCATCTCTTCAGTATTCTTTCTAAGTCAGAGTTAATGCCCTAAATACATATACACCAATCAGACATAACATTTTGACCACCTCCTTGTTTCTACGCTCATTGGCCATTGGAGTTTTTAAACACCTCAGTGTCACTGCTGGACTGAGAATAGTCCACCAACCAAAAATATTCAGCCAACAGCGTCCTGTGACCACTGATGAAGGACTATAGAATGACCAGCACAAACTGTGCAGCAGCAGATGAGCTATCGTCTCTGACTTTACATCTACAAGGTGGACTGACAAGCTAGGAGTGTCTAATAGAGTGGACAGTGAGTGGACACAGTGTTTAAAACTCCAGTAGCACTGCTGTGTCTGATCCACTCAGACCAGCGCAACACACACTAACACACCACCACAACGTCAGTGTTACTGCAGTGCTGAGAATGATCCACCACCCAGTACCTGCTCTGTGAGGGTCCATGGGGGTCCTGACCACTGAAGAACAGGGTCAAAGGGGGCTAACAAAGTATGCAGAGAAACAGATGGACTACAGTCTGTAACTGTAGAACTACAAAGTGCACCTATATAGTAAGTGGAGCTGATAAAATGGACAATGAGTGTAGAAACAAGGAGGTGGTCAGAATGTTATGCCTGATCGGTGTAAATATGTATAATGTTATTGTAAAGTGAGGAAAATGGGTTTGTTGCCCTGAGGCAACATTGTCAATAGAGGGTTAAATGTCATACAAGAACTTAACGTTGTTTTGTGAGGTGCTTTTGTTAAGGAGAATAAACAATGTACTTTAATATTGACTCTTGTTTCAGTGCTTATCATTTTGAGAATTCTTGTTTCAAAGTTCAAGCTTTTTTATATTTAATACTTTCCTGCTGTTTAAAAAAAATGACAGTAAAAATGACAGTCAGTAAAACGGCATTTAATTAAAACTGTTGGTCTCTGAATAAAATGCTATTATTTAATATTAATAATTATTGGATCTTTTAGCCCTTTAACGACAGAATCAGATGGTCTGTAATTAAGAGCAGTCGAAGACTATCTCCCCAGAGGGATGTTCAGACTAATGGATCTCTTTCTCGTTTTCTCCGTTTCTCAGATGTTCACACGTTTCAGAGGAGGTCCGGCTGTGAGTGGGACGATGTGACGGGTCGCTCTAAAGGCTTTGACGAATATGGATATGATGGAGAGAATTTCATATCACTGGATCTGAACCAGGTGAGATACGTCCCTCACACAGCACAGGCGAACATCACGGCTGAGAGGTGGAACAGAGACGGAGCTCTGGTTCAGTCTCAGAGCAGCTACCACACCCGCGAGTGCGTGAACTGGCTGAAGAGGTTCAGGAAGACCAACCTGGAGCAAACAGGTGCTGTAGAAGTGAGACATACATGTGGTTCAACACTCTGATACACAGTACCAGTGAAAAGATTCTTTCTTTTTTATTTTGTATGTATTTTATTCTGTCTTTTCTGCATTTTAGCAAAAAACATAAAAAAAACATCAAAGCCACACAGCCCATATTGAGTTACTGCTATCAGAAATATTGGCCTTATACCAAACACATTGTAGCATTTACTGCTGTTAAAGAAGAAACGCTGATACACAAGTTGTTGTGCTTTATTAAACAGCTGTATTCGGCCACAGCCATGCTGTACGCCAAGCAAGGCGATAGGCTAACAGCTGACTCTACACTCGCTCATGTCTGCACTCTCTTGCTTCCAGCTCCGACATCCCCCCAAAGGGGAACTAGCCCCGCCTTCACATTAAGAGTTTTTGTCAGAATAAATGTACATGGATATATGTTTTTATATATTTGAAATGAATTTCAAATGCATTGCAGTCCATGCTGAAATACATTCCAAATGCTAAAACTGTTTTTAGATATATTGCCATATTAGCCAAATTTATTTTAAAATACATTTATTTTAAAATGTATGTGGAAATGTACCATACACAAATAAATGTATGTAAATGTATTTATCAAATGCATTAGAAAATATATGAATTTTTAAAATTTTTAATATTGGCAAATGAACATTATACATGACAAAAGCAAGTGCTGTAGGTATTGATACTCTGTGAAAATGCAGTTATGATCTGACATCTTGTTTTTTTTAATACATTGTGTGAGAGCGCTATTTAAACACATACACACATGGTTAATGCAAAGCACAATGCAGAGGTCAGTACTGTTCATTCAGCTCATGTATATATGAAAGCTACTTGTTGGGGGGCACTTCAAATATATTTTCAGCATTACATTGATATGTTTGGCTTAGAAACAAATCTCAACATTTAAGCACAAGTTTTTAGATCAAGATGTCTTTAAGATGGGTCCAATACTTTGACTGCTACTGTAGTCATTAATAAGATTAGAGAGTCGTTTAACAGCTCAGTGAAGTTTCTCCTTGTGTCTCCTCCTCCAGGAAACATCTCATTCTTCCAGAGGACGGCCTTCTCCCCTGTGGTCTGTCACGTCGCTGGTTTCTGTCCCAGCGCAATGAAGATCTCATGGCGCAAAAATGGAAAAAATATGAAGGAAAACGTCAGAATTGGAGCTGCTTTACCCGACGGAGAGGGAACATACCTGAGAGACGTTTCCATCAACATCACTGAGCTGGACTTAAACACGTTCAGCTGTGTGGTGGGAAACACCTCCAGAGATTTCACCAAGGATCAGCTAAAGTCTGAGAACAGTGCGTAGAATGAACTGGGTTTACGTTACATATGCAAATACAGTTGTATACAAAAGTTTGTGCGCCCCTGTTTAAATGATGTCTTGTAAGTGAAAATTAGTGAACACACACACACATTCTCTACAGTGAACACACTTCTGGACATTTTAACACAGTAAACATACTTATTCCACAGTTTAGTTCAACATATTGAAGAAAAAAATTTATAAAATGTGGCCTGTCCAAAAGTTATGGCACATTTCATATTTTATATTTTGTGTAGGATGTCACTTCCAATCAATAAGTATTTGGGGGGAGTTTTTTTTTTATATGTCTCAAATATGAGCACTGACAGCACATCATGAATTAGAGAAATATAAAAGGAGAAAACAGTTTGGTGTGAGATCAGATGCCAATTTGTATAGATTTGATCTTATACTTCTTGTCATAGTATGAAAGTTACGTAAATATTTGTATTCTTTATTTGTCTTCAGGGACTGTAATGTTGATGATTACTGGTGTTGCCATTTTGTCAATACAGATTTCCATCTGGCTTGGATTGCTGTTCCTGTTTTGCATTTTCACTGGTTTAATTGCATTTGGCGTTTCCTGGTATTGTAAGAAGCAGCAGCAGCAGCAGTCTGGTGAGAGTAAACAGTTAATTCTGATCTATTTCTGTCTCTCTTTCTCCATATATCAGGCATAACATTCTGAACACCTCCTTGTTTCTACGCTCATTGTCCATTTTATCAGCTCCACTTACTATATAGGAGCACTTTGTAGTTCTACAGTTACAGACTGTAGTCCATCTGTTTCTCTGCATACTTTGTTAGCCCCCTTTTACCCTGTTCTTCAGTGGTCAGGACCCCCATGGACCCTCACAGAGCAGGTCCTATTTGGGAGGTGGATCATTCTCAGCACTGCACTAACACTGATGTGGTGGTGGTGTGTTAGTGTGTGTTGCACTGGTCTGAGTGGATCAGACACAGCAGTGCTGCTGGAGTTTTTAAACACCTCAGTGTCACTGCTGGACTGAGAATAGTCCACCAACCAAAAATATCCAGCCAACAGCGTCCTGTGGGCAGCGTCCTGTGACCACTGATGAAGGACTAGAGGATGACCAACACAAACTGCGCAGCAGCAGATGAGCTATCGTCTCTGACTTTACATCTACAAGGTGGACTGACAAGGTAGGAGTGTCTAATAGAGTGGACAGTGAGTGGACACAGTGTTTAAAAACTCCAGCAGCACTGCTGTGTCTGATCCACTCGTACCAGCACAACAGACACTGCTGAGAATGATCCACCACCCAAATAATACCTGCTCTGTGGGTGTCCTGACCCCTGAAGAACAGGGTCAAAGGGGGCTAACAAAGTATGCAGAGAAACAGATGGACTACAGTCTGTAACTGTAGAACTACAAAGTGCACCTATATAGTAAGTGGAGCTGATAAAAAGGACAATGAGTGTAGAAACAAGGAGGTGGTCAGAATGTTATGCCTGATCAGTGTATATCACTGCTGTTGGAACAAAACCTTGTATCTCCGTTTTTGTTTTGTGTATTGTTTTTACAGTATTTGAAGATGCCAACTGCCCGTTACAATGTGCTGAAATTTGGTGAATACACCAATAGAAAAGCTCCAAAATTACTTGAAAAATTGTAGCTGTATCAACTTCCATTCAAAGTTAAGAGTATTTTTCTTCTCCTGTAAAGTTTTGTTTCAACAGCAGCGAAATACAAGTGAAATATGTTCTACATTTAATTTCATTGCCTGAATTCATGAGTAATTACTTAGTATCTTTTTGTTCCTACCTTTTGCAGATTATAACGCACCGTCACGTGAGTATTCCGGGTTTATTATGTAAATCTAAACTTTAAATATTTAAAATAAGAAGTGAAAAGTGTCAGAGCAGCGTCTAACTTTACATTTTTTGCTCTGGGAAATATTTAATACTGTCTAAATACATTGGAATGATATATTTAATGAGTCTTTTCTTTGGTTGTAGATACAGTACAGCACAGAAGTGATGCAGCTGTCAGCAGTGCAGACTGATAAGTAAGTGGAAATGTTGCTATTATTGCAGCATCTTTAACTCAAGTGTAGAATACAGTGTTTCTAATGTAAAACACATGAACAAAAGCGTGTCTTCAAAAATGATAAACTAAGCAGATGTTTACTCCTTGTTTGTTTTCTGTCTTGTGTCTTGTGTTTTAGTCACTGAGAGGTAATCAGAACTTCAGAGCCTTCGGTCCTGCTGTCACACAACAACAGAACAGCTGCTTTCAGCCTGTATCAGTTTATGTTACTGTGCAGCCAGTTAGCACACTGTAATACAGTAATAACAAATGGTCAGATTAGCTTTGTAAGGTGACCAGCTGCACAGCCCTTTAGAGTTACCTCAATTTAATGTGGTCAAAGGTTCTCCAAACTCACTTTGTTTAGTTCTCCGTGCCAGGTCGGGACAGTTTAAGCAATTCCACTTTTTAAACTCCCAAACTTGGAGGACCGTAACTTCGCCAGCATTCAGTCAGTCACTGAAGCAGAACTCAGGATCTCATGGGGCTGCTTTGTTTAAAGTCCTCTGACAAAATTAATTTACACACTTAAAAAAAAAAAGATGGCTCTTCAAGGGTTCTTTAGAAAAGCAGTCATCGTAAATGAAATTATAAGTGATTATAAATTTGACGTTTTCTATCTCACCGAAACATGGGTTAGACAGGATGAATATTCAGCACTAAATGAAGCCACCCCTATGGGCTATAATCATTTACACAGCCCAAGATTATCAGGCAAAGGAGGTGGATTATGTGTAATCTACCAGAATACCCTAGATATCAGACAGAAACAATGTGACACTTTCACTTCTTTCCATCAACATTACAAATTTGACCACAAAAAAGAACACATTTTCATTATTTAACATTTACAGACCACCAGGACCCTACTCAGAATTTCTAAAAGAATTTAGTGATTTTGCTGCAAACCTAGCTGTGTGCAATGATAAAGTAATGATTGTAGGAGATTTTAATATCCATTTTGAGAAGGTAGATGACCCACTAAAAAAGGCATTTACTTCAATCCTAGACTCTGTTGGTATTACCCAAAATGTAACAGGGCCTACACACTACTGTAGTCACACTTTAGACTTAGTTCTGACACTCGGACTTAACATAGACAGGCTTAATATCCTACCGCAAACCTCAGTAATCTCCGACCATTACCTAATTTCTTATGAGCTACGTCTTAGCCATAATACATGTACGTCCCCTCGCTATTCTACAAAGCGCGCAATAAAACCATTTACCGCCCTACAATTCGTAGAAAACCTCCCAGAACTAACAAGCCTAGTCTCCACTCCATCAGACCCAATGGAGCTAGATGTACAAACCGACTATTTAGAAAATACCTTCCGATCTACTTTAGAAAATGTGGCGCCACTTAAATTCAAAAGGATAAGACAGAAAAAGCTCGCCCCATGGTACGATGATAAAACCCGTACCTTAAAACAAACAGTACGGAAACTAGAGCGGAAATGGCGATCAACCAAGCTGGAAGTGTTCCACTTGGCCTGGAAGGAAAGCCTTATAGAGTATAGAAATGCTCTCACTAAAGCTCGCTCAGCGTATCTGGCCTCGCTGATCGAGAATAATGAATATAATCCTAGAGGACTGTTTAGTGTGATTTCCAGAATTACAAAAATCAGGCAGGTATTGAACCACAAATCCCGGCGACTCTCACCAGTGAAATTTTTATGGACTTTTTTAATAATAAAATCGAAAATATTAGACAACAAATTCAACCCACAGTATTAAATCCAACTTGGCTGTAATCTGACATGGCTGATATAAAACATAACGTAGTTGCAGAAGAAAGGCTTGAAACTTTCTACCCACTCACACAGCCAGAACTAGAGAAGATTATCTCCTCTGCAAATTGCACAACCTGCACACTTGATGCATTTCCCTCAAAATTACTCAAAGAAGTGCTACCAGTTATCATTAATCCTCTTTTAACTATAGTAAACTCGTCCCTTAGCCTGGGCCATGTACCCAATCCTTTTAAACTAGCAGTTATTAAACCTCTGATCAAGAAACCAAACCTTGATGCTAGTGTATCGTCTAATTACAGGCCTATTTCTAGCCTACCATTTATATCTAAGATCTTAGAAAAAGCTGTAGCCCAACAACTTAGTTCATATCTACATAAGAACCACATATATGAAAAATTCCAATCTGGATTCAGGCCTCATCACAGCACTGAGACGGCTCTAGTTAAGATAACAAATGATCTTCTCCTTGCCTCTGATCAAGGCTACATATCCCTGTTGGTGCTACTTGACCTCAGCGCAGCTTTCGATACGATAGACCACAATATTCTCCTAGAAAGGTTAGAAAACATGGTTGGAATCACAGGGACCGCCCTATCGTGGTTCAAATCTTACTTAACGGAACGTTATCAGTTCGTAAAGGTAAATGATTCATCTTCCAATTATTCACAAGTAAGATCTGGAATTCCACAAGGCTCTATTTTAGGACCATTATTATTTACATTATACATGTTACCGTTAGGGGCGGCACGGTGGCGCAGTGGGTAGCGCTGTTGCCTCACAGCAAGAATGGCCTGGGTTCGATTCCCGGCCGGGTGACCAGGGTCGTTTCTGTGTGGAGTTTGCCTGTTCTCCCCGTGTCTGCGTGGGTTTCCTCCGGGTACTCCGGTTTCCTCCCACAGTCCAAAAACATGCAGTTAGGCCAATTGGATGTGCTAAAATTGCCCCTAGGTGTGAATGAGTGTGTGAATGTGTATGTTTGTCTGTCTGCCCTGTGATGGACTGGCGACCTGTCCAGGGTGTATCCTGCCTTCCGTCCAGTGACAGCTGGGATAGGCTCCAGCACCCCACCGCGACCCAGAAGGATAAGCGGTTTAGATGATGGATGGATGGATGGATGTTACCGTTAGGCACAGTTATAAGTAACCATGGCATTAACTTTCACTGTTACGCAGACGATACGCAACTGTACATATCAGCCAAACCTGATGACAAATACAGGTTAAAGAAAATAGAGGACTGTGTAAAAGATGTGAAAGGTTGGATGTTGCGTAACTTCCTCCTTCTAAACAGTAACAAAACAGAGGTTCTCCTTCTGGGTCCAAAAGTGGCAAGAAATAAATTATCAGATTTAATTTTAAATCTCGCTGACTTTCCAGTTATACCTGGTTCAGCAGCAAAAAATCTTGGTGTCTTACTTGATCCAGATTTATCATTCGATCAACACATAGGCAGTATCACTAGGACAGCTTTTTTACGTCTTCGCAATTTCGCCAGAATAAGAAATGCATCATCGCTGCATGATGCAGAAACATTAGTACATGCCTTTATTACTTCAAGGCTAGACTATTGTAACGCACTACTATCAGGATGCACCAGCAGGAATTTAAGTAAACTTCAACTAGTTCAAAATGCTGCAGCCAGGGTTCTCACGAAAACTAGAACATTTGATCATATCAGTCCAGTTCTATCATCACTTCATTGGCTGCCTGTTAAATTCCGTATTGATTACAAAATTCTTTTATTGACGTATAAAGCCCTACATGGGCTCGCTCCTGAGTACCTGCAAGACTTTATTTCCCATTACGAGCCACCACGATTACTCAGATCACAGAGTGCTGGCTTTTTAATAGTTCCCAGAATTCAGGAGGTTTCATCTGGGGGAAGAGCCTTTTCTTATAAAGCCCCCAAACTCTGGAATGATCTTCCAGAAAATGTTCGGGACTCAGACTCAGTCGCAATATTCAAATCTAGGCTGAAAACTCACTTGTTTAGTTTAGCTTTTGGTAGTTAATGTTTCCCCTTAGATAAAGGCAGCAGATCCAGGGGTCCATGGACGCAGGGAATTATAGTAAACTGAGTATATATATTATAGTATAGTAAACTGTTGTCCCGCCGCTCACACGCGATCACTCAGGTTTGTGGACGGTGGAGCGGAGGGATGCCAAATTGTCTCAGGGTGCTCCCGTGTCTGTGTGCCCTTTTGGTTCTCTCCTTTTAGTTAAGCTGTTATAGTCAGATCTGCCGGAGTCGTTAGCCACACTCTGGAAATGTTCTACATATTATTATACATTCACCCATACAGAACTAAACTAACTCCATCTCCCTACCTTTTTTCTGAGTAAACGACTGCCCACCTATCCGGCCGGACACTGATGGATGATTGTCTGTAGAGCTCTCCTGCCACCCGCTTCAGACCAGTTGCCCACGCCCCAGTCTCCGCCACCTGCCTTGGACTAGCTGCCCACCCGACACTGAAGTGGACTCCTAAATATTACTATTACTACTACTATTAATATTAGTAGAATAATAATTTTGTACGTAGTTTGACCAGAGGAGGATGGGTCCCCCCATGTGAGCCTTGGTTCCTCCCAAGGTTTCTTCCTCAGCTCTGAGGGAGTTTTTCCTTGCCACTGTCGCCACTGGCTTGCTCACCTGGAGGATTTACAGTTCATGTTAAAACTTTGTCCTTAATGGATTTCTGTGAAGCTGCTTTGTGACAACATCAGTTGTAAAAAGCACTATACAAATAAATTTGACTTGACTAAAGAAAATGGTTCTATATAGAACCGTGAACACCCAAAGAACCCTTTGCATGATTAAAGGGTTCTTTGCATTGTGAAAGCGTTCTTCAAATTGAAGGAGAATGTGCTGTAGATGATTCTCTATAGACATTTTTTTTAAAGGGTTCTATATAGCACCAAAAAGGGTTCTTCAATTGGTACAAGCTTGACATCGTAACAAAAGAAGAACCCTTTTGGTGCTATATAGAACCCTTTAAAAAAAATAAAAAAACTTCTGTCCAGTGACAGACTGGTTTATTTTCTTTTTCTCTCTATTCGCTTTTGCATATTAGTTGTCAATTCTTTATTCTTTATTCATGATCTTCTCATTGTGTTATTGTTTGCTATCTGGTGTCGACCGGAGGAGGATGGGCTTCCTTTGTGAGTCTCGGTTCTTCTCAAGGTTTCTACCTCTTACTCTGAAGGAGCTTTTCTTGTACCTGTTGTATTTGGCTTTCTCATTTGGGGTTCAGACCTCGATTTTCAGTAAAACTGCTTTGTAACAACAACTGTTATAAAAAGCACCACATAAATACATTTTGATTGGGTTTGACTTACTGTGCCTTTAAAATGATGTATGTAAATTAACTCCTAACTGTATTGTGAATGGGCGGAGCTAAACTGCTGTAGGCTGTATTGGTGTTTGTTTCAATATGTCAGTTATGGTAACATCACTGAAACAGTGAATTTGGATTTTGCTGTATATTTGCAGCTATTTGTGTTTTGTTCAATTACAGTTACAAAGTGTTTACATGAGACAGTCACACATCATATGCTATCATTTTCAGGAGATCCTCTCAGATGTGCCACACTATCAGAAATTAGATATCCTTGTGATGTTAGGCATATATATATATATATATATATATATATATATATATATATATGTATATATATATGTATAGTATATATATATATTATATTATATTATGTATGTATATATATATATATATATATATATATATATATATATATATGTATATACACACACACTATTACACTTCTACTATTTTATTTTTATAATTTTATTGTTATTTATTTTTTATTTTTCATCTGCAGACTAGTAAACTTAGTTGTTCAGATATCTTTTCAGAAATTATCAGAGTGCCTGTGGGCTGAAAATACGTTTTGATACTTCATGTTAATACATTCTACTGCTATGAAAAAAAAAATGCTTAGCAAAAGAGGGCTATATTTTTATTGGTTTTCTCTCCTCTTGGATTTATACTGAGTGCTAAAACTGTGATATCCAGCAAGGCAGACATTGGAATGTTTTCATCAGAGCCATAATACTTAAAATCAATGGAAACTGAAACATAAAGTCTAATATTGAAAGATGCTGTTATGTGTCTTATGTGTGCATGTTAAACCATTAGTTTCATTAACAAGTGCACAATAAAGGACCACCAGTCAGATCAGAGCTCATTTACATATCAGTCTTAAAGGCATAGTAAAAAAACTGCTTGTTAAATTCTAGGAATAAAGAGTGGTTGGAAAATGATCATATGAAAAAAAAATTATAACAGTTTTTGGTACATAAAAGCACCCAAATTTCATGAGTGCACTTCAATAAATAAATACATAAAAATAAATAAATAAATAAGATATGGGCCCTGTAAAGTGTGTCACTCCCCTCCAAAAAGTTTGAGCTTGCTATGATTTCTTTTAGAATGCTGCCACCTATGGGTTGTTTTGAGCATAAGCATATATAATTTACTCCAGCAGGAAGTACCCTTAATGTTGACCTTCTTACCTTTTTAGTTTATCTTTCTCATCATATTAAGCACCATTCATCATAGCATATATTACTTAAATGACAAAATTATGGTTTTCTGCAATCTTCCATAAAAATATAATGACTTTTTAACATTTTCTGATATTTGACTACATCAGAGTCTCAGGCAAGGTGCAAGATACAGGGGGTTCTGAGGGGGTCTTACCTACAATAAGCTTCTGTCTTTGATATTTTTAACTAAATACAGATGTAGCACTGGTCTGTCTCAGGGTGGCTCTGTAGCAAATTGGTTCACCCAGTTGGTCCTTCATATCCCTGTAACCTCTGAACAACTGTGCGTTACACTGTAGCATCCATAGCATATTTTTAAATCTAAAACATTTGCCCAGTTTCCCAAGAGATTGATGAGTGAATTACTACTCACTTCTGAACAAACACAGAGTGCACAAACAATACAGTGACAGTGGACACCACTGGGCATTTCTTCACATTCTTATTGTTGTAATGCAGCAGAACTGGTCAGATGCTCCCTGTGAAAAATCCAGCCTTGAGGCTTTAAAGGCAAAATGGCTTTCCACACTGAAAGTAAACAACAGGCCAAGGTCAAAGCCAGAAACAATCACCAACAAAAGGGGGCATCAAAAGAGTGGTCAGGGACAAAAGGAAATCAAAGAACCAGTAAACACAAAAAACAGCAGACAAATCCAATAACAGAGTACACAAATCAAAACAGGTCAACGTTCAGAAGAAAAAACTGCTCGGTATGCTGAATAACGCTGTGGCAATGCTTCACAAAGACAATGAGCAATGCTGAATCCCTGCATGTTGTGTTGATGTGTAAATCTTTATGTTAATTAAAAAGTAACTGCATATTTTACAGGTTAATTAATAAAATTCTGGGTGATGATCTGCCAGAAGGGCGGCACGGTGGGTGCTGTCGCCTCACAGCAAGAATGGCCTGGGTTCGATTCCCGGCTGGGTGACCAGGGTCATTTCTGTGTGGAGTTTGCCTGTTCTCCCCGTGTCTGCGTGGGTTTCCTCCGGGTACTCCGGTTTCCTCCCACAGTCCAAAGACATGCAGTTAGGCTGATTGGACATGCTGAATTGCCCCTAGGTGTGAGTGAGTGTGTGAATGTGTATGTCTGTCTGTCTGCCCTGCGATGGACTGGCGACCTGTCCAGGGTGTATCCTGCCTTCCGCCCAATGACAGCTGGGATAGGCTCCAGCACCCCACCGCGACCCAGAAGGATAAGCGGTTTAGATGATGGATGGATGGATGGATGGATGGATCTGCCAGAACATACAGTTCTACAGTGAACTGAGCTGAGCCCCAGATCTTAAAGCTAAGACATATTTCCATTTGTACTTAGAGTGAAGAAGGGAAAGGATTTATCTGCTGGTGAATTTCCACCAGGTGCATGATGTGAAAAAATCTCAAAAATCTAGTTGCAGTCTTGCAAATAGTGACCCTGCAAGATCCCTAGTCTTTGCAAAATCACAGTCTGTGATTGTGAAGTGTGAGAGGGTGTCAGACTTTTCGAAGTCTTTTTAAAGTCTTCTAGTGTACGGTTAGCATTACTCTGATTTCTTTCGGTGTTCTCAGTCTGCGCATGTGCAAAAACAGATGGCGGCACTGAAAATAAGTAAGCAGTGTTGCCGCGAGACACTGCAAAACACTTTGAAGCTGCACTGAAACCAAATACATTCTTGATGAAATGAAAGATTTAAATATTCTTCATCTTCTAGATGATGTATGTTCATATTTTCAGATAAGTGGCGCAATGATTAGCCGCAGCACGAAGTTTGAGTATTACATTATGTTTACGTCACGTCTTCTTCTGTGAGTTTATTGGCTGGTTGCAAAGCAGAAATCTGATTATTGACTCATGTAGATCCGGAGTTTCCCATTGTCTGATTACTCAAATGCATGTAAACACACTGAAACTGTTACTGACTAAAACTGTTTTTTGGCAGTTATTGGATTATTAAGAGCACGTAAATGCACTCATAAATCTCTAAACAGATAAAACAGATTAGTATTCAGGTGAAGTGAATCTGAAAAGAGGTCTGTGATTGGCTGATGGTGGCGAAGAAGGTGACACGTGATCTCCCAAGGGATTCTGGGAGTTGGAGTTCAGGAGGTGACAGGCAAGGGACGTATTTTGGGGCTACAGGGCCGAAGGGAGGCGTAACAGTTGTTTATATATATATATATAGGTCAAACAGATAAGAAATTCACAAACACACAACTTCAGAGAGCTACGCAACAAGCTGTGAATCTGACAGGGTGTGTGAAGTATGATTCTGCTGATTTTAGCTAAGAACCATGTCAAGCCTGAACGTGTTTTACAGAGAGTGTTCTGCTCTAATGTGTGCTATTGTGAAATGCGAGATGAGTCACACCCTAACCTGATCATCTAAGGACTTTATTCCTGTTCACTCAGCATTGTTATGTAGTTCCGAGAGCAAGTACGGGTGACTTTGTCCAGCTTTGCTTAGATTATTGTAAACATATTTCAGTTGTAGTAGTGGAGCCTATTAGAAAAGGCTGGCAAATGAAGACATGGTCTCTGTTCAGGAGTAGAGTCCGTGTGACTATGGAGTTGTACCTAAGCCTCTTCTTTGTAGCCACAACAGCAGCAGGTAAGACAATTACCAGCAACTATTTCAACATATCTTACAAAATACCAACTTTTTTAAAGAAGTCATTTCTGATTTAAAAACTACATTTTTTTTAAAATTTGAAATGACTTCGTAAAAAAATGAATATTTCTAACAACACTGCCAGTAAAGTAAACAATAAAGTATCTAAATTTCTCAGTGGTGTTTTACATACAGTGATATGATGATATTGTTACTGCTCTAATGATCATTAAATATTTATTCTTGATGTATATTTGTTATTATAACATACAGTATTATTTTAATAAATAAGGCGAGGTAAATACACTAAAGCCACGACTGTTTTCATCTGCTAGAATATAATATTCAGTGTCTTACAGTGTGACTGATCACTGCCTGTTTTCCAGAAACACATTCTTACATCACTCTTTATACGGCATCGAAACAGCCAAACATACCCTGGTTTACAGCGCTGTCGTTTGTAGATGGACATGAGATTGATTACTATGACAGTAACATTATGAAAGTGGTCCCCAGACAAGAGTGGGTGAAAGAAACACCTGATTACTGGAATGAACACACATCACGGCACCAACAAGCACAGGAGGAGTTTATGAAAGATTTTGATGCTGTGAATAAACAGTTTAACCATTCTGGTAGGTTTTAAATCCCAAATCCTCATTCAAAAATAAACAAACTTTGTAGCTGAGTGGGCTTTGTACTTTTATCAGTCTTAAGCTTCGACTCATATTTTTCATCTCTCTCTCTCTCTCTCTCTCTCTCAGGTATAACAACATTTCAGAGGATGTTTGGATGTGAACTGAGCGATGATGGGAGCAGTGAAGGATTTGATAACTATGGATACAACGGCCAGGATTTCATCTCACTGGATTTGAACACAATGACGTACATCGCTGCCACACCACAGGCGGTTATCTTCAAACAGCGTTGGGAAAGTGACATAACTCACATGGCACTTCAGAGGCATTACTACAGTGAATGTGTTGACCGGTTGAAGAATTTTGTGAATCATAACAACTTTTTTTTAAAGAGAAGAGGTAAAACTCAACAGTGAGCTCAGGCTAATTATTCTTGTATGTAAAACTGTCAGTTTCTGTAACATAAATAAACACAGGGCATTTATAAAGCATCTTCAAGAGCTTCACAATAACAATAAAAATCCTTAACATCTTATAGATTTTTTCTTATAAACTGTCTCAAAGTGTTGAAATATTTATAGAAAGTTTACTTGGTATTATTTAAATATTTAAGAAAATCAATTTCCTGATTCATTTTAATCGTTTTTATTAAAAACATGCAAATAGATGACTTATGTTTTACTTTAGCTTTACTAAATACTAAAATTTTTCTAAATGTCCAGCAACCACAAAAGAGTCTAACAGCATAATTACATTTCACTAACTTTGAAAGCGCTTCAAAACAGTAATCCATCCACTCTTTTGTGTTTGTGTCAGTTGTCAGTTGTTGATTTGTCTGTTGACTTGTCCAGAGATGTCCAAACTACATCAGTGTGTCGCTTTTACAAATCACCACAAACAGTTTCAGAATGTGATGCTTTTTCAGGCTGTGTGCTCATCTTTCTCTTTTTTTTCTTTTTCTTCAGTCACACCTGAAGTCTACCTGTTACAGAAGGACTCCTCCTCTCCAGTGGTGTGTTTTGCCACAGGTTTCTACCCCAAAGCAGTGATGCTGAGCTGGCAGAAGAACGGTGAGGACCTCTTTGAGGATGTGGAGCTTACAGAGACTTTATCCAATGGCGATGGAACCTTCCAGAAGAAGAGTTTCCTTCATGTGGGGCCTGAAGAGCAGAATATGAACGAGTACAGCTGTGTGGTGCAGCATATGAACCAGGGAATTATACTGACTGCGAGCGAAATCAAGACTAATTATGGTACGTAAGATCACCACAGTATATAAATGTAATGTAAGGAAGTATAAGTTGGCTATTAGTTGTCAAATAATCTAAAATCTGAAATCTGAAATTTAAAACTGGTCATATAATCAAACTTCATACCACTTCAACACAAAGTTTTACTACGAGATATGTGATGAGAGATGTGCAAACTCCTACAAGCATTCAGACAATTAAATACTAGAAAAAATCTGTGTTTTTCATGTGTGTGTGTGTGTGTGTGTGTGTGTGTGTGTGTGTGTGTCTGTGTCCTCCCTACAACTAGTTGCTGCAAACACCTTTTACATAGAATTGACTGCTGTTGTCACTTTGGCGATTATATGCAATGTTTTCATTTGGATCTTCATAGTAAAGTGCAGAAAAGGTAAGATTCACCAAGTCCTCATACTAACTATGAACATGTGAGCATATTTTAAACAGCTGCTGATCCAAAGACAGGTACTGATTTTTTTCTCTCTCATTAGGAGACAAAATGTATATTAAGACAAACCCAGATGACTGACACCGAAGGAAGCTGTGGTTAAGGGGAATAAAGAAGAGGTCATTCCCTGAACAGCTCAGTCCCTTCTGTTCAAGAGTGTAGCTTGGGTGCAGGGATGCCGTATGGAGGGGGGTAAGTTAGGATGATTCTAGGGGCCTGTGACTGACGGGGGTCCTAAATAATTGTTAACCCTTCTGTTGTGCTCAACTGTAAGAAGCAGTAATAAAATTCCTTGGTCAAATTGACATGATGCATGTTTAAGCACCAAAAGTAGTTAAGTAGTTTTCCATAAACATTATTTTAGCTCATATAATTTTAGTGTAATCATGTTTTTCACCCATTACAGATCATGGTTTACTTATAATAATTCACTTGTTTTTCAAGAAAATATCTTTTAGACATTTTTTTCTGTACACTGGCAAAAACTAGACATTCAACATATTTGTTTGTTTATTCTTATTTAGACTTTTTCAACTTTTTTACATTTTCTATCATGGGGGCATGTTGATTAATACAAACGAAACATCTCTTCTGTTTTGGGTCAAACATATTTTGTATTTTTTAACTTTAAAACGAGTCAATTTGACTTGCAACATAACAAGATGGTCAAATATTAGAGTTTTTTTTCAATGTTACTTTTTTTCCCTTTTTTTCGTTTTTGACAAAAAATTAAGATCTAGAGAACGTCTGCCCAACAGGTGCTGTCTCCACATCCCCAAAGGCTCAACCAATGAAGCAGTGTTATATTTTCAGGGTTGGCGTGGCCTGTGCTGAAGGGGAGGTGGGGCCCAATGTGATATCTTTTCATGGGCCCCTAGCTGCGCCTCTGCTTGGGTGTAGGGTGGATATAGGTTTTGTTGTTTTAGGGCGCATGTAAAAGTTTTAGTGCTTGCTAGACTGTGATGTTAATTTCATTTGTACTGAATCTGTAATAACCCTGGAAAGTTTGACTTAGAGTGGGACACTGCTTTGTCTTTGTCACATGTCAGGGCCCCTGTCAGTCTGTGCAAAAATTTTTTTTTAATTCTTTGGGATCCTTTTTTTAAATAAGTTATTTTTCATGTAAATGTTTAATGTAATGTTGTTTCTATTACATTTATAATTGTGAATAGATATCAATAACAGATTATAGTGTGCTACAGACTTACAAAGTAAGTGATTAGTTGTTTCAGTCTTGGACAAGACGTACACAATGTATACTCCTTGAATATGAATTATTTATTTATTAATATTTTTCAATAAATACTACAACATCTACAAATAATTGTAATTGTTTTATTAATTCATTCATTTATTCATGTTTTACTACACTGGATTTATTAAGGTCATTTTAATATCAAGTCAACAAACATTGTCATATAATGTAGTATTGACGTTCATGTTCCTTTGATTTCACAAATATGACCCTGGGAAAAAAATAATAATAATAATAATAATAAAGTAAAATGAGAGTTAATTTACCAGAATCCTCCATAATTAATTTGCAGAAAAAGATCAAATCAAGGGTGTGTAGAAAATGTAGACGCCTGTCCTCAGTGTGAAGTATGGTGGTGGATCCGGGATGGTATGGGGCTTTTGTAGTTCCAAACATCCTGGCAATCCAAAGACAAAGCAATCATTTCTCTCATTTTACTTGTGTGTTACCCATGACTGAGGGTGTTTGGCCTCATATTTATACCACTTCAAAAGAGGCAGAGATGGATGACCATTTCCTGAAGACCCATATGTGCCTTAAAAAGATGATATAAATATCAGCTGCATTTTATTCAAGATTTTTTTGTGCTGCCAATAACAATCACACATGCTTACATTTAATGCACAAATCATAAAATAAACGTACAGAGGGGATGCTAAAAGGACTATGTTGTCATCTAATTGTTTAAGCCTGTGTCTCTGGTTCTTTATTATGGATTTATACTCTGTGTGTTAAATGCTTCTGCATGCTATTGTTTTCTGGACACGCCTTAACAATCGAAACTTGCACTCACATCGTGTAACTTTGGCTCACCTTTTCTTACAACCATAGTGCAACTGCACTCTTGTGTAGACAAGTGAAGAGAGTGTAGAGAAGAGACCACAATGCAAACTGTGGATGAGGCTGTGTTTGGGAGAATGCAGACAACACTCTTTGCTTGTCAGGCAGAGCTGGACAGCAACGTTTTCCAGCAGTTCTAGCAGATTTTGTCATACATTGACAAAAAAAGAAAAAAAGAAAAACACTCAAATGCCACCATCTGCAGATCTGTCCAGCCTGTGCAGATAAGATGTCATAAAACTCGATTGCATCTGGCCTATATACTTTTATTTGGCCTGATCCCTGGTCAGATTCCATTTTCTATGTGAAAATAAGTGAACAGATCCTCTACAGAGAACAACACTTTTGCACGTGTTAATGCACAATTACTGTTTATTTGCTGAATTTAAAATGTGGTAAAAACATAAAATGTGGTCTGTGCAAAAGCTACGACATTTCATATTTTATGTTTATTTTTTTCTAAACTCAACAAATAAGCAGAAACTGTGCACTGAAAGTCAGAAAAGACTAAAAGCCTGCAGAAAATGGCATATTTAGGTGTGTTCTCTGTAGAACATGTGCCCACAAAACATGTCATTTGACTGGGGGTGTTTAAACTTTTAAACAATTAATTGTTAATGTGTTAACAATTAATTAAATACATAACATTGTTTTCATCTGGTTAATCTACACTTCCTAAACATGTTAATAGCAGAACAGTTTAAAGTTTAAAGGCAAATCAGTGGATAATTAGGTCCATGAGACTGTATCCTTGCTACTGTTGTTTTGTAATGTTGCTGTGGCCAAGGACAGATTAGGTTTCAGGAAGGTGTCGTGAATGACGTAAGTGAACCTTGAGTTCCTTAACCAGCACTTGCAACATTTGCATGTCATGATCATGTGATAAGGCTGCTAAAATGACCAGTGTACTGTCAGTATTTAGTAAGGCCTAACTAATGCTACTTCATCACCAATTCATTATTTTAGCAGCCTAATCACATGATCATGACATGCAAATGTCGCAAGTGCTTAAGGAACTTAAGGAAGGTTCACTTACATCATTCACGACACCTTCCTGAAACGTATTCTGTCCTTGGCCACAGCAACATTGCAAAACAACAGTAGCTAGATTAACCATTATTAAGCAGCAGTAGCGGAGCTAAATCATTTACTATGTTTAAAATGTAAAAATATTTTACCACCTGTGGGAACTGAGGAGACACTGCTGTAGTTTTGAAAGTGAAATGTTTTCCTGTTCTTGTTTGATATAGAATTTCAGCTGCTCAACAGTTCAGGATCTCCTTTATCATACATTTCATTTCATAATGCGCCAAATGTTTTCAGTAGTGACAGGTTTGGACTGCAGGCAGGTCAGTTTAGCACACGGACTCTTTTAATACAGTGCAATGCTGTTGTAATACATGCAGAATGGGGTTTGACATTGTCTTACTCAAATGAGCAAGACCTTCCCTGAAAAAGACGTCGTCTGGATGGCAGCAGATGTTGCCAAAACATGTATATTGTATATATCGTTCAGCATTAATGGTGCCTTCACAGATGTGCAGGTCACCCATGCCATGTGCACTAATGCACCCCTATACCATCATGAATACTGGCTTTTGAACTGTGCACTGATAACAAGCTGAGAGGTCTTTAGCCCGGAGGACACAGTGTTCATTATTTCCAAAAAGAATTTCAAATGTTAATTTGTCGAGCCACAGGACACTTTCACTTCACCTCAGTCCATTTTAAATGAACTCAAGCCCAGAGAAGGTGTCAAGTTTTACATGGGCAAATAAATAAAGTCCAGTCTGCTTCATTGTGCACATATTTCCTGGTTCCTTTAGCGGTGGTTACTGTAGTGAGCAAGTCTGCTCCTGTCAAGGGAGGAGTTTGGGCTATAAAAATGCATTCGTCTCCAGCATAGAACTTCTGAAAAGGAATGGTCCAGAGCAAAAGTTGACATCACTGATCGGCAACAGACTCTGAGTTTATTGCAATATTTCAAGTTAGCATTGCAGCATTTAGGATTTACAGAGAGAAACAACTGTGTGTGGCAAAAGGTAAGGCCATGTTTTTTCCCTCTGTTTGATTGCTTGTTTTTGTGTGTCATTCTATTGTTTTTGTTAAAAACAGCGAATTACCCAGAATATTTCCATGTTTACCCAGAATATTACCACGTATTTCATTGTTAAAGCTAAACTGTTAGAACTGTTGAAATGCATCTCAAATGGTATCTGTACTTATAGTCAAACCATTTAATAAGCATAGTAAAAAAAAACATTGACAAGAACAGATGAATCAGTTGAGTATTTGAAATGAATGTAATTCTGAAAAAGAACAAGACAATAAATGATGACAATGATAAAAACTGAAGAACAGAAAAAGATTTAATCAACAGAAGTACAAATGTGTGTCTAAAGCTGCTAAGCCGGTAAGTGAGTGTACCTGCAAAATGTCTGACGGACATAAATGAAACCTTTAAGGTACTTAGAAACAGAGTTTTTCTTCTCTTTAAAAATTATGCTTTGTGGAATGTAACTGATCAGCCAAGACATGTTTGGTGTCTGAAGTTTGCTTCTCTTTGTTTTGTACCAGAGCTATGAGGTAGTGTAGCTGACAAGTTATGACAGCTTAGCATGATGCTAACTGCATGTCTAAATAAAGGTGGGCAATAATCTGTAACTGACTTGATTACCAGTTATCAGATTAAACAGTGGACATAAATACGGAATTCAGGATTGAAGGGACTTATAATACTGTTTTTCCTTTTTTACTGACAACAGTTTTTATGTTTCAAAACAGGTTGACACAAATACATCCAGCTTCCACAGTGAAGAAAGAATGAAAGCCTACCTATGCTTTATCTTTGCATCCGTAGTATTTGGAGGTGAGAGTTTAACTGAATTTAATTTTCTGTTTTCATATCCATGTACACACCTCTTAGCACACAGACAGCAGTCTCACTTTATTGCTCTGTTGAATTAAATATTATGCACATTTTCAAATGTTTCCTAACCCTGGTCCTCCCTGCGATAGCTCACCTATTTCAACACAGTAAAGGCTTGAGAAACTGTTCCAGCCTTTTTTTTAACCAATATAATGTTCAGAAGCAGAAGAAATACAACCCCATTTCCAAAAAAAGTTGGGATGCTGTGCAGAATGTAACTAAGAATAGAATGCAATGAAATGCAAATCATGTAAACCATATTTTTCAATGAAAATGCTACAAAGACAACATATCAAATGTTGAAACTGAGAAATTGTATTGTTTTATTTTTTTGAAAAATATATGCCCATTTTGAATTTGATGGCAAAAACACGTTCCAAAAAAGTTGGGACAGAGACATGTTTACCACTGTGTTTCATCACCTCTTCTTTTAACAACACTCTGTAGGTATTTGGGAACTGAGGAGACACTGCTGTGGTTTTAAAGTGAGATGTTTTCTCATTCTTACTTGATATAGAATTTCATATCATATTCTATTTTTCATTTCATAATGGGCCAAATGTTTTCAGTGTGACAGGTCTGGACTGCAGGCAGGTCAGTTTAGCACACAGACAGTGCAATGCTGTTGTAATACATGCAGAATGGGGTTTGACATTGTCTTGCTGAAATAATCAAGGCCTTCCCTGAAAAAGACGTCGTCTGGATGGCAGCATATGTTGCCAAACATGTATATATCGTTCAGCATTAATGGTGCCTTCACAGATGTGCAGGTCACTCATGCCATGTGCACCAATGCACCCCTATACCATCATGAATTCTGGCTTTTGAACTGTGCACTGATAACAAGCTGAGAGGTCTTTAGCCTGGAGGACACAGTGTCCATGATTTCCAAAAAGAATTTCAAATTGAGCTCAATCCATTTTAAATGAGCTCAAGCCCAGAGAAGGTGGCAGCATTTCTGGATCCTGTTTACGTAGAGTTTCTTCTATACGTTTTAGAGTTCTTTGCTATGTTATGCTGAGAAACGTTATTCTTGAATTATTGCACTATTTGGTGAACCCCTCCTCATCTTTACTTCTGAAAGACTCAGACTGTCTGGAATGCTTTTAAATACCTATGTCATGTTACTGACCTGTTGCCAATCAACCACCAGATATTTTGCATTACACAACTTTACCAGCCTTTTGTTGCCCCCATCCCAACTATTTTGTAATGTGTTGTTGGCATCAAATTCTAAATAGGCACATCATTTTCAAAAAACAATAAACTTTCTCAGTTTCAACATTTGATATGCTGTCTTTGTACCATTTCCAATTAACTATAGGGTTTAAATGATCTGCACATCATTGCATTTTGTTTTTATTTACATGTTGTACAGTGTCCCAAATTTATTTGGAAATGGGGTTGTAGTTTCCTTCTTGCAACTTGTTTAATGCATCTTTGCACATATTTGTTCCTTACAAAAAACTCAAACATGTCTTAGTCTAGGAAACGTACACACATGTATCAGCTTTTACCTGTTGGTGATATTTGTAACCTTACCCTCTCTGTTGTGCTCAGATTTTACAGAGTTTGTTCTTCACGAAACCCTCTACACAGTACTGACAGGGAATAAAGAACCAGCCAGGCTGCATTGTTCTGTCGTTTGTGGATGATCTGCAGATCGACTACTATAACAGTTCATCTAAAGTAGTGGAACTGCAGGAGTGGGCAAAGCAGCTTGCACCTGATCACTATGTACAGCACAAGTCAAAGGCTCACTCTTCAGAGTGTGAGAGGATGAAAAAACAATTAACTGATGTTATGGAACTCTTTAAACACAGTGCAGGTAAGGCTGACAGTCCAAAACACTTTATTTAGGATTTTTAAATCTCAACTGTATAGAAATCATTTTGAGTGGATTTGTTGCACGCCTGTGTTCCCTCAGTTGGATTTGAGTTATGTGGGACTATCTTGGAAGAAGGTGACATCAAGTGAAGCCCTAATAAAAAAAAATCACTAAAATCACTAAAATATATGGCTGTATTTTTTTTTTTTAAAGTGCCAACTGCAAAAGTTTAGTTCCACAGTTTCACATGAGAAACTGGACTTTAAAGAGCAGCTTTTTAACAACGGCCTACATGTCTTAGTTACTCCCACTTATCAACATGGTTACTGTAGTGACCCCTGATTGAACATACTGTATCTTTAATTCCATAATCCGATATCTTGCACAGATTCATGGTCTCAGAACTAAAATCGAACTCTGCCAGAAAACAAAAGCTTAAAAAAGAAACACAAAAGTCTGATAACTTGGCTACGCCACTGTCATTCACTTTGTGGTCTGAAAAGTTGAGTTTTTCTAGCTTTTCACTCTCTATAAACCTATAGTTTAGGTTATCCTTTTTAAAAATCTGACTTTTGTTAATTATCATCAATTCGCAAATCATTAGAATCATTAAGGAAGCTTTAATATTTGCAATCAAGTTAACAGCCCTTAAAGTGTTTACACTGGCCCTTATTTTATGTCATTTAAAGTTGAATGAATTTCAGGTCTGATAGGAGTGTGTGTGAATTGCACACTGATTTACATGCAACTAAAACTCCACTCCATTTAAAGACATGCTGTAGTGTGTTTCTGCTTTATACGACTGTATATTTTACTATACATTTTACTGGCCTTTTTTAAAGTCAATAAATAATGAATAAGGTACAATATATCAGTAAAAGATTTAAGAAACAGAAGTACAGCCTTAAGCCGCTAAGCTAGTAAGTGATAATGATAGCTGGGAATTGGCCATTGTATGTTTTAGAAAGCTGATGTGAACAAAACTAATTTCGGTATGTATAAGCTTTTGGAATGCAGCTTATAAAAGCTACTTAAGCTCAGGCCAATAGGGGAGCAGTGCTTTTCCTGCTCAGTTCCAAACTCCACCTATGAGGACCTGTTGGCTCATGAGCACGAATGCGTTTTTAACTGACTGACAATTTAAACATCTTGTAAATGATGTGTATATGAGGGTAAATTGGGACATGTCCTTTGCAAATGTCATATGAATCAGGAACGAGGGCCTAGGCACTCGTTTCCACACACTGAAGCTGATTCATCAATCCTCTAATGTGGGTATGTCGAGAATATTCTATTAGCAGGAATGCAGAATTAATGAACTTCAGATTCTCTTAAAAAAGGAAAACAAAGCCATCATGATTGACCACCATGTACAGAGCTACATACTTTATTGCAGTGTAGGCAGCATTTTAGTGCAATAACGTGTGCAGAACATGATATTACAGACCACCAAGCATAAATATAAATGGTATTATGTAATTCTCTCTCTCTCTCTCTCCTCTCTCTCTCTCTCTCTCATCAGGTGCGCACATGTATCAAAGAAAGTTTGGTTGTAAATGGGCTTCCGTAACCGGATACACAGAGGGACTTGATGAATATCGTTATGATGGAAAACAATTCATAGTTCTTAAAGTGAAAAATGATCCACCTGCCTATATTCACTCGTTGGAAGAGGCCAGAGCCGTAGCAGAAGCTTTAAACAACAACAAATCACAGCTTAAAGAACAAAATAACTACTACAAAAATGAATGTCCTAAATGGCCAAAGAGGATTGGCTCAAGAGGAATCAGTGTTGTGGAGAAACCTGGTATGATGATGTCTTTAACTTCACTGAATGAAAAAATGTGAGCATTATAATAGTATGAGTACCTGGCTACACTGTACTGTCTGCTCCAGTTACATATAGTAAATGGTCAATGTCAAAGAATTATTACCTTTTCTGTTTATGAAAAGAACAAAACGCCATAGAAATCTATTATTAGGTATTCACCGCTGAGAAAGATATGTCTTTCTTTTTTTTGCAGTTCATTTTATATTTTTCTTTCTTCTTTATCTCCTGTCAATCCAGAGGTCTATCTGTTGCAGAAAAACCGCTCCTCTCCAGTGGTCTGCCTTGCTACAGGTTTCTACCCCTAAAGTACTGAAAATGACCTGGCAAAAAAACATCCGGCGCCACCATGAGAATGTGAGTGAAGGAGAGACTTTACCAAATGGTGATGGAACCTTCCAGAAGAGGATTTCCCTCAAAGTAGAGACTGAGGATTGGAAGGAGAACCGGTACCACTGTGTGGTGAAACAGAAGAATATTACATATATTAAATACATTACTAAGGATGCAATCAAGACTAATTCTTATGGTAAGTAAAATCTACCTTACGTGGTAGAACTAGACCATATAGCACATAAAGATGTAATATAACATACGCAGCATATGCAATATTATGCAAAACAACTCTATGTAACACTATGTATAATACTTCTATGTAAGTATACCAAGGGGTACTAAGACTACTCCTAACCAGGGGTGGAAAGGGTACTGAAAACTTCTGGAAGTTCTGCGTGGGTCCGCAATCCTAGTCTTAAAACATTTCTGAGCTGGCTTGGCTACAGAAGTGGGAACAATCTGTACAGACAAAACTGAAGGAAAACATGATAAGATATGAGCAGAAAAAGGACTGATCACAGTGAGACCGATCACAGTGAGACTGATCACAGTAAGGTCACAGTGTGCTCTGCTAGTGCACATCTTTCTACATGCATGTCATGATTAAATAATTACATGAGGTTTCCTAGTTTATTTGCTTCCAACAAAGTAATTTAAATTCTGTGTGTGTGGTTTGGTCACAAAAAGATCACTGCAGCAAGCTAGATCTCCAGGAAAAAGGTTGGTGACCACTGCCTTAAAATTAGCTTACACAAATAAGTGCCAACCTCCAGAGTCAGTAACGTTGCACACACAGCCTTCAAACTGTGTAAATACGGTAACAAACACAGTGTGTTTCTACAGATTTCTAAGTACTTTTAACTACTTCTAACTACTCTTACTACTCTTAACTTTTATTTTCTCTGACAATAAACAGCTAAATGGCCTCTCAGTGAGAGTGTGTGTGGGAGAGAGAGAGAGAGAGAGAGAGAGAGAGAGAGGCTTATAATATCATTTGTAATATTTGAGATTAACATGTTATGGCATGATGTAGAGGAAGAGTCCAGTGAGGAACATTACAGCTGTTCTTCTTTCCCACTTCCCTTCTTCTTCCTAGAATCCCCCCGGCCTACCACACTTACTCAACCCCACCCACAGAACAAAAGTACACCAGAAGGACTTCAACTCATTTACAGAAACGGAAACACAGATGCACTCCGACACCACAATAGCCTCACTTGTCAATAATAATCGCCATTATGTTTCACATACCAAAAATACACTGAGCCACAAAGACCAACTGAACCAGCCAAAGTGAAAAAAAGTGTTGAAAACAGGGCTGCAGGTGACGTCATAAAAAATCAGTTGGTCCATTACTGAATAATCAATAAGTTGGGAACCGAAAACCTGCAGATATTAATCTGGCAATAATGTTTCATTCAACAAATTAAAACTACTAGGATTATTGTTCTTTTATTAAAAACATAAAACCACCTCCTCTAAAAACACCCACACTACTGTATTATTTGTATTTTCTAAAAAAAAAAGAGTTTTTATCGCAGGCAAAGCAACAAAAACTCTATTTTTAAAGGGTGCAGAAACAATAAAATAACAGCACAAACATGGTAGCCCTGGATTAGCTGTTTTTCTGTATTTCTCCTCTAAGAATAAAGCAAAAATAAATTAAACAGCTTCTGTTTGGTCGATAACATCATGTAATGAAATATGATATTACAGATAACCAACAGTCCAGTCATTAACTGTGTCAGATATGGAGACCTAAAGCACATTGGCCTCCAAATTTTACATTCAACAGACCAACAGAAATGGTCCAAAATTACTTGGAAAAAATATTTCTGCATTTACTTCCTTTGAAACTTAAGAATGTTTTTCCTCGTCCTGTAAAGTGATCTTTTGATAGGCATGAAGTTTTGTTCCGACAGCAGCGATATATTTTTATCGGTTCACATTCAAATGCTGAAAATGAGAATTTTGAAGAGCTTTGGACGGGCGAGATGATGCACTAGAGCTGGTTTAAGGAGAGCCTGGCCATTTTCTATTTCCCTTCATTTCAAAAACATGACTGAAAAATGCCAGAGGGAGCCTCGAGTGAGTTCTCAATGAAAGGGGGATGAATGGAGCTAAAAGGCCAAACAGAAAAAAGTTAAAATATTTTCTAATCACTGGACCAGAACTTTCCTTTGATTTTAGAAATGTGAAGGATGTATGTTTCCTTTTTTCTACAGCAAATGGGTTTAGTGCAGCACAATGCTAGCATACTGAGTGCTGCATTACTGATACTGAGTGCTAATTGGTCTGCATTACTGATACTGAGTGCTAATTGGTCTGCATTACTGATACTGAGTGCTAATTGGTCTGCATTACTGATACTGAGTTCTGATTGGTTGGCATTACTGCTACTGAGTGCTGATTACTTGGCATTACTGATACTGAGTTCTGATTGGTTGGCATTACTGCTACTGAGTGCTGATTTGTTGGCATTACTGTTACTGAGTGCTAATTGGCTGGCATTACCGTTACTGAGTGCTGATTGGTTGGCATTACTGCTACTGAGTGCTGATTACTTGGCATTGCTGCTACTGAGTGCTGATTTGTTGGCATTACTGTTACTGAGTGCTGATTGGTCTGGCATTACTGCTACTGAGTGCTGATTACTTGGCATTACTGTTACTGAGTGCTGATTGGTTAGCATTACTGTTACTGAATGCTGATTGGTTAATATTACTGTTACTTAGTGCTGATTGGTTAGCGTTACTGTTACTGAGTGCTAATTGATCTGCATTACTGTTACTGAATTATGATTTGTTGGCATTACTGCTACTGAGTGCTGATTGATCTGCATTTCTGCTACTGAGTGCTGATTGGTTGGCATTACTGCTACTGAGTGCTGATCACTTGGCATTACTGTTACTGAATGCTGATTGGTTAATATTACTGCTACTTAGTGCTGATTGGTTAGCATTACTGTTACTGAGTGCTAATTGATCTGCATTACTGTTACTGAGTTATGATTGGTTGGCATTACTGCTACTGAGTGCTGATTACTTGGCATTACTGTTACTGAGTGCTGTTTGGTTAACATTACTGCTACTGAGTGCTGATTGGCTGGCATTACTGCTGCTGTTGGTTGGTCAGCGGAGCAGGTCATTGGCTGAGTGAAGTGGTTCTCGCTCAGCGATGTCATGAACTTACATGAGGCACCATTACAAACTCCTATAAGTTCAAAAGCACTTAAAAAACAACAGCAGTGTTACAATATTTTATTCTTTTCTGTGTTCAGAAAATTAATGCATGATTCTATATACAAATGTTTAAGGATTTACAAGCTATGACTTTGCTAAAGTACTCCATATTCACTCGTTCATTTTGGCATTTTGGTAACTCACTCAGGAGCGCCCTCTGGCGTTTGACAAACCCAGAAGACATTATGGAGTGGCAATCTTCCTCTCAACAAATTATGTAGTCACGTGATGTAGATGGGACATGCAAACATCATTAAGCCAACTAATCGATGACTTGATTTGTTGCCAACTATTTTTTATTATCAACGCTATTGATAATGTCGATTAGTTGTTGCAGCCCTACTTTAAAATACCCATATACCAAAAGACATCAAAGCAATAGAGAGGCTTTAGAGCAGTTCAGAGACCAGATGTCAGTTTAGAGAAGACTAGGTTTTACATTTTGACAATACATTGTTTGGATTTTAATGCAGAGTTGTATTTCTGTGTTAGGCAGAAAATCAACGACTGTCAAATGATTCCGTGGGATGTCGACACCATAACCAGCCATTCAGCCCATCTCATACACACCTATTGCAGACGATTTCCTCCTCTCCAGTGCTGTGCTTTGCTACACTGAATTTGACCTGGCACTGAGTTGGACCTGGCAAATAAATGGACAATACCTCCGTGCAAAATAAAGGACAGACTTTACCCAAATGCTGGTGGAAACTTCCAGAAGATAAGACATTCAACTCCCAAACATGCACCCATCACACACACACAACTATTTGTTTTTTCTCACTAGATATTTTGTCCATACACTTGACTTAAATGCATCGACTTTTGATACTTGGTGCTTTTTTTTTTAGAAGTCTAACTGGTCATTACTCAGATGTTGATTGTTGCAAGTACTGTAAGTGAAAATGTGGTACTGTATTAGTTTCCTTAGGAAACAACTAGGTATGGGTAATGAAAAATTAGGTCATGTTTTGTTTTGATCTCCTGTCTTTAAAAAAAAACATACATAAGAGAGCTATATTTTTATTGATTTTCTCTCCTCTTGGATTTATACTGAGTGCTAACACTGATATTCAGCAAGGCAGGCATTGAAATGTTTTCTTGAATTCTTAAAATCAATGGAAACTGAAACATAATATCTAATGTTGAAAGATACTGTTATGTGTCTTATGTGTGTAAGTTAAACAACTGATGAGTCGTGAAGTCTAGAAACAACCACACAAACAGCCCATAAAATGCAGGCTTTGTATTCTAAGTGTCAATTAGATTAATTTCCATTTTTATCTATTGGACGACGTTACACATCCATTAATTATAAAAATCATATAACAGTGTGGCTCAAAGTACAGCTGGTTTTCTGACACAGTGATCGAAATAAAGACCCAACAATGTGTTGATATATACAACCTGTAATGAGTCCAGGAGAATACCAGTACATAATGTTTAATGACACATCTCAGTTAATACACATTACCTGCATTACCCTTCCTCATTATCACTTCATCATCATCACTCAAGCCCAGTCTTTTTGCTGGGGGGTTGGACCCCTTTGGATAAACATGCACAGCTGTTGCATAGAAATCTCCTCTATGTTCTCATTCATGCAACGTATTAGTGGTTTTCTTCTACGTTCCTCGTGAGAAATGGTTTACTTGATCAGATGAAGCCAGTTACCCCGTCCGCTCCTTCTGTCCATGAGCTTGGGGTGGGCCGTACGTCCGTTAGCCACGTAAATCCCAGGGTGGCAACGCGTCTTCTTTTATCAACAGTTCATATGTCAAACAGAAAATATCAAATGTGTCAATGCGGTGAGGTCAAGCTCAGTGATGAAACAGGGCCTGCTGATGAAAAAAGTGCCTGGCTCAAATATTCTGTCTGTCCATCAGAGAAGAAGCTCCAACAGTGAGGAGTTCCATCAGAAACAATCTGGAGTTTTCAAACAGCAGTTCTGGAGGAGAACTGCAGGGAGGAGATGATGGCTTTTGGGGTGAAACTTGTGCTTTTTGTTGACGACCCTCGAGGAAGATCTTTCAGGAAAAATAAAGAGTTCAGCTGAGAAAAGTGCAGTCCAGCTACAAAGGATCTCTGAGGGGATTTTACAGGTTGGTCAGACATGACATGTAGAACAAACGGGGGGGATCTGCCAAAGGATTCTGGGTACAACCGACCCTTTTACAGTGTGCTGATCTAGGATCACCCCCGTCCCCCAACGAAACACAAAAAACCCAACCCAGGTCTGATTCAGACCCATGCAGAACAGGAGATTTGGGTATTTTCCATACCCACTGCATGTTCGGAGTGCACTTGGGTCAACACTCCAGTGCACTGCGAGAGAAGTGAACTGATGGATAAAACTAGGAGAATCCACAGGGGGCAGATGGCCTACATTAAAACCAATCTCTATGCTAAAGGTTTCTCTCATGTTCTGTCCATCTTTTTCTCTCCATCTCTCTTGCTCTTCTAGATAACCTTCTCCCACACATTCTCTCTTCTATCTCTATAACTGTAGCTCCTACTAGGACTGTCACAATCATGAAATTTTAGCTGACGATTAATTGGCATATAAATAATTGCAACTAAAGTGACCAAATTGGCCTAAAGTGACCAAACTGGCAGATTAGCTACCTGGCTTCTTAGATGTTGATATGTAGTAGCTTCCAGACAAAACAGCTCAAGCTCAAATAGACAAACATTACTCAGTGCTGCCCTCTAAAGGTGTTACAGCACCAGTCAGAAGTTAGAACACGTTTCATAAGATCCCATGACTTGTTCCAATAAATGCATTTTCTACACTTTTATTTATATCATCACTGTTGCTCCATTTTTGTCTTTTTAAATTTTGCACAAGTTACAATTTGCACTGTGTTAAACACACCAACAGAAATGCTCCAGAATTACAAGTTAAAGATGTTTTTTTCTTGTGTAATCTCGCAATGAAAATTCACGTCTGGGGACAACTTGATAAACATTGGGTGCGGGATTGTAGTGAAATCTGTCGCTAACAAGGGTGCGCCCCCTGTAAAACTTGCCCCCAAATTCCTCTAGTCCATGCTTTCTTAATGTCCATGACAGTCTATTTTAAGTCCACAACACAAGCAAAGCTAGCTGTGGCATGCGCCCATCGCCTGGGCCCCGATCACAGCCGCAAGAGCCGGCAGGAAGGCAGGGCCCGACCTCGGAGCCCAGACAAAACGCAGCGAAGACAGCAGGAAGAGGATGAAATCTGCGAGGGAGTGGGGCTTGGGTCTCGCGGTCGTCATCGGGGCCCAGGGGACGGGTGCATGCCCCACTAGCTTAGTAGCTAGATGCTATCGTTAGCTAAGCTGCTGCATGTAACGTGGTCTCCACACACGCAATTTAATTGGAGACTTTTGGGGGACTTGCTAGCCATGCTAACTTACATTACATCGATAAGCCAACCACAGATGTGTTGTCTTGTGGACAGTGTTGATACCCCATCCAATCTGAGCACTGGTTCAGAAATTTCACCTACTTTGTTCACCAATCTAATAAGTCAAAATTCAGCCAAACAGTTCTCACGTTTGTCCCCAGGTTTTGTTACGAGATCACATCCTGCAAGACTAGTATTTTCCTCAACCGAAATGATAAAAAACAGTTTAAATTCTGTTTGTTTGGCGTAAACATGATTGTGAAACCTAACAACAGCGGAAAACAATTGCAATCAGGTGATGATGTAATAACTGTGACAGTCCCAGCTCCTACATGCTCTCTCTTTTTTGCTCCGGAGCAGAAATGGGGATCTTCTTACTGAAACTTGAGAAGCTTCCCATACACGGGCTTAACATCTGAACGCAAGAAACACCCGACAACAGAAAAACCTGGAAGACAAGAAAAAAAAGGCCAAGTGGTGTCAAGAAATGAGGAAAACCCACAAAGCTTGACCTCACCAAGCATAGTGCATTACGAATAAACCTTTAGAAATGGCCCAGTTTCGACTCCATTCAAAAACAGCTGAGACTAATATCTGTTTTCAGTTGTCTCGTTCTTTCTCTCATAGTTGACAGCGATATGTTATGAGAGTGTCTACGTGTAGAAAACATAAACTCTGTGTTAGGTGACAGACCCTGGTGTGCGGTGTGGATACTTTTGTGTACTTTTTTCCTTCCTGCCCAAAACAAAAAGGTCCTTAGAGCTGTGAGTGCCTGTGTGTTTACACTGTGGGTCTACAAAGGCTACTTCAATGCATGTTTACCACTTAGAAGTCATAAACCACTTTAGCCAGTAATAATTTAAACGAGTACTACTTTTCAGCTCGTTACATTTCAGTTGATTAATAAAAATCATTTTTTTTTCATTCGTAATTCACCGCAACTCACAGAAGTGAGTCTGCTAACTAGTATATATACAAATATATATTTATATATATTATATATGTACACTTTTTAATAGCATGACAACTTCACCTCCGATTTGAATATCTACTAATCATTGTACAATCAAAGGATGAAGGTAAAGAGAGATCATGTCGAAGAGCAGCATCTTCCTACACAGCCTCATCTCGCTCGTTCTTTTAAAGTTCAGACAGATAACTGGATGTACTGTGATGGCCTAAGTGGTTGAGATTACACTAACTTGGTGTCTGTCATACATACTTAACATTTCGTATTTGGACTTTACGCCGTTTTGGATGACGTAAGTAGATCAGGGATTAAGTAATCTCAAATAGACTGGCTTAATAGTTTCTGACACTTACTGTTATCTGTTAACATGGACAGAATTCAGTCTTCAAGATGGCTTTTACGACTCCAGACACAAAACATGGCTTAACTACACTACGAAGTTCAGATGCTAACTGCTGGCTCTTGTGCCCTGCTGGTTTCTCTTGCCTTGTTAGCCTATTTGTGTGAACTATCTAAAGCTCAACCATGATGCTGTAACTAGGGCTGGCCCGAATCGCATGCTACGAACGAATACTTGTTTCAAAACCACCCTTAAAAACAACTGGCCTCATTCACCACCACTAAGAAGAAACTTCTTCTAAAGACCCACTTATGCAGTTTTCATGAAGATTCTGATATTCGGTGTTTTCTTATTTGGGATTTGTTCTTAGGTAAGAACAGAATCTGCATATTCAAGAGCACACAGGTGAGAACAGTTCTGCGGTTTAAGAACACGTCATGAATCTGACGTAGACTTTTCCCTTTTTCTTAGGGAAGGTATTGGTCAGTGAGGCCCATTAAAATTTACGCTTCATTATTAACCATCATTTTAAGCATGTTTGTTAGTGCAGTTCAAAATATATTCAGTAGGCGGCACTGATGTATTAATAGTGTTAATAGTGCAAGTGAACTGAAATCGGCCAACCACCTGCCTCCATAGGACATCATCCTCTTATCTCAACTTTTGCACTGGGTACTTTTCTTACTAATAATTTAAAGTGGTACCACTTAATTTGTTAATTTTTGTTTGTTTTGTCTTTTTTTCAGTGTATTAAGAATTTATAAACACAGACATCCAAGTCTTTTAATTGGCTACTGAGTGGTGCAACTGTCCATGCTCTGCGAATATGTCTATGTAAATTTCACGCACTCCAGCACATTTCTTCTTGTTTTTGCTCTCGCTCAGTGTGAAACAGTGTCTGCCATAATCTGTCTAGTGTATGCAAGCGGATTCGGGTCGAGTTTGGGCTCCAAATTTAGCAGTACCAGTCAGGCCTGGTCAGGCCAGGTCTCAAATCAAAGGTACAGGTCCGATTCGGTCGTCAAATTTAGCAGTAAAAGTAAGGCTTGGTCAGTTTGGGCCTTGAAACTGGAGATACTGGCCTCAAGGTCGCAGGTAAAGGTTGTGTTCAGGCTTTAGTTTCATGCCCATGCAGACCTCAACAGTGTAATCAGTTATCTAAGAACTTTAAGTTGAGCTAACTTTTTATTGACTGTGATTTTTCAGGCCTCTTTGCTTTTTTAGCTTCAATGGTGGAGTGAAAAGCGGCAGTTTGTTGCGCTCTGAGGTGCAGTGATAAGTATGCCTTAACTAAACTGGCTACAATTGATTTATTTAACATTTTCCATATATTAACCGCCACTGTTCTACCTAAAGGTCTTTGCTAATGAAATTTGCTGTAGTTCATTTGTGTGGCTTATAAAATAAAAAATGACCAAATACTAAATAGAGAAATACCAATGTAACGAATAACCACTTGAGTATTCAGGCTCTTCGGGCCAGCCCTGGTCATAATCTATTCATCTGGGCACCACGAGAGAAAGTGTGAGTGCATGAGTGTCTCTGTGATTGAGGACCCCACTGAGACAGGCATTCATTGTCCTTTCTGAGGACTGACTGAATTTTTGGTTCTCCCAAACGCACACAAATCACCATAATATAATACTGTAAATCATCTACTGCATACATTATATTGCTTCAGTTAAAGGCTTTCTAAATATCTGGGGGCATTTTGTCTTCATTCATCAGCTTCTTTCTCTGTCATTGTAGCAAAGCAGGACAACTCAACAGGTCTGCGTACAATGGGACTCTTTCAGACATCGTCCTTCCAGCCCGTGCTGTAGCTTTTCTCTTTGGGCCGCACACACATACGCAAACACGCAGTCTGTCACCAGCATCTCAACCCATCATCAGCCTCGTAAAACAAAGAAAAGCACGAGTCTCTCTTTCTTCTCTTCCTCTCTCTGTGGATGGATGAAAAGATGGATGGATAAATAAAGATCTGAAGAAGAGGGACGAGCCCAGCCAATCATTTGCTTTTTCCCGAGGTGCTGGAAGCCCTGGAACCCCGATCTCCTCTTTCTTCTCGTTCTCTTCCTCGTGCTCTTTCTCTTTCTCTGTCTCCTCCCTCTCTCTCTGCTCTCTCTCCCCTCTCTCTTTCTCTTTCTCTTTGTCCCCTCTCTCCTCTCTCTCTTTCGCCTCTCTCGCCCCTCTCTCTCTCGCCCCTCTCTCTTTCCCGTCTCTCGGCTCGCTCTCTCTCCGACGTGTCCCTCTTTTCCGAGCTTTTCTCCGACGCCTCTCCTTTGTCCGACCGCTCCGAGCGCTCCGACTTCTCTGACTTCTCGCTCTTCTCCGACGGCTCCGCACCCTCTGAGCGCTCCTTGCGTTCTGATTTGTCGGGGTCGGTGGAGGAGGTGGTTGGTTTCTCCCACTTTGCGATTTCCTCGATCTCACTCAGGCTGGCGTTGATGCTGTTGACCCAGCGCTTAAGATCCTCCTGAAACAAAAAACCAACAAAATTTTAATTTAAAATTTTAATTTAACTCAAATCAACAGATTTCAGTGAAAGTTGTTAAAGTTTCAAAAATAAAAGAAAATATATGTGTGTGTGTGTGTGTGTGGTGTGTGTGTGTGTGTGTGTGTGTGTGTGTGTGTGTGTGCATCTATGTGTGGAAACTACATATATGGAAAGTATATGGTCTATTTATAGTAACTAAGCTGGAAAAACAGCTCATTTTGAATGAACTCTTTCTGTGATGTCACAAGAACTCATTTATATACACCCACCTACTCCAGGTTAGCACTGCCTATTTATACTGAAGTACTAAGAAGTGTTTCAGTGATCTTTAAGTGCTTTTTGACTGAGGCACAATAAAGGACAACCAATCAGAACAGAGCTCATTTACATAACAAAGAAGCCTGTTTAATTCTAAGGGTAAAGAGTGGCTGGAAAATGGTCATATAAAAAAGAATTATAACTCATTTTAGTATATAAAAGCACACAAATGCCAAATTCCATGAGGGGCCTCAAGAAAAAAAAATTACTTTTGAGTACAGCTGTATAATTTAATTTAATGTCTTTCTTACCTTTTTAGTTCACGTTTCTGGTCATATTAAACACAATTCATCATATCATATATCATGTAAGTGACAAAACCTTGTTTCCTGTAATCTTCCATCCAAATATACTGCCTTTTCCCTCTAAAACATTTTCTGAGTTTTGATAGTCACTGCGCAGAGTCTCAGGGCCTTGTTAATGCAACAAGCTGAGACCAGCTGGTACTGCAGTGTTAATGACTGTAATATTTTCCAAACTCCAGCAGTGTCTGAGAGTTGAAGGGGTGAGATTATGAGATGCACGGATGAGACAAGATTTTATGAAGCTGGGGTTGGCTTCTTATTCTGCTTTCCCATTCCACCTTAAATGGTGCGGCTGTTACATTAACTGCTGCTCCACTTAAGGTAGAACACCAGATTCAAACACAATTCATACACTTTTCTCATATTTTCATTCTAAGACCAAGCTGACGAACAAAGATCATTTTTTCGTGTCTTTTTTTGCTCATATTTACAGACGATGTCACTGTGCATTAAACACACTGTGCATTAAACACACTGTGCATTAAACAAACTGTGCATTAAATGCACTGATGGTCACAGGAAAATATAACCTTTCAATTTAGGACAGAATGCCTTAAAATGGAAATGTCATATTACATAAACTCACAGCGTTCTTTCTCCTGTGACTGGCACTTCACTTCACTTCACAGGCACTCGAATAAAAGTTTTTTTTTTTTTTTACAGGAGCTTAGAAGTTTGAATAGATATTGTAATAAACTGTAGTTTTTTTCTGCTGAGATTCAGATGCAGCATCGTTAATAAGCTCATTAATGTAACACTGGCTGGTCCAATGCACTGGAGTTTATTACTGCTGATGAAAAAACTCACCTCATCTTTTGCCAAGAAGATATAGTCCCCTTCAGTTTCGGTCCTGTGGTGGGTCAAACGGAGAGCAACATGTTAAAAATCCACCTAGACATTTTCCCATAATTTACACTTTTGAGTTTTTTTTTACCAATTTCTGAAGCAGTAGCTAACATCAGTTACAGTCGTTACAGGGTCATCAGGTTTTTGGATCGTCCGAATAGTCATATTTTTATTACCTCATAGCTGCATCTGGTAAGATATACAGACAATGGTTCTGTATAGAACCATGAACACTCAAAGAACCATCTGCAAATGTAAATGGTTCTTTGCATGGTGAAATGGTTCTTCAGACTGATGGAGAATGTGTTGTTTATGGTTCTATATAAAGCCTTTTTGAAAATGCTTCAATATAGCATCAAAAAGGGTTATATTATTATGACAATGTTAAGCTTGTGACAACAGAAGAACCCTTTTTGGTGCTATATAGAACCACAGACAACACACTCTCCATCAATCTAAAGAACTTTTTCACCATTTAAATAAAACATGATCCGGGGGATGGTAGTGTACAAATAATTATCTGAAATGTGTCACTATTTAAATCTTAATTATGAGACTGCTGCCTGTTTTTGGCAAACTCTTTAAAAAAGATGGTTCTTCAAGGGTTCTTTAATTAAGAAAGTTGTTCTATATGGAACCATGAACACTCAAAGAATCCTTTGCATGATTAAAGGGTTCTTTGCATTGAGAAAGGGTTCTTTAGATTGATAGAGAATGTGTTATAGATGGTTCTATATATAGCACCTTTCTGAAAAGGGTTCTACATAGCACGGAAAAGGTTTCCACTTTTGTTACAAGCCAAAGAACCCTTTTTTTGGTACTATATAGAACCTTTTTTGCTAAGAGTGTATAGTAAAGTGCTTGAATATCAAGCCAAATCTCCACTCTTAAAAAAGATGGTTCTTCAAGAGTTTTTTTAGTAAAGAAAATGGTTCCATATAGAACCATGACCACTCAAAGAAACCTCTGCATGATTGAAGGGTTCTTTGCATCGTGAAAAGCTTCTTTACAATGATACGAAATGTGCTGTAGATGGTTCTATATAGAATCTTTTTGAGGGTTCTATATAGCACCAAAATGGGTTCCAGTATTGTTACAAGCCAAAGAACCCATACTATATAGAACCCTTTCTGCTGAGTGTAGGCTGTAGTTGTACCTGAGGATGAAGACGTTCTTCTTCTTCTTGTAACCGTTGGTGGTGTCGAAGGTGCAGATGGCTAGATTGAGGAGCGGCTCGTCGTTGTAAGGGGTTGTCGTGTTCCTCGCATCCTTGTAGAAGCCGATCTCTCCTTTGTTGAGTACGCAGAACAGGTTCACCCATGACTTACTGAAAATGGGAAAAAGAGAGAATCACAATGTAGGAGCTGTCGAAAAAAGGACATAGGCCTATTAGTATTACTATTACTTACTACTATTACTACTATAGCATACTGCTGAGAATGACTTTCTCAGCAGTATGACAGTATGACAGTATGTTACACACATTCTCCCACATCACCGGTGTCACGTTCTCCTCAGAAGCACAGAACAGTTCTGGAGAAATTCTAATTCACCACTTGTGTACCTCAAACTTGTGCTGATTGGTGGTCATAAGTTTCCATTGCTTCCACTGCTCTAGTGCACAATTATAGAAGGAAAATTTAGACACCAAACCTTTGCTGGTGGGCTACATTTGATTTTACCCTTTTTTTACCTTTAGCAAAGAAAGAAGCTCAACAGCAGAATCAGGTGATGGACCAAGATAAGTGACATCATCCTGTAAGCTAAACATGTCAAACTGAGGACGCTCTGGGCCAAAGTGCTGCAGAGATCAGCATGTACACTCCTCTAGCACTGAATTCAGCTCACGAAGCTGAATCAGGTGTGTTTAATGAGGCAGTGAGCTGAAGCCTGCAGTGGTTTGGCCCGCAAGGACTGGAGCCTGACATGTGTGCTGTAAGCTAATGATAGTAGTTCAGTTAGTTAAGCTAATGATGATATTTCACAGTCACAATCTTCTTCAATAGCCCCAGGACTAGCCATGGTCAATTCAATAGCCACAGTCTACAAAGCAGCCTCTGTAGTGTTTATTTCATTTGTATGTGGTATTGAATAAATGGTATTTGATTTTCAAGCAGCTGTAAACAAAAATCAGGATTCAGGTGAAACTCTGTGACTGAACCACTAATGCTAAATTGATGAAGGCAAAATGTTCTACAAACAGGAGCTGAACTGTATTGTGTTGTCTCACTGGGCTAGATGTGAACATCTGGGGGCAATCACAAAAAAATTCAGGTGGGAATGCAGACCTATCACATTGTGAAAAAACTGAGTGTTATGTTTGATTAGATGATTAATTTAGCTAAAGCTCTTTGAAAACTTAGACACTAGTATCTAGAAACAGTTCAAAAACCGCTGCCTCAAAATAAAGTCATTATGACTTAGAGCTGTTTCTGAATGAAAACTGAGTCTGCTTTGTTTAGGTGAGGTTGGCCTCTTCAGCACACAGATCTCCATCAGTTTGAACAAGGTTTGGATTTGGCTTTAGTACAATTAACTATCATTAACATATTATAATGTATTTCATGTATAGTATGATCATCATGTAGCCCCCCCAAGCCATCTTAACTGTGACAGGTCACTCCTGACCTGCTGTCTGACGCGGATAGTCATCAAGTCAATGACCCTTATATCTGCATGTTAGTGGGACTGTGTTTTTGTGTATTTGATTTGGACTAAAGCTGTTTGTTTTATTTGGAGTCTCTTGGTTTTGAGAAAGTTAAAGGGAAAATCCACCATTTTTTAAAAAAAAAAAAATCACTATAATTAAATGGATAAGATGTGAACAGAGTCATTCAGAGTGGTTTGATGGGAAATTTTCTGTTAGAAACTTACCAAGTCAGACTTATTCACAGTGGTGGTGATAGGAAGCAGATGTCCAAAAAGCTCCCTTACGGAAAGTTATTACATGGAATTGTTATTAATACGCTGTCTGATGTCTGAGAAAGTTTTAATGTAGGGGAGCAACCTAACACTGGGCACAATTTAACATGGACTTTGCATGTTGTTATACAAGGTCAAGCAGCATGAGCTTCTGGACACATTACCACACTTACCAGCCGGTCTCCCACCAAAATTCAGACCGGTTTGTCAGTATTTTAAAGAGGTCTGTGCCAAAGAGTGTTTTCAGGGCATGTAAGTCATTTTTTTCAATGCAAGGTTTTTTTTCGGTTACTGAGCTGTTTGTGTAAATCACAAAATACAATCTTACATTACTTTAATCACCATCCTGTTGGCTACAATACAATGTTTTGAAGCAGTGACAAGCTTACAGCAAGTGCTAGCTGGGCTTAAGTACAGCCTCCATACTGCAGGGTTAGTTGTTACACAGTGTTACGATTAAGCCACCTTTAGTAAACAAAGACAAGGGAAACGTTTTCTTTTTTGTTCCAGATGTTCACACAGATTTTAAGACAAAAAAAGAGAAAACATCTGCAAACAGGAATTTTCTTCACTTCATTAGTATCTTTCAGATGTTAATATGTTTGTTTTAATCAGTATATTAATGAACATTAATATACTGATTAATGAGTCAGTATATTAATGACATTAACAGCTGGTAAAGCTGTAGTTATTCAGAAAATTCAGAAATTTTACTGATGTGTAATGTTTTTAATTTGCTGTCCTTCACTGCACAAAAAATAGATGTGTTACTGTTTGACACACAGTCTCATGTCAGTTTTCATATATAATTTGATATGTGTGTGTATATAAACTGAGTTATCTGTCTGTCTGTCTTACAGATAGATAATATATAATGCAGCATGGTTTGAAAATACATGTGTTTCTTATAACATAGAATTCTACTGAATTAACTTTGTTTGTACTAATTCATCAGACTTTTCTAGCAAGTGTTAAACTGATCTTACTGTGAACCCACCTGTGGGGTAAACTGTAACATTGTGCTTCCCATCATTTTCGGTGGAACTGTACATGAGCAGTAGGTGCCAGAAACAAAGTTCAAGTGTCAGTTTGTAGCAGGGACGTATATATGTTGCTTGTATACAAACATGATTATTCCAGCTTAAATATTTTTTAAATTTTTTAATAAAAACCCAAATGTGTTTGTGCCCTGTTCTTCCCTATGCATAGTGGAAAGGTAAATGAAGGGCATTGTAAGGCAAAACAGCACACATATAAAAATATTTTTTTAAAAAGTACTCTATTTTATCATTATCAACATTACATATGAAAACTCAGGTCCTTTTGGACAGTAAATAAAATATTTGTGATATGATGTCTGCTTCCTATCACCACCACTGTAAATAAATCCAAGCTTCACTACAATGAACCATTTCACAGCAAACCTTCCCATTTAACCCAGTTTAACTGGGGAAATAAGCAGTAAACCGGAATGTTAGAGCTCCCTTAGTTAACATTAGACGAACAGCAGTTAAATATCGTGGCTGTTTTATTTTAACATATGAAGAAGTCTAATTATTATCCAATCAGCTTTCAGCGCGCTTTCACGTCTGCGCATGCGTCCTGCTCGGAAATAACTGAACGTAAGCCAGGCTCTCATATAGCTGCCTGAGGGCGCTGCCAGTGCTAATGCAACGCCACCGAGCGGACGGAGTGGAGAGACCACCACAAGGACCTAGTGTGCGTTTGGGCGGCCAAGTCAGTAGGAAAGTTTAGATAAAGATTTATTACAGGAATTGAGATGTAAAACGCTGCGACAGACACCCACCAAAGGAAAAAAGCGCTTCATGCTTAAAACGCCGGTTTGTTTGGCGGTTGAGACTCCGCCGTGGAGACGGGCTGGAGTTCAGCTTGTGAGAAATGTAAGTAGCTACAGCTTTTTTAGTGAGTTAAATTGGCTGTGAAAGTGCTGAAAGTCCGTTTAATGTTTTATATCGGGCCGTTAGCCGAGTTTGTATAGACTTGCCTGGAACTGGAACTTATTGAGCTTCTTATTCGAATTTTCCGTTCCACCTTAAAAGGCTTAACGTTACACAGTCTGCTGCACCATTTAAGGTGGAACGGAAAATTCAACTAAGAAGCTAACTTCGTAGCTAGCGTGGTTTATTGCGCAGATACGTTGTTTTTACATTTGAAAGCGAAAAAGAAAGGTGTGTCTTTTTAAAATGTAGACCCGGTGTTTTATTTCTGTGAACTGCTCCGACTGTTGGGAGAATTAAGGGACCGTCTACAAATTATCTTACCATCATACGTTGATTTTTTTTTTTTTTATATAGGTAGCTAACTTAAACGTACAGCTACTGTCTACCTACATCCATTGGCCATTTTATCTGCTTCACTGTACAGATGCACATAGTATGTTTACAGTTAGTTGCTGTAGCTTTCTGAAGCCGTCAAGCTGCATCAGAATCAGTTATTTCAAACGGTGCGCATTAGTGACTCTTTCTTCCAGGAGTAAAGGTAATGAGTAACTAACATGCAGTTCAGGTTGCAAAGAAATGCATCAGCTTCAAGGCAACTTGAGTAATAATGTACAGCTGGTGTTCATAGCAAATCTCCTAATTAACCATATACATAATCTTATTCACATATAACCTAGCTGTAGTCCTTTAACTGTTCTTCCATAGGCCGTGTGGCATCTTATACATGCAGTCTAAATCAAGGCACTAGTATGTGGTATTGTCTCAAAGCTGAGTCAGTGGACGTGTCTGCATCATGATTGCAGATTTCTTAATATAATATGAACCATGCATTGTAGTTCCTCAAAATAAAGCACGGGGTTTGTTTTTGTTTTTTAAACAAATACTCCAGAGTATCAGGAGGAAACATCACTACAATCCCCTGTTGTGTGTAATTTTTCAGCCATCCAAGGGACCATCCGAGGACCACCACAGCCCAAATAATATCTGGTCAGTAGCCACATTTACATGCAGCCTGATAATCTGGCTGCACTGATGGCTCAATCAGACTAGACTACGTCCATGTAAACACCTTAATTGGAACAGACCAGTCCGATTGAGGCCATTCGGAATACAGTGTCTGTCTGACTGAGCAAGATGGGTAATCCTGTAAATAATCCTAAACCTAGCTAGTGTCGCAGAATACTTCTTTTTACTTTATTGATATGGCTTAAGGCAACACTCTGTTTTGCCTTCTGTTTCTGCCATGATATAGCAGCATTTAAACACCTAACGCTTTCCTAACGATGACTAAAACACACCCAGTCCAGGCTGCAACAAAACAAGAGCTGTTAAAAATGAACAATCTCCAGTCTCACAGCGATATGTGAAACAGAATACATTCATGGCCAGAGCATGGATAGGTCGGGTAGATTGGTCATGGATTCAGGTGACAGTTAGCAGCACTTGTTAGAGTGAAGCTTTGACATTCATTCATGAGTGGTGGTTTTAAAATCCATAAAACTGACTTAAACATGGAGCAAACGTGTGAATAGCTACATCATTATGTCATCCCACCGAATGGTTCTGTGGCCATGGCATGGGTAGTTAACCTTATCTAGAAAACAGCACTGAGCCCAGTTTGCATGCCTTCTGTTTTGAGTCATGTCCAAGTGAAGCGAGGCCCAGGACTCCTTTGAGTAGGAATCTATCTTCTTTAAATGTTTTAGTATTGTTAAATGCAGGGCTGTCTGATGATACCTGTCTGCAGAGCCACAGTCCAGCACTTCAGCACTTCACTCCAGCAGGTTCAAGCCAGTGCCATTCAGCGCATGCGCCAAGACTTGTTTTGATTTTTCTTAGCAAGTTTTAGGCTAATCAACATTTCGGTCGGTTTATGTGGGTTTCCAATAAATATGTGATAAATGTGTGTTGGGCTAACGTTATATTTTAAGCTTTCGGTTGAAAGAAACTTCACTTTAAGCAGCTTAAACTGAGCATAATATTAAGCTTTAGGATAAAACAAACTTTGGCGTTTGAACGTATCCCTCAAAACTCATAGAAACCATTAAGTGTTTCTTTTGGTTTCTGATGTTTCTGCTTATGGTTTAACCGGTTAGCAATGGTTGATTCGTATATTTGAAACGATATCCCTTCCTGAATGGTAATATGCATAGCGACACAACAACCAGCACGAACAGTCGCTGTTTACATCAGGGACGTTATAAATGAGGAGACCGGCCACTGGTCGAAATACGAATACTTTCCTGTAAGGACTTGTTTACATGGAAAAACCCCTGGAGTGAAACTGTGGGTGTAAATCTGCGGCTCTTCAGCTCTAAAAAGGGTTAAAATGCCCATATATACTACTTACTCCTTTATTTATTTGCTTTTATTGCCTTTTGTAATTTCTCTTGAACCTTCTTCTCGTTCCTTTGCTTTTTGTGTTAATCTCGTTTGCATTTTGTTTGTCTTTCTTGGGTGATATGTGGGGGCTGTGGATAGTAATTCTCTTGTCATGTAACGACCTCCAATAGTTAGCCTATGTTACATCTGGTTATCTATAGCTCCCCAATCCAGCAGTAGCATTGTTGTAGAGATATGAGTCATCCTGGCTCCTAGATGGGGGGAGACTGTAAATTGCTGGGTGGGCCTGAACACCTCTATTTTAATTACACAGGTAGAGGCAGTCTAAAAAAATCAACATTTTGCCAGCAGAAGTCTACACTCCCTACTACTGCTTTACTTTTGTAAAGAAATTGTATTGTACTGTCCAAACAACAATGTGATGCCAAATTTTACATTGAGTTTCTAATTTTGCTTTTTTTTTTCCCTCCTCCAGAAGTAAATGACACCGTCTTATCTGTATGTCCAGCTCAAATTTAGCTGTACAAACTCATCAGAAGGCGAACATCTGACAGCTGAAATAAGGAAAGATCGATTTGTCTTTTGGTACTTTCCTCACTTCTTGGACACAAACGAATTAAAACATGGGGAAGAAGAAAACTCACGACTGCTCTGAGTGTGGAAAGAGCTTTGCTCAGAGGAGGTACCTCCAACAACACGAGCGCATTCACACTGGAGAGAAGCCGTATGACTGCTCAGAGTGCGGGAAAAGCTTTAGAGACAAAGGGGCTCTTAAAGTACACCAGCGCATTCACACAGGAGAGAAGCCGTATGAGTGCTCGAAGTGTGGGAATCATTTTAATACACGTAGTGGTCTCCGAATGCACCAGTACCTTCACACAGGAAAGAAGCCGCACGACTGCTGGCAGTGCGAAAAGAGTTTTGCGTCTAAAGAAAGACTCCAAGTACACCTGCGCACTCACACTGGAGAGAAGCCGTACGAGTGCTCGGAGTGCGGGAAGGGTTTTGTTCAGCAATATGGTCTAAATAATCACCAGCGCATTCACACAGGAGAAAAGCCGTATGACTGCTCAGAGTGTGGGAAGAGCTTTAGCGACAAACGCGGTCTCAAACTACACCGGCGCATTCACACAGGAGAAAAGCCGTACGAGTGCTCAGAGTGTGGGAAGAGCTTTAGCGACAGAGGCGTTCTGAAAATACACCAGCGCGTTCACACTGGAGAAAAGCCGTACGAGTGCTCGGAGTGTGGGAAGAGCTTCGCTCAACAGAGTGGTCTAAAAACACACCAGCGCATTCACACAGGAGTGAAGCCGTATTATTGCTCACAGTGCGGGAAGTGTTTTACTTTCCGCAGGAGTCTCCAGATACACCAGGTCATTCACACAGGGAGAGAAACCGTTCGACTGCTCACAGTGTGGGAAGAGTTTTGCTCGTCAGGGTGAACTCCGGTTACACCAGCGCACTCACACGAACGAGAAGCCGTACAACTGCTCACAGTGCGGGAAGAGTTTTGCTTATAAGAGCGCACACACTCTCCACCAGCGCGTTCACACCGGACAGAAACCGTATTTCTGCTCAGAGTGTGGGAAGAGTTTTAGTCAGCGAGTTCATCTTACGGTACACCAGCGCATTCACACCGGAGAAAAGCCGTATTCGTGCTCACAGTGTGGGAAGACATTCGCTCATAAGCCTTCTCTCAAACACCACCAGCGTACTTGCACAGGAGAAAAGACACATTCTTGCTTACAGTGCGGGCAGAGTTTTACACAAGAGAGCCAGCTTCGATCGCACCAGCGCACTCACGCTAGAGAGGCCCGGCACGGATGCTCAGAATGTGGGAAAACTTTCGCATTTAAGAACTACCTTAAACTGCACATGAAAATTCACACAGGACAGAGGTATGAGTGCTCCGAGTGTGGGAAAAGTTTTACTGAAAAGAAGAGTGTCAAAATACACCAGCGCATTCACACAGGAGAGAAGCCGTACAAATGCTCGCAGTGCGAGGCGAGTTTTACTCACATAGGTTCTCTTAAAAGTCACCTGCGCACTCACACAGGAGAGAAACCGTATTCCTGCTCAGAGTGTGGGAAGGGCTTTGCTCAACAAAGTAGTCTCAGACAACACGAGCGCGTTCACACCGGAGAGAAGCCGTATCAGTGCTCACAGTGCGGGAAGAGTTTTTCTCAGCGGGGTAGTCTCCAAGTACATCAGCGCATTCACACCGGACTGAAGCCTTACGAGTGCTCACAGTGTGGAAAGTGTTTTACTCAACAGAGTGCTCTCACTGTACACCAGCTCTCTCACAATAAGGTGTAATCACTTGTTTTTTGAGACTGTGGGGATGAATGGAATAGCAGAGGCCTTTGCTTGGACCTGGTGGTGCTGACGTGATGGTATGTTTGTTATAGCCTATTTGTTTTGTTATTCACTTTGTGTTTTTATGCATCATGGTCACAGTGTTCCAAACTGCTCGATACTGACATAAAACATCATGTTCCGTAAAGCTCTGTCTCTGGCTGGACGTAATGCACGTGCAGACATTTTTGGGTTGTGTGAACAGAAATCGAACTAACCCTGTCTTTAAACCCCATCTTTAAACAAAAAGCATAATACAAAATTACAAAATCACTATTTACCGTTCTGCAAAATAAAACGAAAAGAATAACAGCTATTTACATCAGAACTACAAGCACATTTTTGTGCACGAGAGCAACTGGGCTACTGAATTTCCATTAGAGTTGAGTTATGGCAACATTTTAACGTCTCGAGTGTGTTTTGTAATTGCTGTTTGGTCGAATGGTTAAGTTTCTATGCCTCCTGCATGGAAGAGCAGGTTCAGTCCCGGCGGTGCTTGCTGTCCTGGCGCTTTAGGAAAAACATCATTGTGCTACCCTGCTGGATTTACAACATCACAACCAGGAAGTGACAACATACGAAAGCCAATGTTCCACCCATAAATACAAAATTAAATACTGATGCAGTAGCGTACTCGCAATTTTCGGACACATTTTGACACACCTGTTAAAGAGGCTACTTGTTTAACATCTAAGCAACAACAAGCTTCAGTTCTGCAAGATTTGGGATGCATGATTCAATATACAACTAACTCCATACAGGTCTCTGCATAATCACTTAAATACATGAGTGCAAACAGTCATTAATACCAAAGCTGCAGCTGTATGTAGCACATCCTACGCCTCTCCTTGTGTTTTTGTTTGTAGGTTAATAATCTAGTTAACAATGATAATAACAATTAAAATAAGTTCTGATAAGTTCTGAACTATAATAATAATAACTTCTGAACTTTTATAATGTAAGCACAGTGAAGATTTGTGTGCTTGTATTTTTAAATTTTATTTGCTTTTTTCAAAACCTGCAGTAGCCATGCACTGTTTAAGTTAATGATATATTTTCATTACAGCGTGACCAGTTGCTTTCATTACTAACTGTTGGCCGTTTTAGGGGCGGGTCGCAGAAACTCAAGCAGCTTGAGGTGCAGAAAGATAAATTGCGTGCAGAGCCCCAAATAAGCCTAATAATGTTTTTTAAACTTCAAAAATCTTCTAATGTATAACGATGTTTTTATTAATATTTTGATTGATTTTATTGATTGACAAACAAAGCTGCAGTGCAGTGTGAAGTTCTGAATACATGCCCTTGTGGACCTAGTTACAATTACTAAGCTACAACTGGTCAGTCAGTTTTGGTGGTCAGCAGGAAAAAAAAAGTTCAGTGAAGTGGTCCTGATTTTTGTTACTTCATTTAACAGATGTATTCACATGCATAATGATTTAAATTGAACAATTTAAAGGATTTTTTAGGTTTGTTTTGTAAGCATGTAAAATGAAACGTCCTACTTTGTCCTTCTTCTCTTACAGTATAGAACACTGCACTTTTATCTTAAACAAAAAAAAAGAGCCCATCCAGTACCGCTGTAAAGTCATGCGCGTAAGTAGTATAGATTAGGAAACAAGACCATCTTGTTAACTAAATATGTTGTGCTGCATGTAGGTGATTGGAACTGGCCCATTCCCATGTGGTGCAGAAGTTTGTATAGTGTGTCTGGGGTGTGGTGAGGTGGAACGGGGGGCAAGGGAAGGACAGACGCATCCATCTTGCCACACATTGGAGAAATGGATGTGCCGTCTAAGCTGAGTTCATTAGAGCTCAAGCCTTGGGTAGAGCTGTGAAGAGCGTTTACCTTTCCCCAAACAGGACAGTCAGTATTTAGTCTTTTTATGACATTGTGTGTATTTCATGATCTTTTCTCTTTTTTGATATTTACTCTGTTTCTATGTGCTTTATTAATTTTGTTAAGTTTATGTGAAATGTGTATTAGATGCTTTTCAGAAAATCTAAAAAGTGTATTTAAACAATGTGTTTTGGTTATTTTCATCCAATGCAAGAGTTCTTTCTAAAGTACTGCTGTAAGGTTTGTTTTGAAGAGGTCATTAAGATAGTGCTCCTAACGTTTATGTTTCATTTATTAATTAATGTGTTCACATGGATAATGGTTTAAAGCAGGCGTGGGAAACTCCAGTCATGGAGGCTTATCAGGTTTTGTTGAATGTCTTTTTATGACATTGTGACATTTCATTTTTCTCTTATCCGATATTTACTCTTTATGTACTTTTTTTACTTTTGTCAAGACTTATGGTTTTTGAGAAGTTTTTCAATAAATCTAAAAAAAAATGCATTGTGTAGTTTGGGACTTTTTTTGGATCACATGCTCGAATTCAAGTACTGCTGAGGATGAGAGCCGTGGATTGTTTTAAGAAACCTTTCTCAAACTTTTACTGTGTTTTCCATCCCTTGAGCCAATTGCTCTACAACTGTCTTTCTCAAATGATCATGGATTGGGTAAAGCACAGGTCCCCAGACATTTCACTCTTGTCCACTTTTCCCTTCCCTCCTGCAACCTTTTCACAGAGATTCAATTGTTTGTTTATTGCACAAGTGATCACCGCATCTGTGTGGTCTTGACAGAACGTCCACATTGGCATGATCTTGTGACTTCTGACACAGTCATAATTACTGTTTAAGGGCTGCATATGTAAAAGACACCAAGCCCAAAAGTTACTGGCAAACGTATCTCATTAATGTCCTGATTTTTAGCAGAGGAGTCGAGTCAAGCGTGTTTCGACTAAAGAAACCATTGTGCTAGACTGCAGCCCTCCAGGACTGGACTTGACTACCCCTAATATAAAGATACCTCATCTTTAGTTGGCATAAGTTAGTACCTGTTGGGGCTCCTCTCCTTGCCCTCTTCCTCATGCTTGCGGTACAAGAAGCCCTCATGGCGGACAGTGTGTGTTGGAGGCTGTGGGGTGGTCGGGATGCTCTGTGCAGGGGCAGATCGAGATCGGCGGGTCTCCTCAGGCTCTTTGGGACGTGGCCTTCGCCGGGGCTTGGGCCTATCACGAGCTCGAGGGCGATCAAGACGCGTGACAGGGGCCGAAAGACTGCTGGGTGGCCGATAGACCTCCCCTCTCGCCTGAGAGAGAGAGAGAGAGAGAGAGCAAAACAGAAAAAAAGCATTTTTTCAGTTCATTAATTATATTCTTTTTTTTAGTATGTATGCATCTGCTTGCTTTTTTTTTATTTATTTATTTTTTAATCAAATTAGCAAATGTTTGGACCATGTAACTAGTAAGTGAACTTTTCAGTGGTCTCTAGTTAGCAGATAAAGCCACGGTACCTTCTTTTCTGAGATAGACCACAAATTTGACTATATTTCTAACCCTTTATATTTCTCTGTAATGCTAATCCAGGTGGATCTAGTTGCGATTTCTACATTTTCTGAATGGTTTTGTATTGTCATTGGTTCCTATATCGGTTCATCCCTAGCAATGATTAATGTGTTGCCGTGTTATAACCCAAATGAAATCTGCTAGTGAGCCACACCTTTACTTGATCTTCCCATTTATACAATAAATGAAGCAGTAGTACTCACATGGCACGCTTCTCTCTCCTGTACCTGTTCCACTATCTCAGCCATGGTGGAGCGTTTCTCCCTACAATGGCAAGACAGATGCAAAGATACAAAATCATCCTACAATCATAGTCAAGGACACATGCACACTCTCGTAATCATCTTTCACTTTTAGTTTCTTCTGTACAACAGCTTTACTAAAATATGGACTGTTCCTTTTTTCATAACCGCAGTTCTATAAAAGATAAATGAAGCATCCATTTAAGGGATGCATCACTTCTGTTAGTGATGGCCATAAATTAATGTTTGTCCTGTACCTGGCTCAGCATTGAGAACTAGCCCTGTTCACGGAAATGTTCAATTTGCAGGACATTACAGTGATGTTAAAAGAAAAAAACTTTTGGCATCATAGCTTTTTAATAGACTGCATGGTTTGACCACATATTCGTATGCAAAGTCATACACTATTTCTCACCCTGATTGCCTCTTGTCTGACCCTTCTTTCCCAGACTCCTGGTCACTGGAGTCCTGCCTCTGCAGTCTGTGTTTTCCGCTTCCCTCCTGCTCGCTGGACGACTGACGCTCCAGTCGCCGGCGGTAACGTTCCTGCCGCACAATCAGCGGCAGCTCGTTCAGCCTGGCCTGGATCTCCTGCTCGCTGGACGTCTGCCGTCCCAGCCGGTACTCCCTCTCCCGGCGCAGGTGGTCCATCTGGGGGTCTGAGCGGCTGCCTCGTGGATCCCTCTGCAACCGGCTGTGGATCATCTCCAGGGAAGGGTCCATGCCTACTGGGGTCCCAGGGACATCTGCTGCTCCACCAATAAGATGGCCACGGTGGGCCTCCAATAGAGGTGGGACAGCCTTGTGGATGTGGTTGATTTTGGGCTGGAGGAAGTCAGCCTTCAGATGCTGCCAAGCATACGCCAGTTTAGGTTCGGTCACCCCCATGGCACCGAGATGGTTCAGGCTGTGATAGCTAGAGCCATCAGCTCCCATGACACCCTGTTGATTTAGCCCGGTGTAGCTAGAGCTGTCCACCCCTAAAACACCCTGTTGATTTAATCCAGTGTAACTGGAGCTGTTCGCCCCCAGAACACCAACTTGTTGGTTTAGTCCATGGTAGCTGGGGCTGTCTAGCCCTAGCACACCCTGTTGGCTTAGTCCATGGTAGGAAGAGCCATTCATGACCGGTGTGTATGGATTAAGTGCAGATCCGAGCCTGTGGGTGAGTGGGTGTGTGGCTGTGTGCGCCACAGTATGTACAAGGTCTTGAGGACTGGGCTTGGGCTCGAGCAGTGTGTCCTGGAGAGGGTTCCGGAAGAGAGAGGAGGAAGAGGAGGACGAAGAAGAGCTGGGCACAAGGCAGGAGAGAGGGAACATCTGTCTGTTGAGAAGAGACGAGGTGGAAGGCTGCTTAGTCTGCTCCTCCTTCAGTTTCTCCGCCTGAGCAAAACATGGCATGAAGAAGAGGTGGTGTTAGGATATGCAGAGGGGATGGATTTGTTGAAGGACTGGATATAAATGCAAGGTATAAATGCAAGGACAAGAATGTATATTTCGATGGCTGTATTGATGGAGAATAAGATGTTTGATGGATCAGACTGGAGCAGAGCTCGCTGCCACGCTGACCTGCCGTAAGGAGCTAAAGTGTTCCTTCCACGTAGCCGCTGCCTTCCTGAATGCTTCATGCCGGCGTATCAGCTGCTCCACTTCATCACCCTCGACCTCATGTCTACTGCTGATTGGCTCCTTGGATGTGAGCCACACCTGCTCAGCTGCACTTGGCTGGGCAGACTGTAACTTCTGTTGCACTATGGACACAACAAAAACACTGAGTGTAAATCAGTGACTATAATCCAGAACATAATGTAAGTAACTATGTAATTTGTATAGTTATATCCTTTGTTATATAAGGACATCATTTAAATAACATTTAGTAAATTATGTTTTGTAAATTTGTCATTTTACATATCTAAACAAGTGTAGTAATGTTATCAGCACAAAGATTTTCTTACTGCGCTGGAGTTTCTCCCAGTGCTGCTCCCACTTATCATTCAGATCTTTCTGCTTTGCCATCACATAATCCAACTTTTCCTTCACCTTAATTAAGAAAGAGATGGAGAAGGAGCATGCAGTACTTACAGGAACAACAGAATCTATAAATGCATGAACTGTTATGTTGTGTAGGCCAGCATATGCTATTGTTTTAAAAGGTTTATAATAACAGTTTTGTGTCTTTTGGGAAAAACAAGAAGTAAATAATGCAAAAAGCAATAATGTAGTGTAATTATCTATTAGTGATACTTTGTCTTATCTGCAGTGAGATTTGATCACCTCTTTTTAATTACGAGACTTTTTCAGGCAGGATAGTTTTCTGAATGTTTCATATACCAAAACATCTTACTTGGTGCCCCATCCAACCCTATTATATTATGTTGTATGCAAGAAGGAAACAGAATTAGTACTACATTTATTTTGAATAGGAACAGAAAATAAGTTAAGACTGTAAAACAACGAATAAGTCTCAAGTAAATAAATAGTAAATGATCAAATTAAATACTATATGCACAATGGGTCCCCCTGGTGGCTTGGGGCCCTAAGCAACTGCTTATAGCCAGACACAGCCATGCCCAAGGGTATGAATTTTTATTAGAACTTTGTTTTTGATGTTATGCAATTTTTCCAGTAATTTTAGAATCCATTATGTTGTCAATGCATATATGCGCCACCAGACCACTTCATTAAGTCCACCTTCTCTTTTCTGCACTCACTGTCCATTTTATCAGCTCCACTTACTAGACAGGAGCACTTTGTAGTTCTACAATTATACAGACTGTAGTCCATCTGTTTCTCTGCATTCTTTGTTAGCCCCTTTTACACTGTTATTCAGTGGTCAGGACCCCCACAGAGCATTATGTGGGTGGTTCTCAGCACTGCAGTGACACTGATGTCCTGGTGGTGTGTTAGTGTGTGTGCTGCGCTGGTATGTGTGGATCAGACACAGCAGTGCTGCTGGAGTTTTTAAACACCGTGTCCAATCACTGTCCACTCTATTAGACACTCCTACCTTGTTGATTTTAAGAGGTAATAGCTCATCCGTTGCTGCACAGTTGGTGTTGGTCATCCTCTAGTCCTTCATCAGTGCTCACATGGTGCTGTTGGCTGGATGTTTTTGGTTGGTGGACTGTTCTCAATCCAGCAGTGACAATGAGGTGTTTAAAAACTCCAGCAGCTCTGCTGTGTCTGATCCACTCGCAACAGCACAACACACACTAACACGCCACCACCATGTCAGTGCTGAAAATGATCCACCACCCAAATAATACCTGCTCTGTGGTGATCCTGTGGGGGTTCTGACCATGGAAGAAGAGGGTGAAAGGGGGCTAACAAATTTTGCAGAGAAACAGATGGACTACAGCTTTTAATCATACAATAATTGAAAACATGTTTGTGTGTGGGTGATTTCTTGAGCCCTGGTGATGTTTGTGTCAGTGGGTATACCTCCTCAGCTGCAGGGTTGTGTGCAGCGAGCAGCATCTTCCCCATATCCACACACTGCAAGAAGCTCTTGCTCTTGTTCTCCATCTTACTCTTCAGATTCTGGTGTTGGGAGATCATATTCTCCAGGGCTGAGATATCCCTGAAACACATGCAAACAGCCAATAACAAGACGCATGGACATCAGCCTACTTGTTTGAAAGTTTAATCAATAGAAGTTGACAAGACAAGGGCAAAGAGCCAGTTGAATACATCTGGCACAGTACTCTAAAGCAGGAGTCACCAAACTGCTTCTAATGGCATGTGGTTAGCGGCAAAAAACAAAAATAGAACCAAGCTCTAAATGTGGTGACCATGTGCCCCTATGGACTTTGTGTTCTCTGGGCCAAAGAAGAAAACGACCATCCAGATTGTTACCAGCATAAAGTTTAAAATCCAGGAGCTGTCATGATATGGGGGAGTATTAGTGGGTAACCCACACATCTCTCTGTGAAAGCACCATTAATGCTAACATTTTGGAGTAACAAATGCTTTTTCAGAGATGTTTGCTTCAACATGACATCACCAAGAAACATTTTGCAAGTGTTGCAACAGCATGGCTGCATATTCAGAGTGCAGGTGCTGGACTGACCTGCCTGCAGCCCAAACTTGTCTACCATTAAAAATGTGTGTCTTATTACACTCAAAATCCAAACACAAAGGCCCTGTATGTTTGCACAGCTGAAGATTTTATAACATACGAATGGCAGAAAATCAGTTTGTGTTTACAGTCCCCAATCGATTATTAAGCACTGTTTAAAGGAAAAGTGATGTAACACACTGCTAAACATTCTTCTGTCCCAACTTTTATGAAATGTGTTGCAGGCATTAAATTTGTAATGATCGTATATTTACATAAAATAAATTTTATAAGGTTAAAAGAAAATTGCGTGTTTTGGTAGTGATCTAAATTGAATACAGGTCAAACAGAATTTACTTTCTGCTTCACTACTTTCTGCTTTTATTAGCATTTCACATACTGTCCCAACTCTTTTGGAGTTGGAGTTTGTAGTTTTTAACATCAACACAGCAGTAGTTCCTGCTTCTGATCTAAAATGCACTTGTGCCTGGTATCATGTCTCGTTCAAAAAAGCAGTCTGGGCTGAAATGTGGATCAGACTGGGAAATTCAGACTGAAATTCTCAGGAGGAACTTCAGCCACTCCGGTTGCACCTGTTAATCCTTTGGAAGGCTGCATTAATCCTTTTGCTGCCTGAAAGACAGGAACAGCACGGCGTTTAATCGTTGTCTTACACTCCAATAATTCTGCTACAGACTGTGTCACTTAAAGGGTGTGGCTAAACTAAAGTTATCTCAGTAAGCGGCTATATGTAAATATGTGAATGTAAATATTTTTTTTGCTTCCTTTGTTTGTAGCTTTGCCTCATCTGACTGTAAAAGGTTTGGATTCATACCGTGCCTCCTCAGAAGAGCCGATCTGTCCCATGATTCCATCCGTCCACATGCTGAGCTCACGCACCAAGGCGAAGAACTGGATTTTATCTGTTACCGTGGTAACCTGCACACGACTTCCCTCGCACGCCACCAGCAGCTCCTTCCACGCCTGCATCACTTCCTGCTCCCGGGCAAAGATGGCATCGGCTTTCTCACCGGCGTAGATTGCACGGAGCTGAGATGCGTTCTCCTGCAGCTGACGCACCTGGACGGGTCAAAGGTAAAAACATTAACAACATATTAGAAATTATACAGTAGAACTTTATAGACACAGAAAACAGAATTGCGGTAGGGTAAGTACTAGGAGTGAATAACCCAGCATCACTTAACATAGTAAAAGCTGCATGCCCAAGAATGGACAAACATAATCTTCAATATAATGGCTATTTGACAGATAAACTCCATAAGCATAACAAGAAAGGTCAAGTGTGTGATAATATAGGCCTACAGATTGAATGATGCCAATTTGTTGGAATATACACTGACCAGCCACTTCATTAAGTCCACCTCCTTGTATCTACACTCGTCCATTTCATCAGCTCCACTTACCATATTGGTGCATTTTGTAGTTCTACAGTTACAGACCAGTAGTCCATCTGTTTATCTGCATACTTTGTTACCCTGTTCTTCAGTGGTCAGGACCACCACGGAGCAGGTACTATTTGGGTGGTGGATCATTCTCAGCACTGCAGTAACACTGACGTGGTGGTGATGTGTTAGTGTGTGTTGCGCTGGTCTGGATCAGACACAGCAGTGCTTCTGAAGTTTTTAAACACCTCAGTGTCACTGCTGGATTGAGAACAGTCCACCAATTGACCACCAGACCACTGATGAAGGACTAGAGGATGACCAACACAAACTGTGCAGTGACAGATGAGCTATTGTCTCTAACTTTATATCTACAAGGTTGACCAACAAAGTAAGTGTGTCTAATAGAGTGGACAGTGAGTGGTTAAAATCTCCCGCAGCACCGCTGTGTCTGATCCACTCGCACCAGCGCAACACACACTAACACACCACCACCATCATCATGTCAGTATTACTGCAGTGCTGAAAATGACCCACCACCCAAATTTTACCTGCTCTGTGGTGGTATTCAGTATGCAGAGAGACACATGGACTACAGTCTGTAATTCTAGAGCTACAAAGTGCTCCTATATGGTCAGTGTTTGCAGTAAGGTATGTTAGGGTAATGAATAGGGGTGCGGGAAAAACTCGATTCTTAGATACATCGCGATGCGGACGTGAACGATTCTGAATCGATTCATTCCACGTCAAAAATCGATTTTCTAAATATTTCATTTATAACGTAATGTTGACGGAAGAGCAAAAGGCTGAACTGGAAGTGGGTAAGTGCAGCGCCCGGACAGTCTGTGGCGGCACATAACAAAAACACCACTGGAGGAGCGAGAAATCCGCCCGGCTCCCTCTGCATTAAAGCCAGGTTAGGTCAGGAGTCACAACACAAATGATAAGAAGAGCCATTTTGCCTTTCAACAAAGTCAAACCACCTTGGGAGCCACAGCATTTAATGCCCAGTATGTCTCAGTGTGTGTTAATGTCCTAGTATGGGCTGAAAATATAAAGGAGAGCGCAGATTTACTTCGCTCTGCTTTAAGCTTTAGCTTTAGCCGCTTTCCTCCCATCTCCGCCAGAAAACTTTTCTTCAAAACTAGAAGAGTTTCCTGTAAAATGTCTCAGCGTCCGGCTGTTTTACGAGGCTGAAGTCGCTTCTCATTCGCCAGTTTCTCATTCTAATTTTCCTTTTCCACCTTAAATTCTGCCTTAGGCGCCGAATGTAACTGCTGCACCATTTAAGGTGGAACGGGAAAATTCGAAAGAGAAGCGAGTTCATTTTCGCAACTTTTTAGAGAAAGACAGTCTCTCGTTGCAGATTTAACCAACCGCGCTGCTTCTAAATGCGAATAAGTCTCCAAATGTTCGTCTTAATCTGTTTTTTTCGTTCGCTACTGGCGAGGCCAGGCTTCGGGGCTATGTGACCTGCTGTCCTCAGTCGTTGAGAACCAGGGCTTTCGCGCTATGCTGCACACTTTGAAGCGAGATTCAGCGTCCAGCCTCGAACCCTACAACGAGACCAAAAGGGTGGCTGTAACGTACTGCGTGGACACCCATCACCACTGGATCTTATTTCAGGGCAACAGCGCATTTTATCGCAGATGAGTGGCAGCAGCGTCTCTGAATGAGAGCCTTCTAGTTCACTTGCCACAACACTTCGATTTGATTTATTAATAAAAGATATTTTAGATAATTAAAGCAAAGTATTTGTAATGATCCGTAATGCATTTACATTATGGGCATTACAAATACTTTGCTTTAAAACTACCAAGTCCTCAGACAGTGGGAAGATAGAAATCATGTATAGAGAAAAAAGATGCATCGATAATCGTTTTATAATCGCATCGCAGCCCTCTGAATCGTAATCGAATCGAATCGTGAGGTGCCTAAAGATTCCCACCCCTAGTAGTGAGAATTAATTTTAAGTGCTGTTGGGTACAGTAAGAGCCTGAATGGGAAGTTTCATTCAGACTCTAGCAGGTCACTACTGGTGACTGCACCTGCTCAGTACAGGTGTGAAGTCTTTGTGTTTGTGTGTGTGTGTGTGTGGCTCACCTGCGCGACGAGCAGCTGCAGAGAGTGTTCGAAGGAGTGCAGCAGCCTCTGGAGAGTGCCGGGGTTGGCTGTGCTCACCTGACAGGAGCGCACCTCCGGCAACTGCCTCATCTTCCCCTCAATCTGCACCAACACCTACACGGACAACAAGGACATTAAAGAAATTAAAACAGGTGGGTCTGTGTGTGGCAATGTTTTTAATAATATAAAACTGATTTGGTTTCACACACGTGTAAAATAGTTCTAATATGGTGCTACTACTGTACAGCTTCATAGATTTCAACTAATAGAAAGAAGAAAAATAAGTGATCTAAGATTAGTAAGATTAAAAAATAGTCTAAGCAGAGCTAACTTGCTGTAGGCTGAATCTGTGAATATATGCAATTATGCTTGTTTTTGTGACTCACAGAAACAATGAATTCCAAACTTAGCTTAGTTTCCTGCATGGACTGGAGAGTGAATGGTATGTTTTAAAATGTCAGCAGTGTTTATATACTGCACTGTTTTATTTCAAAGAAATGAGAAAGTTCAGTTTTTCATAATAAAGGCCCTTTCATTTTACTGAATGATTAAATTAATGTATGTCTCACTGTTACCAGCTCTTAAGACAGCAGAAAGAAAAAACTGCATGTCCAAAAAAATGACCTTCATACCCCTCCCCACTCCATCTTTGCTGTCTGTTTATTGAGCTCCTACCTCTTGGCAGTTGGTGAAGAACTTGTGAAGCTGGTGGGAGGCAGCCAGCATCTGCGCTCTGGTCTCCATCAGCTCCTGCAGGTCAGCCCACGACTCGTTCAGGCCGTCCTTCCACTCGGCGATGGTGGCGGCGTCCACGTGGCCGCAGTCAATCATCTCGTTCACCATCTTATTGACCGAGTCCATCTGCCTCTGACCCACAGAGCTCGTCTCCGCCCGGAACGCCGTGAACTTCTCCTGAAGAGCCTGCAGAGGGGATGCACGGGTCAGGACCACCACCTTCATCCACATAGCACTCACTGATAAACGATGTTGATGTAGAAATTCAGCACATCACTTTCAAGATGTAGCAGATTTGGTTTGTGCAACATTTCAGACCCTTTAAAACACTTTTTAGAAAAACAAAACCTCTAAATCTTTTCATGCTGCTTCATTAGTGAACTTCTATGTGTGTGTAGCAGACCGTGACATGCTCCAGGTCCTGTCCGAGCTCCGTGGAGCTGGCCACAGCCTCTCGCTCTGAGATCCACTTCTCCAGAGCCTCCACCTCCCTCTTCAGCTGATAGAGCCAGTACTGCTGCTCCAGCTTAGTCTTCCTCTGCTCCACCAGGTCCTTCAGAGACACGTACAGCCGGTCGATATGAGCCTGCTGCTTAGTGATCTGCTCACTGAGGGACGGACAGAAAAGGAGAATGTGGAATTAGCAACGAGGAAGGTAATCAGTAGTGTTATTATTTAAAGGTAAAGAGCGGGAAGTTTACCCGTTTCGTGTTTAAGAGGTGTTTACCTGTTCAGGTGTTCAAAGAGGGTTTACTTTTTCAGGTGTTTTAAGGAGGTTTACCTTTTTCCGATGTTTAAAAGGGAGTAAACCTGTTCTTATGTTTAAAGAGGTGTTTACCTGTTCAGGTGTTTAAAGACGGTTTACCTGTTCAGGGTTTTAAAGACGGTTTACCTGTTCAGGTGTTTAAAGCGGTGTTTACCTGTTCAGGTGTTCAAAGACGGTTTACCTGTTCAGGTGTTTAAAGAGGCGTAAGGGCTATTTGTTCATGTGTTTTGAAGATGTTTTTTCCTGTTCAGGTGTTTAGAGGAAGGATGACCTGTTTAGGTTTTTAAAAGGGACTACTAATGCAAGATTTTGAGGTGGTAGGTTATCTATCATGTGTCTGATGGGTATGGTATGGGTATAAAGGTATGTTTAAATGTGCAGAAAAGAGGGGTTACCTCTGAGAGTGTTTAATTGGATTTTTGGTAATTGGGGTGGTTAAGGCGGTGTTTATTTAAAGGGCTGTTTACCTGTCGGGATGTCCCAGCTCCAGCATGCGGCGGCACTGCTGAGAGAGGAAGCCTACTGTCTCTGCGTAATTCTCTACTTTCTGCTCTAAAGCCAGCTGCTCCTTCAGCAACCTCAGAGTGCTCGCTTCATCCTACAGAGAGAGAGAGAGAGAGAGAGAGAGAGAAAAGAGAGATGGATGGAAAGGGAGAAATACAGAGACCACACAACATTAACCACAAACTGCAGCTACTGTTTTACAGTCGTAGTGCGGTCTCTCATCTTACACACAGACTGTACTGTCACATTAACAAACCCACACAGTTTGGCTGGTTTAGGTTATCGTTTCTTCTGTTCAAGGTGGGACAAGTTTCCCATGAACTGAAGATTATGTAGAAACAGAACAAAATCTCAAAAAATGCATACTCCATCGACTAATATTTTACTAATATTTTAATAGCAAATGATATTAATACCTTGCGTCAAACATCGGATGTGCAGTTACAGTTACAATGCACAATTTCTGTTTATTGTCTGAGTTGAGTTGATTGACTATTGACTTTAACAAATTGGAAAAAATAATGCAAACAATATAAAATGTGCCGTAACATTCGCACAGGCCACATTTTATGCTTTCTTTTTTCCCAGTCTGTTAAATTCAGAAAATAGTACTTGTACATCAAAATGTGCAGACGTGTGTTCTCTGTAGAGGATGTGTTCACTTATTTTCACCTAGAAAATCAACAAGATGTGGAATTTGACCAGGGGTGTCCAAACTTTTGCATACGACAGTACACTCATACAAATAAAGGTTTCTAAATGAAAGTATAGTTCTAGGAAAAACTTTACATTTGAATAGAACCGTTTCACTATGTAGAGGCTCTTTAAACTTGCAGAAAAAGGTTCTTTGCACTCCCACATCGACTATTTACAGACTAATAATTCTTTAAAGAGTGAATGGCTGGCAATAACAAAAGCATCTGTAATTAGTTATGAGATTTCTCACTCATAGCTCATTAAAACAAGCAGAGAAATCATTCCAAAAGTGCTGATTCTAAACTTTTCAAGTTATCTCAATTGTTTTGTTCGCAAAGAAAATTATTTTTATGTTTGCCACATTTTTGTCATTCTTTGACACTGAAACAAACAAAGTGCAGACTCGAACCTGTCGTTCAGAATATATGTCATGAATGTAAAACATTATTATATAGTTATATCTGACTGATCATATAATTATTAATTGGTTTTAAACAATGTAACAAAACTTCTAAGGGTTAAAATCAGCTCAAATCTTATTATTTCCGTGCTTACATTGCCGTTTTCCTCGTTGAGAACGTGAAGTTTCTGGTCGCTCAGCCACGACTCTGCCTTCGCTGCCTCGGTGTAGTACTGCTGGGAGTGGCTTACAGCGTCCAGCATCACGGTGCGCCGCTCCGTCTCCACCTGAAGCACCTCCCACAGCTGCCTCACGTGCACCGCCCCCTCCCTCACCAGCTCCACCTCCGGAGTGCGGAGGGCAGCGACGGCCTCCGCCCGCTCCAGCACCTCCTCCAGCCGTGCCCTCCGGGCCTGCAGCTCCATCTGCAGAGCCTGAACAGCCAATCACAAACACCACAGAGCTCAATGAAATAATCCCTAATGCAGTGGAGCACAAGTATGTAAACGTGGGCATTCTGGTGCGTGTTGTATATGCTCATGAAACCACGGAATCTGGCCAAAAATGAACAAATATTAAAAATGAACAAACTAATTATAATTTTGTCATGATGAGTTTTGACAGACTTGTGGCTGAAGCTTTAGCATTAGCTAGAACATAGTCTCTGCGTTACCCTGTACAACACAGTGCCTTTGATGCGAAGCACCATCGGAGAACTTGCAGAGAGGAGAACTGACACTCAATAGCGGTAATGCTAACCAGACAGTAGTCAGTAGAAGTAATGCAACCAATCAGCACTTAGTAGCAGTAATGCTAACCAGTCAGTAGTCAGTAGAAGTGATGCAACCAATCAGCACTCAGTAGCAGAAATGCTAACCAATCAGCGCTCAGTAGCAGTAATGCTAACCAATCAGCGCTCATTAGCAGTAAAGCCAACCAATTAGCACTCAGTAGCAGTAGTGCCAGCCAATCAGCGCTCAGTAGCAGTAATGCTCACCAATCAGTGTTCATTAGCAGTAATGCTCACCAATCAGTGTTCAGTAGCAGTATTGCTCACCAATCAGTGCTCAGTAGCAGTAATGCTCACCAATCAGTGCTCAGTAGCAGTAATGCTAACCAATCAGTGTTCAGTAGCAGTAATGCTCACCAATCAGTGTTCAGTAGCAGTAATGCCAACCAGTCAGCACTCAGTAATACTAAACGATCAACAGCACTAATGCTAGCATCTTGCCCAAAACCTGTTTGCTGTAAATTTGAAGATACTGGTGAGCTTTTATTGTTTTTTTTAGAATTAATAAGAAGAATTATTCTACTTCCCAAGATCAAAGGAAATTTCTCTGTAAAGACAAGAAAACAAACATTTTTAGCCATTTCACTTCATTCACCTCCATTGATTGAGGACTCTCAGTCGGTCTAGCGTTTTGCCATCATGTTTTTGGGCACTAACATTATGCTAGGGCCCCCTTGTGGAGAATCTTGTGAGTAATTTTTAAGCCAGGTCCACGTATGTAGAAATTATTAACAATATAAGGGTATAAATATAGTATATATTTAAAAAAATATAGTATAAATATAAAAAATGCTATGTTTCAACAACCATGTCTAGATTCCTACAAATATTCAGAATGCAATGTTACATAAAACCTATTGAAGGCTATTATAAACCATGTCAATTGATGATAAAACCTGCCTGCCAGACAAGGATAAACAATAAGGTAAATTTGGTACATTTAACTGCTCCTACGATTTAAAGATACTGCTTTTTATCAGTCAGTCAAACCAAACCAAGATAGACAATCCAGCCAGAGACAGAAACAATAGAGATCAGTGAAACTCTTACAGGACCAATCAGACATGATGAAACAGGAGCCAAAGGCGGTTCACACTTAGAGTTACACACCAACGTTTTTAACACATGTGGTAATGAAAAATGCAGAATGGCTACTGAATGATTTACTGCAGTGGTTTCTAAAAGACCCATGCATGCCATATTCAGCTTCTGCTGGAAGCCATTTAAGGCAAAAGCAGTCATATAAATCAATAATTCAGAATGTACACAGCGCCTCAGTCACTCCCATCTTTTTATAGACCAACACAATCATGAAATGTTGGGAAAACAGGAATCTTCAAGTCTTTAGTCTTACACATAATTCACATTGTAGTGTGCTGTGTTTTTCTCAGGCAGTATGTTAGAGCAGCATGTAGTACGGATTGTATCACATATCTGACAGAAAGAGTACAGATCTGGGGTCAGTTTATGCTAATAAGATAGTGAATATGAATAGGTGACCCCTATATACAAACACAGCTTGAAGCTCATTTGTTGCTGCACTATTCATCAGCTTCCCTACAGCATTCATCATGGGTTAGTGTCTGACCACAGGACCACTGCGGATCAGTGGTCTCTGAATGAACATCAGCAAGGTGGGGCTACAAGAGAGGGGTTTCTAAAAACTTTTACTTTGGCCATAATAGTTGGATTGTTTCATTTTTTTAAAACTAGAATTTGTCATGTGTTGTTTGTCTCCTCTATCTCCTACCTCATGGTTTTTAACCAGATGCTGAACGCTCTGAAGGTTGGTCCCATATTCCTTAGAGGAGGCCAAAGGCAATCGCTCCTGAATCCACACCTGGGGGGAGAGAGAGAGAGAGAGAGAGAGAGAGGGTGAGGGTGAAGGCTAGTACAAGCTTCTTCCGAGACAGTGAAAGTCCACCACATCTTTTGAAACTGGACACAACCTCGTTGGGCAGCTCAACATGCTTAGAGGAGAATGCTAACTGGAGTGCTTCCGAGTGGGCATAACCATCTAAGCCCCATGTGTCAGACACAGGACCTGCGGGTCAAGTCAGGCCTGTGGCACAATCCTATTCATTACTTTAATTTCTATTAATATTAGCTGAGCTGCACTAACGTGCCCAGCATGCACTGCAACATGTGCTCTGATCCCTTTCCACTAACAACAATCTATGGGTCAGCGGTTACACAAGAAGAAAAGATGCCTGCTGGGTAGTTTAAGCAAATAGGCAGTTTTAAAATACCTACCTCCTGCCTGTTGTTTTATATATAAATTTTTTTTTTAGTAGTTTAAGTATTCAGTGGCAGTTTTAGTGCTGTAGTTTTGGCATACAGTGGCCAGTTGGGGTCATGGCAAAATGGTAAGTCAAAATGAAATACAAAAACAGCTGACCCATGGATTTGTGGCCCTTTTAGTGGTTTAGTGGTCTCTCTCTTTCTGTGTGGGTGAGATGTTCCTCCCTCTCCCCCTGCACCTGGCAGCAGTATGAAAAGACATGATGGACCTTCATGTGTCTTAGAAGAACCTGCTAGCCTTCACTCTCCAGCTGGGTAGCATCGTCTGATGGGTGGATTCGGCAGTGACTAAATTTAGGGAGACAAATTGGATAAAAATCCAAAAAAACAAAAACACATTGCGTTCCATAAGTACTTGTAGGCCAGTAGTTTTTCTATTGTCAAATATGGACTCTCAACCCCTGGTCTTGTGGACTCTGATCACCATCTAATCCTGAGGTGTGGATGGACAGAGCGAAAGCTGGACGATTAGAAGAACTCACGATCTCGTCCTCCAGGTCCTGCGTAACTTGATGCATTTCTTTGGAGGCCAGAAGGATCCGCCTCCTTTCTTTCAGCGGCTCGATCAGGCGCACGATGCGTGTCTCAGCCACGCCCCCTTGGTCCTCACCCTCGACTCCTATTGGCCCGCGATGCAGCTGGTCAGCCACCCCCATATCACTCAGCCTGCCGATATCAGCTCCACTCCTCAGTTCACCTACGCCCTGATAGAGCTGCATCTGAGCCTCCATTGACTGAGAGAGAGAGAGAGAAAGAGAGTATCCAATTGAGAGTATCTATTCAGACTACAGCAGTTTAGCCCCGCCCACTCACACTGAAGTGATACTGAGTGTTTCAGTTTAGACTGCTTTTTTGAATGAGGCGCAATACATGACAGCCAATCAGAACAGGGATCATATCAATAATAATAATAATAATAATAATAATAATAATTTCCAACCTCAAATGTTTCTGTCAGCTACTGTAGTTTTGTACTGGAGCTACAAGGCCAATGTAGCTAACATGTAATGGAATTAGCTTATTAGCATCATGCTAATTGCATGCCTATATCATCACAGACTTGACTCAAACTGTGTCGAGTTGTTAAGTAATCTCTAATAGACTTGCTTATGTAGTTTCAGACACTGTGTGATATACTTTTATCTATAAAAATGGACAAAAAGTACAGACACAATTCAGGCTTAAAGATGCTGCTACTGCTACTGTTACTATGCAACGTTCATGTTTACAGACATCTGTAGGACATACAGCGTCAGAAACCATATAAGCAAGTCTATTAGCGATACCTTAACACACTTTGAGGCATGTGTGGAATGATTTAGGCTTGCAGTTTGTTGGCTATAAGCTTCCATTACTTGTTAGCATCTTTAGCCTCTTAGCTCCCATGTAAAACTAAAGAAGCAGACATCAAACGGTGCTGGCTCATCAACTCTGTTCAGAAACTGTGTACATTTCTTGCCCGATCTATGAATGTAACCATAACATTTCATGTGAGTTGGCCTGACCTGTATCCTCTGGAGCTGCTGGCTGAAGGTGGCCCGTGGGGGCAGCAGGGTGGTGGATGTGATGTGTGAGGTGTTTGTTGCCGTCCCGAGTGGAGGAGGCTGCTCATGGAGGACATTGAGGTGCTGGTCCAGTTCAGACAGGCCCTGCGGGACGTCCGCGGTGCGGTGGTTCTGCGTCTCGAAGAGCTGCCGAGCCTTGGCCTTGGTGGTGCTCTCCAAGTGGGTCCAGCATTCCCTCATCTCCTTCAGCTTCTGCTGGACGACCGGCCGGAGCTCCGGCTGCTCCTGGATCAGCTCCTCTCCCTCCTACACATTTTATAAATGTTAGTTGATTTACACTTTTTTTTACTGAAAGAAATAGCAAGAAACATCGCTGAATACAAAAAAATACTCTAAAAGTACATGATGTCCTTGTGTCTTTTCAGTTATTGCGCTATTGTTCTCAATAGTCTAAACTATTTACTCAAAAGCCAGGCCTGTTGCGTCAGACTTGGTGAGATTGTTTTAGAGTTTTTTGTACGGCTTTTACAGATTAAAGTCACATTCATAGACTCAAGATGAGGTCCATCTGGATGAGTGGGATTATTGAACACACCAGGTACACCAGGTAACAGTACTCAGAGGACGTCTGGGAACTAAAAGATATGCGTCTGTAATTTTCATTTTTATTTAAAAGAATCACTGTGCTTGTTGTATTTAAACTCATGTTGAAGTACATGTTGTCATATACATATTCTTTTATTGTTTTGTTTTGACTAGAAATGCCCAACCGAAATTTTAGGGATTTTTTTCCTCTGTGGTATCTGCAGTGTCTAGGTAGATACAGCCAAGCATGCACTCCCATTGGATAGGGCTTCAGGAGCTCAACTGAAGTCCTAACGTCAGATTATCCAACAACATAATTAGGAAGTGACAGAAGACCCAACTAATGACGTTTTGGGTGGAAGCAAGTTTGTGAGGATAAAAATGTCAATCTAGGCCTTCTGGAAGATCTACACATTGTGCTGGCAGAGAATACAAGCTGTAGTTTAACCAAATTTCAGTAAATTGTTGGGAATGGAACACAGCAGCAGCCCTATGCCAAAACTACAAACTACAGGAAAAAGACTACAAAATAGAATGTCAGAAGTTCTTTGTTAATCTAGAATGGCCATACAATATGATTAATATTATAGTATGTACACTACCGTTAGCTTAGCGCTACCATACTCCAGGTGTTTTTGCCTCATTTTTTGGCCTTGTTGTGACATTAATGGCTTGAACGGAGGCCTAGTCCTTATAGTCACTGGATAATACAGTGGATGGGCAACACATAATTCCCCATCCTGGCAGAAACAGCACTGCTATTCCGATAAGAGTGGTCACCGCTATACCAATAACAGGACTGTCATTTGTTTAGCTATTTGCTGAGTTAGGATTGACCCCTAATTTTGCATTTGTCTGCCAAGTTGCTTATTGAACAATGAGGATAATTCAAAATGGCAACCCCAGAAGCACAGATTACGCAAAACACACAGAGCATAACTCTCTTTGACATATGGCCAAACCTGGAACCTACAGCCCTCGCTGTGCTGCACTACATGCTAAAAGTGTGTGTTCTCTCCATATCATGTGCTGACATTATCATTATTATTATTATTATTATTATTATTACTATTATTATTGTTAATATTTTCGATTTGTGACTGTGTGTGTGTGTCATCAGGGTGTTGCCCAGAGGCCCCCCCACCCCCCCTCTGTTCTCATTCTTTCCCTCTCTCTCTCTCTCTCTCTCTCTCTCTCTCTCTGTGGTGGTTTTGCAGTCTCTGCAGTATGTGTGGGGGAGCAGACAGCAGTCAGAAGGCAGTGAGCTCGCGCCAAACAGAGAAATGCAGCACTGCGTTATCACGCACACACACACACACACACATTCACATGGTTCTATATCTTTCTCTATCATAAATGTACATACATACATATACCCACTAAGTATGCACACACACTCACACATAGAGAGAGAGAGATCACAGTGTTGCAGTCAGCTCTGCTCTGCATGTTTAAAGGCTGTTACTCCAGTATGTCAGTACAGTGCCGTGTGTTCAGTGTGTATTCATGTGTCCCATTTTAGGTATCTGGAAATGAGCCATGGCTCTTTAGAGACAGAGACCCTCTTCTTTGATCTCATTCCATCTTTATCATTCTCTCACTCACATGTGTGTATTACTGTATTTGTGGAGACTTGTGTAATACTGTGGTTGAGTAAAGCTGCTCCTCCACATAAACCTCACCCAAACGTCCAGATACCAAATGTCAGACTTTTGGATCTTTTTTTTTTTTCAAAAAAGTTGCACTTCTATATTATATTATATTATATTATATCTTTTATTTCTGTCTTTTTCTAGTCTTATTTATATAATCAAATAAAATAGAAAATATAATATAATACAAGATTCTTTATTTGATTCTATCATTTTATACTCGTTTTCTGTCATATAGACGTGTAATATATATAATATTCATTTCTACATAATTGTGACACAATTCTGTTCCCTTTTATTCTATTATTAACAGACCTGACTGAAGTCTCTCACACTTTATCAAACTGAGTTAAGATTTAGTGCTCTTATGGCTGCCTGAAGTTAGTCTGAAGTGCTTATCTTCTATTCTACTCTATTCTATTCTATTCTATGTAATAGAATGTGAATAAAGTCTTTTAGCCTCTGTTGCCTCTCACTCTTTCTCCTCTGCTGCTAAACCCAGCAGGCAAGGTCAGGTGTGAGGACAGCCTGTGATTGGTCCGCTGGCCTGTCTCACAGAGGGGGCGGCACTGAATGAGAGTAGCCGGTGGGGGAGGGGGCGGGAACCCTTCCAAAAGGACACACAGTTCTCCAATCACAGCGGGACGCCGAATCATCGCTTCTGCTCTTTCTCAGGTAACACTCTCATTAACTCACCTTTCTCTCGCTCTGTGTTTCTGTGTGTGTGTGTGTGTGTGTGTGTGTGTGTGTGTGTGTGTGTGTGTGTGTCAGAGAGAGGATGTGGAGTCAGACAGCCCTTCAGAATGACTACACCCACAAGAACACAGCAGCCATCTTAACTTAGCTGGTTAAAGCGTAAGAGACCTCAATCAGGTATGTTAACCCAAAATAAGCCCAGAGAACAGAATAGAGTCTGTCAGAGTAAAATAAAATAGGATACAGCCCTCTAGACCAGAATACAACCAAACACAATACAACAGAACATGGCGAATTAGAATGGCATATGACAAAATACAATGTGATGTAATACAATATGATTACATAGAATAGAATAGAGTTTTATTAGAAAATAATGTTATGCAATATATTAGGATATATTAGTATAGAATAGAATAGAATATGGTAGAATAAAATAAGACATGACACTAGAATAGAAAACAATAGAATAGCCTGTTTAAATAGAATATAAAATAATCTGATATGGTACAATATGATTTAGTAAGATGGAATAAAATAGAGTAGAACTGAATAATAAATACGGCAGAGTATAATAGCATATGATGAAATACAGTATAATACAATACAGTACGACTGAATAGAATAGAACAGAATAGCAGAGTAAAATTAACAAAGATACAGCGAATAGAACAGAATACAAATGAGCAGAACACAACAAGAAAATGGCAGAGTAGAATAACAGAATACTAGTCAATATGATTAAACAGAATAGAATAGAATTGAACCAATCAATAATGAATATGGCAGAGTAAAATAACTTATGAAGAAATAAAATATAATATTGTACAATAGAATAGAATAGAATAGAACAGAATGGAATAGAACAGAATGTACTAATAAAATAGAAAATAATATGATATGATGCAATATTATATATGATATACTAGGATAGAATAACACACAATGTCTCTCTCTCTCTCTCTCTCTCTCTCTCCCCCTCTCTCTCTCTCTCTCTCTCTCTCTCTCTCTCTCTCTCTCAGCACTGTTCCCTAGAGAGTACTTTTACACACCTATGTTCGTACACAGCAGAATCAATACAGAGCCACAGTCTGGGCCAACCCTGTTCCTAACCATAGCTCCATGCAGTAAGACCATAGCTAAATTATTTTAACTTTCCCCAGCATGCAATGCACTCCCCCTGCCCCAACAACAGTCATATGTAGCTAATGTAGCCTATTATTAAATTCATATATAATATTTCAAGGTTTACCACAAGTGTCTATATTTTGCTGCTGCTGTTTTGGCATATTTCAAATAAACAATGGCCTGTTTGGGTCATAGCAAAATGCTAATTAAAAATTCAATATAAACAGGTGTTCTCTGGCCCACAGATTTGTAGATGGCCCTAAATATGGCCCTTTTAGTGGTTGAGCTTGAGACAACTGAGTTAGACCAGTTAACATCCATAGCTCCAGTTCAGGAAGACCATAGCTAAGATCCATAGTTCCAGTTCAGGTAGACCATAGCTAACATCCATAGCTCCAGTTCAGGTAGACCATAGCTAACATCCATAGTTCCAGTTCAGTGAGGCCATAGCTAACATCCATAGCTCCAGTTCAGGTAGACCATAGTTAACATCCATAGTTCCAGTTCAGGTAGACCATAGCTAACATCCATAGCTCCAGTTCAGGTAGACCATAGCTAACATCCATAGCTCCAGTTCAGGTAGACCATAGCTAACATCCATAGTTCCAGTTCAGGTAGACCATAGCTAACATCCCATAGCTCCAGTTTCAGGTAGACCATAGCTAACATCAAAAGCTCTAGTTGAGTGAGATCATACCCTAACATCCACAGCTCTGGCTCTAACTCATCTGACTTGAAAGATGCAATAACTTCCAGATTAATTCTAAGGATTGCTGGTTCAACCATTTTTAATAAAAGGATGGCTTTAAACTAACTATTGTTACTAATGACTTAATTGAGACCTTATGCACAAACCTAAGTATAAACTTACACACCGCTGGTGTTACACTATCCTGGGTTAAAGAGATGGAGAACATTCCACACAAAACTGGTGGCCACTTGCAACATCTCATCCATGCTATGCGCGATTCTCCCTCAAATGCGTATGTATGAGAGATCTTTAAAAGCCAGATCCATACATAAGAGACATGTTTTATCGAAACCTTTATGAAACCTTCCACAAAAACTTTAGAACATCTGTTCCTGAGATCTGAGAAAATATGGATGAACAAACCTCAGACAATGTAATAAAAGTCAAGGACGTACACATAAAATTCCTACACAGAGCTATATGCACAGGTCTGACAATTATAAACAGGGCTCTATGACACTAAAACTCTATGACACTAAAACTAGAAAACTGGACCATACAGAAAACCGAATACAGAAAGTTCTGGCGTGCTAAAACATATAACAGCTGAAAGATGCAATATTCCTGCTAAAATCACAACTGACTGCAGGATCCAGAGGCAAGCTCACACCCAAAGGCCCTGCGCTTGCAGTATAATACACACTCAGCCACTGCATTCTCACCATCATGAAGCATTTAATCTGCTGAGCTTAAAAATAACAGATTCCTGCACTTGACACTCCAGTGAGAGAACGTTCAGCGTCATAGCGTTAGAAACTAAATAAGCAAGTCTTAAGCAAGCAGATT